AATAAATTACAATTACAATTGTAAATCTATCAATTATATTCAAATCTGGTTTCATACAAAATCTTTGATGGTCTTGTTATTTTATAATATTAACATTAATTAATAAATTACTCTTTTTTCATTCTTATGTTTATTTAATTAATTTGCATTAGATAAAAAGATATTATATTTTCCTAACTCTAATATAAATTCTGATCATTAATTGTTAATAAAATAAATGTAATAAACAGCATCGGGTCCTAGTCCAGACGAAGTTATGGTTTACTTTTTTACAGAAGAACCAAAATATTATCAAAGAGATTATTCTGTGATAATGGAAGACCTGATGAAGAGAGAAAAATGCGATTGGGTGTTATTTAATGAAGATTCAAGACAGTATGCTAATGAAGAAAATATTTAATTCTTAAGTGACTTAAAAGCTATTAGACTAATAGAAATTTCATAGATGTTAAAACTAAATAAACAACTCCAAGAGAAAATCGATGAGTATGATAAATTGAAAATAAAACCTGAAGATTAAGAATCACTTATACAACATTACGGCAGCTTACGTGATACAACCTCATATTAAGCCATTTCAATACAATAAAAAGAAAAAAAAGCGTCTGACCTAGAATAGGAATTAAACTAATAGAAAGATTTGGTAAAAAAATATCAAAAAGAAAAAGAATAATATGAATAAGATTTAAAAAACAAAATCAATTAATATAATGAATTGCTAACTAAAGCAACGAATGAATTACTTTAAAAGAAAAAATTAGCGAATGATAATGAAATATTGAGAGTTTAGAGTCAAGAATTAGATTAACGTAGTGCGAAAACTGATATATTATAAAAAGATATAAGAAATTTAGAAAATCAATATAATCAGTTAACAGATTAAATAAGAGACAAATAAAATCAATTAAATCAGTTAGAAAAAGTTGTAGAAGAAAGATAAAAAGAAAAAGAAAAAGAATTTTAGCAATTAAAAATAGAAGTAAATAATAAAATATAATCATAGCAATCAGAATAAATAATTAGTAGAAGCAATGAATTCGTTATTGCATAGAACACAGTGAAATAAAATAATAAATTACATGAATCATCGTCCTCAAAAACTGATTCTCCTGAAGAATCAGAAATAAATTAAGTTCCATATTAATTAAATTAATTTCAAGACAAATCCGTACAAATGGGCCTTTATGATGATTAAGGGATCTGATTTTTAAATATGCAATTCTATTGCTATAAATTTGTATTTATATTAGGATTTTCTTAATTTCATTAAAAATAAAATGTAACCCTTTTGACATAATATCATTTGTACTAACTTTAAAACTATATCGTTTTATTCTATATTTGATATTCAAGTTTTTGAGTACTTTTTAATTTTTTCATTAGAAAGAGAAAGAGATATTATTATTTTAAATGTAAATAAATGAATTTTAAATAAAAGGAATGTTAAATACAAAAACAGAAAGTTAAGTAAGATTCATATATATGTAAATAGTCTTTAAAAATGATCATAATTAAGATTAGCTATGAATACTATACTCTCTTTACCTCTTAAGACTTAAATCTTGTTATGTTCTCATAGTCTATAATTAATCGTGAAGACTACTAAGATTCTTTTATTTTTGTGTAGTTTCTTCATTTTTCTCTTTGATAATTTTGTTAATTAATGTTGATATTTAAGAAGTCTGTCAAAAGTCTCTCTTTGAGAATTTCTTCCGATATAGTCGATTTAGAGCAATCGTTATCTTACTTTAAGTAAGGAGGAATATGAGTTTTATCCTTTTGAGCTATCGAGGTTTTATCTACTCTATAATAGCTGTTAGACTTATTTAATTCTTTGTTGAACATTTTCTCCTCACTCATTTGTAGATTTTATTGGATCTACTAACATTATTAAATTATTTATTTTTTTCTCTCGACTTTATCTTAATTCTTTGTATTATACAGCTAATTGATGTCTGCTTACTTTTTTTTCAACTTCATATGAATAATTCTATTAACTAATTTTTAGCAAATGATAAACAAATATATCTGCTCTTATTATAATCAAATATTTGTGACCTTGCAAAACCAATAATTACAATTTCTCATTTTACCTAATACAGCTATAAGACGAATATAAGTATTATAGTTCTTATTTCACAAACATTATTTTGAATTGGTAAAAATAAAATAGTTAGAAATTTACCTACTGATTGAAGCATAAAGTGATGTTGAGAGAAGAGAATGGATTTTTGTAATGATTTTAAAAATAAATAATATTAAGCTTACCATAAAGAAAGCATGTGATATTGTAATTAATTTCATTTCAATTTTATTATATTATTATTATTAGTAATTCATTTTACATTAACAATTATATTATTTAAGTATTTATTAAATCTTAATTAACTCAATATTATATAATTTTAATATTCTTTTCATTTAATTAAATCCATTGATATTTCCTAAGTACTCTATGGCAATAAAATATAAAATATTTCACCGTAAATTTCTAAGGAAACCCAGTTATCCATTTATATCATAATCGCCTCAGTCTTTACTTGTTTATTAGAACGAATTGGAATGGCGAAGTTAGTTAGAATGTGATAGGAAGTGAATCTGAGATAGTAGACAGTGTGAATTATTCATTTTGAGACGGTAGACAAGGAGGACCATAGTAGTAAATTTAATCTAACATTAATATAGACTCTCTGTATAAAGTTTGTTTTTTATTATTCTTTTTTCATTGAAGACCCTTCTATTGATGATTAGGGTCTTGATATTTATTTAATATCAACCGAATAAATTACCCCTTCATCGTACATCAATTTTTTTAAAATACCGAAAAATTATATTATAGAAGAGGAAATAATTTCATGAGAATAGAACGCCCATTATAAGTAGATAATCATATATGATGCAAAAATTAGAAGTGTCTGATATCTATTTGATACAGCAATATAAGTAATAGCGTAATGATTACATTAATAAATATTTTGTAATGTGATAAGAATTTGATAAAATCTCTAAGTTGATATTTATTGAAATGAAGAAATATTTCCATTAATATTAATTTTAAAATAATTTTCAAACTTATTGATAAACCACGTTGATGCAAAACCCTTTGAACTTCAATTAAACAATATCAAGCGAACTAAATAGTAATTATTTTTTTAATGGATAGGTTTTATAAATATGCCAGAATTAATGATACCCTTAGTTTCTCATGAACTATAAATTAATAACCTTCATCAAATGACCAGGTCTATTACTTTGTCAGAGAATTCAGCCATGATAGAAGAAAAACAATATGTATAAATTTTTATATACTAGTAACAAAACCACCCATCCGAAAAAAAGTTCTCCTAAGGTTCAGAAAACGTATAGTAAATTGTAACTCCCAAAAGGAATGGTCTCGATTATAATAGAGAATCTCCTTTTGTCAAGATCAGTGTGTATAAGCAGCACCAAATGGCTAATTAGAAAATTTACATTCTCTAAGATGACAAGTAATCATTTCTTTTATAGATTAGGATTATTGGAAGCAATCAAATATAGAAAAATGAAATATAAATTATTCGTCGTAAGAAGCAATAGCATTTAGGAGATAATAATGTGGATTTGGGTAATTATTTTAAATGATCATATTTTTAGGTCTTTCATCATAAGAATCAAATGTTGAGCAGGTCCCTTGCAAAATTTCAACTGAATTTGGTTTCCGCCATTCAAGTAGGATCACTTCACAAATTTTATGTTTCTTATCTTTAAAGTATTTCCATAACAGATTTTCAGAATTACCTTCAAATATCTTCAAACTTATTCACTCATTTATCAAGTAAATATTCTTTTTGATATTTTTAGAGAAAAACCTAAATTCTTCGTATAGGATTGCGGCACTACTTTGAAAACCTTAATTAGAATATAAAAGGAGAGTCCAAGAATAATGAATGAAAACAACAATTATTTAATTGGAGCTGATTTCTATTTCCATGTGGTTCAATTAAATTCGATACCATAGTCAATTGAAAATAAGAAGAAGGATAAGGATAAGGAGAGTCCAAATGAGTACTTCTTTTAGACTCTTGTTAGAGAAAATGAAAAATATAGAGCTCGAATTCATGGTTTGTCTAAGGAAGAACAAGAATAATTCTAAGGTTTCTAATTTAATAACCCTAGTACATTTAGAAGAATACAGAACATTAAAGAAGAAGGGAAGGAAATAATATCATCTTTAAAATTGTAATAGACCATTCCTTAAAATTTAATTTGATACCCCAATCTCTAAACAAATTGCTGTTTTTATTGGAAAGGCTGGCTTTGAATAAACTTTTAAGATTGGAAGATCTTAGGATTGTGACATCATTGTCAATATGAATACTGTCTCTAGAAAACAAACTTAGATTAAATTTAACAAAACTTAATGGGAAATATGTGATGGAGAAGGAATACGATAATCTGCTAATGGAACTTGGCAATCCTTATAACCATATGAACAACCCATTTTGGCTACTAAATTAAAACAGAGTGATCCATTCCTGATTGAGGATAAGATGGAAATTAAAATATGTGAAAACATTTTTAAATTTGAAATGGTGGGATTTGGAGTTTCAAAAAAGTAATATAATATAATTATTTTTAGACGAAAATTGACAAATACATTATACTAGGAATTAACTTAATACAATTGAATTTCATTTTATGTGATTTCAACAGTTTTATATATATATATTTTAAGTATTAAAATAAAGCAGTTTATTATTTTATCAATAATAATTCATTCAGCTAATAAATATATATGAATTAATGATGAATTAAAAATTTTGTTAATAGAATTATTATAAATATGAAGTTGAAAAAGAGAGTAAAAGGTGGAAGTTATTAAAAGGGAAGAATAAAAAATAAGAAAATAAAGAAAGTAGAATAAAATGAGAAAGTAAAGAATATAGATTTGGGTAAACCTCCAAATTTATAAAATATTACTATAAAATAAACCTAATATTTGGGCAGCTAAAGAGGTTTCTATTAGATTATTAACATTTCTTATTACCTAAGGAAGACATATACTACTCCATCTTGCAGGAGCAAAGAAATCAATAAGTAATGAAGACAATAGAAGAGAAATAAAGGAAAAACAAGAATTATTACACTTTATTAACAAAATGAAACCATTTTATGATTTATTAGAATCTATATATCAAAATTATCTTGAATTTCCAATTAAATAGAAAAAGAAAGAAAGATTAATAGTATTTTTTTTTAGAAATAATTCTGATGTTGATCCTAATTATGATAAATTAAATCCTTTAGAAAATTCAAAATTTTAACAGAATTTAGATGAAATTAAATTGTAACTTGATAAAGTCTTTTATAGAGACCTTTATAATATATTAAAATAACTCGAAGGAAATGAACATAATATATAAGATCAAATTAATTTAATCACTTAAGATATAATTGAATAGACCAATTAATTAAATGAACTATCTTAAGCTAATACTATAGTGAAGAATTTATTTATTTAGTTATTAATAGAATAAGGAAATCATAAATTCTCATAATTAGAAACATTAATTGAAAAATAGAATAAAAACTAATTAATTTTAATGTTTAAACAGCTTATTACTTAGAATTCAATTCGAATTACAAAGTTTATAACAGATATAGTATAATTATTTCAAGGAGATGATTTAAACAATTCAATTTAATGTACTTTTCAACAGACAAATTATGACGAAAACTATCATATACAACAAAAATGGCAATCTTAAGAAAATGAAAACTCAGTTTATTTAAGTGATTGATTACAAATTCAAATAAAGTTTTATTTTTCATATCTACTCTTATAAGTACAAATTATTATTTACTTATTTCACTTTCAATTACCAAATGTTAGAAAAGATTCTTTATGATAGTCCTAAAAATTAATATCAAATTCATATTCACTTTTTTATATTTAATTCATGCTTTTAATATCCAAATCAATGATGAACTCTTAATGGTGCAATTATTATAAGCTCTATACAAAATTATTAATAACATTATAAAATATTGGAATATTTTTTTTGATTTTATGTTAAATTCAAAACATATTCTCTAAGAAATACACCTATCAATTATTTAATTAGTAAATTTATATTAAATACTTTTACATCTACAAAACAACTATCATATATTAAATGAATACTTTATATATATATATATCAATAACAAATAGAAGATTCGAGGAATTCATTAAATATTTATATAAATCATTTTTGTTCATACCAAACTTTTTTTGCCTGATTCTATAATTGATCAGACCAATATCTTTAATTTATTCCTTCTTGAGCCTTAAGCATTTTTTCGAATTCCTCAATTTTAGATCTTCCTTAATCTAATAATGAAAATCCTTTTTCATAGTTTGAATGTATAATAATGCTTAATATTATGATTTCTATTTTTTCCCCATATTAGCATTCTATTAATCCAAAATTTTTATTTGTTTATTCCCCATATTAGCATTCTGATATTGCAAAATTTTTATTTGTTGCAAAATAGAAATATCTAAAAAATGAAGAAATATATTGATCCATAGGTGATATATTTTAAAAAGGTATAAAAATTTTAATATCGGTTTACAGGCATTCTTAATAAACGGAATAATTGTCCATTTAATCCTTGACTAAGAATTATTTTGGGAATTTCAAATTCCATATTTGTTAAAATTATTGCATGTTATTTTATAAATGATCTCTTTAAAATAAATTAAAATAGCCCTATACAATTAATAAATTTAAAATGGTATCAATAGCTTCATGGTTAGACATTGGATGTGCAAACACTTTTTAGATATTTATTTACTATCCATGAGCAATTATAGACATTTATTTTTCATTAATACTTTAAGCATAATGGCATTTCTTTTTATAAATACAATTTTGCCTAAAGAAAAAGTTCTTTTCATTGATACATTTCAAAAATTCTTGTTCCTTTAATGTTACTTGATATATCTCTAACCCAATTGATTTCTAAAAAGTTTAACTTCTATCAATTTAAAGACTGATATCTTTGATCAATTTATTTTAATCCAAAAATTTTGTAATCGTACTATCAAGGAATTTTATTTGATTTTCCAATATTTATTTGTCCTCCTATTCTTCTTCATCAGTGCAAAATTTATGAAGCTCACAAGCAGTTTATTATAATTTCTGTGATTGCCTTTTTTATTCATCTGATGAATTATTTTAATAATTTATTTATTCTTTTAATTCAACTAATTAATTTTATAACTGTTGTATTTCAATTTTTTAATTATTTACTATTTCTTTTGATTCAGATAATTCATGCTATAACTATTGTGATTCAATGGATAAATGATTAATTTATTCTTTTGATTGAGATAATTAATTTTATAATTTTTCTCTTGATTGTTGTGATTAAGTCAATTCTTTTTATACATGTGTTAATTAAATGGATTAATGATCTGTTAATTCTTTTGATCTCTTTAAATCGTTTTTCAAACCTTCCAATTCGTTTTTCAAACCTTCTGATAACAATTAATAATGCTTCATCCCATCTTTTAAATTCTCTAATCTTTATTCTAAGTCTGAATTATATTAAACTTAATCTTGCTACTATGATTAAGATTTAGATTGATATAATTCTTGCGATAATCTTTCAATTTAAGAGTTTTAATCTAATAATAATTTTTTATTTTAGTCATATGAATCTTGAATTTTTTATATTTTTCCATCTTTTTCTTATCTTTAATCATCTAATTGTGTTTGAAGTTTGTTAATTTATATCTCTAGTTCTTTAATTTTTTTTTCTAAATCAAATTCTTTAGTTGACTTACTATAAACAATGCTTTTGCCTTCAGAGTGTTATTTATCTGCCTGAACTCGATAGTCTTGTATTTCTTTGTTTAATTTTTCCACCTCACTCTCTTTTTTTATAAGGTTTTGTATAAGAGTTGGAATCTAATGAATTATAACAAGTTTCATATTTTCCCCCTTAACAAATATTTCTGAAGTAATCAGGCTTTCCAAAACCTAATCAAACAACAAACATTTTCCCTTGTGTTACTTTTCCAACTCTTCAATTAGAGCATGATAATCCTTACTTTCTTTATTTTCAACATTAATCCAACGAAATTAGATCCCTTCTCCCTGATTCATTAAAATAAATATTATTTTTTATTTTTGATTAAATCCGTTTTTATACTCAAGATTTTTGATAAGAATATATTTGTAGATTAATTAAATAATAACAAAATATAAGAGTAATTTATTAATAAATGTTAATATTATAGATTCACATAAGCTTCCAAGATTTTAAATCAAAACTAGAGTTTAAAATAATTTATATATTTACAATTGTAATTTAATTAATTTATCTTTGATAACTGTAAAGTAAATCAATCCATATAACCATCCTAAGAGCACAACAGTTTTGTATGGAAGCAGATGCAATAAAAATAAGGAAACACTAGCGGAAAACTAAGTTCCAAATAAATAACAACTAAATAATAATGTGGCATATGTTCCACCAATGGTTGGATCAGCAATTCTCAAAAAGAATGCAGATAATGTGCATGAAATAAATGAATTATTAAATTCATATAGATATTATAAGACAAACTAAATAATATTCTATAATTTACATATACGGCTTAAGTAAACTTATTATATCCCCCCATTTTGATAAAGCTAATAACATAAACAAAATGAGTTGCCATAACCAAAAACATTAGATAATAAGCATTTAATACCCAAGTCATCTCCTTCCCTCTTTATAAGTACTTAGCAACCAATAAAGAACTTAATATCCAAGATGTAGTACATAGAGCTTCAATAGACGCATATTCAGATTAAGGGAATCCCATTTGAATTAAGTTTAATGATGTTGATGCTATCACTGGAGCAAATGCAAATCTCCTTGTTAACAGAAACAGTAATAAAAATCGTAAATTTGGATTACTTAATAATGAAAATGATAATCTTAAAACCTAGATAAAATTAGGTTTTTCCTCCTCTAAATAATCTTCAGTAACTAAGCATTATGTGATAATTGCTATTAATAATATTAAAGAACCTAAAATATATGTGTATGAGTTTAATGATATTATTGGTTAATCTAAACCCAAATATTCATGACAAAAGTAACCAGATGTTATATTCATCAATATAGCATAACTAAATACAAATCCTAATGATAATCCAACCATCTAACAAGTTGCCCCCAAATGAACATAATGTTTTGAGAAAGATGTTAGAACCCATCCATTAGTTGCTATGGTTGCACACGCTTACAAAACTGTAAGTAATATTGTTAATCCAAACAAAGGATACAAATTAAGTTCTTCTATCCATTACGAATACCCACTATATGCCAGAGTTATGAATGTTAAACCAAGCATATACAAGGAAGGTATCACATAAGTCTTCCTCTTTCCAAATTTACTTAAATAGAAACTATCCACAAAGGGAGCCAAGATTAATTTGAAAGATAATGGATAAAGACTAGTAACCCAAAAAGCTATAATCTAATTCATATACCTTACCCATCTAGCCTGATGAAATGCCACTTCCCTAAAGAAGAAGAGTCAATGAGGCATAAAATCCAGCTGGTATTCCAATCACAAAATATAATACAGTAAATCTAATGATAGCTTTTAGTTCTGAGCTAGATATTTAAGGTTTCATTTTCTCAGAGATTTGCTCTTCTATCGATAGTTCTTGTGGATCTTCAACTTAGAATTCATTCATTTCTATTTCTTCTTTCGCATACATTTTAAAAATTAATATAAAAATATTTCATATATGTTAGAATATTATGTCATGTTGGCTAATAAAAATAGCCAATCAAATTATGAAACTAAAATAGAAGTAGTAGTCAAATGCCATAGTATCATTTAAATTTTAATAAAGAATAATAATATTTCTTCGGAACTGCCATTAAAATAAATCAATAAAATATTATAACTATTTTTAACCCTTAAAGGAAGCGATTAATAAACTATATCCTAAATCTAAATACAAAATAATGAATTTAACTCTAGTATCGTAATCAATTATTATTATAAATATTATATTATAATTATTCGCATAACCTAGATTCTCATTGAGAACATAAATTCAAATAACTTTCTTTATTAAAACTCTGTTCCAGAGCAAGGCTCCTCTTCTTTTAATGTTTTTCATCTGAGGGATACATTTTTAAATTAAACTCTCAATTTTGTTTCTTAATTAAAATTTAAATTAAGAGATACATCAAATCCTGAATGATCTTTACTGTTTTAGCTTATTTAAGTGTAATTTCTTATTTCTTTATTTAAATTATTAAAAAAAATCTAATGATTTGGTTTATATTAATTGCAGTAACATTCTCTTTCTACTTTATCTATCAAGCATAGTTTAAAATTTTCTATTCGATTTCAGTGTTCACTATCAATTTCTGAATAAACTTAAGCTGCTATTCTCACATAGAAATGCTAATGCAAATATTTTAGATACATTATCGAATTCATACATTTAATTTCAATTAAATAATTATTATTACATAATAATCATTCTACTTACTAAAACCTCCTATCTAAAAATATTTGCTTCTTATAACTATCTATTTAAAATTATTCCATAGAATTATTGAAATCTTTCTAGTTGCAGAATTAATCTAATGAAAGGGTCAACAGAATTTAAAAATAGAATAAAGAGAACATTATTATTTCTCAAGGTTTTCTAATTATCACAACATTAATAGAAAGTTCAACGTAGAATTATTATTTCAGCTTTTACTATTGTTTTGCGTTTCTTAAAGAGAACCAATATAACTTTTAATTCAAAAGAAATTATTTCTAAAATTACATCTAAATCTTATATCTAAATTTGAAGCTTTTCAAATTGTTTCTTTATTTATAATAAATAATATTCTCAAATTATGTTTAGAATTAAGAAATTAAAAATGAACAAGTATTTGAAAAGACATTTGTAAACTTTTATTGAGTTGTTAATTATGAATTATAATTATTATATATAATTGATCAGACTTTTAATGTATCTCTGTTTTACTAAGCTTCCAAATTCAGAGGTGTTTTCAGTATTGAATTTTAATCCAAAGTGTGGAACCTTTACCCATTATTTTATTATTTTTTCCCTAATATTTAAGAATCATTCTGAAAATCTGCATAGAATTCACCAACATTCATTAATTATACTTTTGGTTTTTTTCTATCTGAATATCGACAAACTCTACTAACTTTGTTAGGTGAAAATGTTTATTATTGTCTTGCTTGTACGATTTAAGATTTTGCCCTTGTTGAGATTGTCTAGGTTTTTGTATATTAAGTAGAAAATGCAGCATCTTATTCTAAAATTGGAGGAACATAGGGCTTTTAACATTGTTAATTTTAATTGTTAGTTGTAATCTGTTGGTTTCCATTGTTTTGAATAACAAATTGTAAAGGCTATAACAAATTGCTAAATTTTGGTGGCTGTGCTTTCTAACCTTCCAGTTCTTTAATTTGATTGTAAAGCTTATAAAATTGTTTGTCAAAGAAAGTTTTATTTGCTATCTAATCTATGAAATAAAACTATGTTTACTCAATTATAGTTATAAAGATAACTAATCAATCAGCAAAATCATCATTCTATTAACAATAGAATTGTACTCGTATTCAAGTTTTTTACTTAGAAATCCACTATACATATTGAACCAATTAAAATTAAATTATTATTTTAGAAAATTACATTACATTTTATGAATTCCATTTAATACCAATAATCAGCCATTAGATATCTTGAAAGTCAAGTCATTATAATTCTTAAGTGCTGGGAATCTAGATTGTTTATATTCAGATCTTCTGCTATCTGATATTTATTAATATATGTCTATATACTATAGTTTTGTATGAGAGTCGCTAACTACTACTTAAATACGCAATTTGTCAAATTAAATATTGATTTTATAATTTAAAGAGATTAATTACAATTATGTTTGATAAACAAATTAGTAAATTTAATCCATAATTACAAAAACATATGTATTACTATTATCATAAAAATACTTGTAAAACGCTTGGATATGGTTATTTATGATTTATTTAACCAAGAGACTTAACTAAAAAGAATCAATCAGCTAATTTAAACTTGTCTAGGAGATGAATTCATTAAAAAAATTAACGATTTTACTTTTTCATTTTATTTCAATAGAAAATGAGAAATTAATAATAAATAGTAATTCGAAATAATTGTAATCTGTTTTTTTGATTATTAACAATATTATTTTTTATATTGAATGGGAAATGTTTGCTGTTCAAATTAAGAAGTTGGGAGATTGAATCTTCAACCAATGATTCCATTGATCCCAACTGACGAAGCCTCTTTGGATGAAACCAAAATTGTGAAATTACAATCAAGTATTAGACGTAATAGATGATTTCATTTCAAGGTTACCTTGCGAAAACAAAATAAAAATAAAAATCAGAGGCATCAGCCACTACTGCCCCTTAAGTTTAATCTAAAGTGAGCGAATAAATAGTTTCAATAATAGAAATGATTCCCAAAGATGCATAAAAAGTAGAGTGGCCTTAGAATTTGCTTTAAGCAGTGCAAAATAAATTAAAGGAGTTGCCACCTTTAGTGTAATTGACACATTAATGCTATCTATTGAATGATGGTTGCTATTATCAAGGACCTTTTGCAGATTATTAAAAAGAAGGATTTGGAAGATAAATTGATTAAGATGGTTCTTTATATGAAGGAGCATTCAAATAGAATGTAAAAAAAGGAAAAGGAAGATAGATAAGTTGTGATGGAAGTGTGTAATCAATATAAAATTATATAGATATGAAGGAAATTTTGATGATAATGAATATGATGGATATGGTGAATTTTAGGATTCTTATGGGTTTGTCTATAAGGGAGAATGGAAGTAATCGTTATTCCATGGAGAAGGTCATGAAATAAATGAATAATTCTAATACAAAGGAGCATACAAACAGGGACACAGAACTGGATACGGAGAGATCATATATGTGGATGGTAATAAGTATATGGGAGAATTCCAGAAAAATCGGTTTGAGGGCTTTGGCATTTTCATATATGCAGATGGAAGAAAAGTAATTAATTTGAGCTTATAGTTTAGTATGAAGGAAGTTGGATGAATAACTAGATGCATGGGAAAGGTACGTTTTCTTGGCCTAATGGTCGTAAATACACAGGAAATGTAATTAAATCTATTGAATAGTATTAGTATCATTTAGATTTGAAAGAAGGTTTTGGGGAGTTCATATTTGAAAACGGAAGTAGTTATAGGGGAATGTGGAAACAAGGAAAATAGCATGGACATGGAGTTATGATTTCAGAATTAGGAGATCAAAGAGAAGGAGAATGGGTTGAAGGAAGAAGAATAAAATGGAGATGACTATTACTTTGACTGATTTTAATTAGCTTCTATTCGTAGTATTTATTATTGCAAACTTACTTACTTATTTGATAGAATAAATAAATAAATGAATAAGAATATCAAATAATTAGTCTATCTTAGTCAGTATTTTTATGAAGAATCATTTGGCCTATGATTTTGATAACACCCAACAATTATCTTTGAGGACCTTAAGGATATATTTTATCGTTGTTCCATTAGCCATTTAAATATTTAATATATTTTTATCCTTAAATTGTAAAAAATTAATGTTTAATATTTGTTAAAATTAACTTTGATCATAATACCTCAACACGATTTACACTTAATGGATAAATTAAAGCACTTTTGATTATGAAAATAATCATGCTGATTTGAGTAGATATTAGTATTGAAGCTATAATAATATTGAATTTACTGTTTCAATTGTATTAGTGTTATTTTTCTGAATTACTTTGATGAATTATAACTTTGAATTAAGAAATTGCCATTCTCAATCATAGTAAAATTGCAAAAGACTTATTATGTAAGTATTACAAGTTAAGAAGATTATCATAAATTTAAAGGGTCATATTAATACTTTATAAGTAAAGATGATATAAAATTAATATAATACATATAAATAAGCTGTCAAAAAAATCTCAATTTTTTATCTTTTATATCATAAGTGACCTACAAATTTGATTTAGTTCTTATTAACTTAATAATTCTTAAAGATGTATTTTTGATACTCACTTGATGTATTGAAGTAAGAATTATCCTTCATTAAAAAATATACAAATTATTTTATCATCAAAACTTAAATCTATATCTGGATTTTTTAATTTTCTGAATCTTTATTTAGAGTAATTATTTATGATGAATTTAAGATATGAATAGTTAATTTATTGAGTGATCATGTACTTTATTTTTATTCCTTGCTTCATTTTGGAACTTTGGATATTGATGATTTGTGAGAATAATTTTTGTTATACATGTAAATTTGCTTGATTTTTTATATGATATAGTATAATTTTTATAAACTTTCATATTCTGCTTAATAAGTTAATTATTAATATGAAAGATATGTCTTGATATGTATACAAAATTAGTTATAGCTTTATTTAACACCTAACTATCTTATATCGATAGAGTTTATTATCCTTTAACCAAATTTAGCCATTAAAACAATTTTATAAAATGTATATTTTGGAGAGTCAAATAATCTAAAATGAGGTTGTATTTTTAAATATTTGGACATCTTCAATATAATCTATTTACTTAGACTTTATAAATATAACAAGTGCCTGTAGACAAATATTAAAACTGAGACTTAAACTCAGAATTATAATATATAAGAAAGAAGTATTACTGAAACCTTAAAAACATTTCGATTACAAGAAGATAAAAATGCTGGCTGTGTTAGATCATGTTTAATGAATATAAAATAATAATTATTTCATCTAATAAAATGGATGTACGACTTCTTAAATATGATATTTTTGCATCTCCACTTATACATAAGCCTTCAAAGGGTTATGTCCCAAAATTTGGTGATAGAAGCTTAACTTCATTGCTGAAGTATAAAAATGAAACAATAAAATAACCAATCCATTCAAAGATATTTAAACCGTATGGAGAGGAATCGGAAACTAATACCTAATAAGCTATGTATACAACTGCAAAGTTGTCTTATTCTAGTTCTGTGAAAAATATCAATAAATTTCCAGAAGTTCAATTAGATCCAAAGGCTGTTAAATTGCTTGGATAGGGAAGACATTACTTGAGAAGTGAGTATCAAACAAAAAGAAAAATGCAGGAAGAGAAATAAAATCAGTATCAAAAGAATCACTCATCTGATTATTTGATGCAAAACATACAACTGAAGTTTTGTGAGAAATCTGTAAAATCATAATTCAAAGCAAATCTAATTTTCTTCAAGAAAACAAAAAATGTCACAGCGTAGATTTAATTGTTGAAAAAGGAGGAAGAAAAGAAATAAACACCTGAAATAAAGAATGAGAATTATGATTCAAGATAAAGAAAAATATAAATACCTTCTTAGAAACAATAGCATACAGATCATTCTATGTTTTCCAGCACTTTCAGAGATAACTTTTTGAAGAGCCAAAGAAGCAATATGCATCCAAAACCGATTAGTTAAGAGAAATCTACAAGACAAGGACACAAGAAGACTCAGTCTGTCTAGTAAAGCTTATTTAATAATAGTTAGAACTTAGAGTTAAATGGAAGAAGTAAACAAAGAAGTGCCTCTTATTAGCAATAATTATCAACCTAATAATTGATATTCTTTCAAAATTAATTATTCTAATTAACTATTTTATAATTCAAAAAATTATGTTTTAGATCATCAAGGTTGATGCAGGCATTGATGCTAAATTAGAATTCGAAATATCAAACATAGTCAAGGCTGCTTATGAGAGATTCAATAACTAGTACGATCGATCGAAATATATCTCGGATTATTTGGATGAAAGGTATGGGGGATGTTGGAGAGTAACAATAGGGAAATCATTTACTAGTTGTGGGACCTATTATTTGTCACAATTGTTGAGACTTAGTTATCAAAATGATTAAATAGAAATTGTTAGAACACAGGGGGATTCGGAATTTGAAATTATACAAAGAGACCAAGGAATGAACTAGGCTCTTTTTGATTCGATATTGGGAATGTACTACTTATTTTTAATAGAGAATATCAAATGCTTAATAAATGTAGAAAAACCTATCAGCTCAAGTTGAGTATATTTCAGAATGTGTAGAATCGAAGCATACTGGGAAATGGGCTGTGATTTGTGGGTAATTGTGTGTACATTATCCATAGGTATGATTTTAATAGTAGAGTGCCTTATGTTAATAATAATTTGGTATGTGTAGCCAGAAAGGGCATCAGATATACAATATTAATGATAAGTAAATGAATATAGTCATTGCTATAATTTCAATAATCTTTGCAAGGAAAACTTGACACTAGTATTTAAGTTTTCAACTTTTTCTAGTTTTATCTTTTTACTTGACAGAGAAAATAAATGTTTAGGGTCGCTCAAAATTCCCTTTTAAATTCTCACTGACATTTAATTTTAATTGGATCCAATCGGTCCTTTGATTGAGACTCTCGAGTTAGTTACTTCTTGTATGGTCTACTCTCTAATAGCTTATTCTTAGGTTTAGGTTCGTATTTCATTTTGTTGAATGAATTTGTTGACTTCTTTAACAAAATACACATTGATTTTATCATCTTTGAATATCACTTTTGGTGATATCATCTTATATGAATCTCCATCTTTAATTTGGTTAGTTTCTTGAAAATCTTTCTATGTAGTTTTTAACAATTTTTGAGATGCATAAGATTTCAACAAAGTTTAACTTAAGCCTTTCATTTAAATTTTTTGATACTTTTCTATTGTGCATGTTTCTTAGGAGATCCTATTCGAGGAGAAAAATATATTTTGTCTTAATGTTAGTTAATTTCATGTTTATTGAGTTCTAAAGTTTAAATTGACGAATTCCTAGCATGATTGGCTGGCAAAGTAATATCTTGATTAATCGTTAGAGATGTTCTAGTTCTTTTACTATTTATTAGTCTATTTGATCCAGATGAATTTTTCATTTGATTATTAATTAATCAATTATAAAAGCTGAAAATAAAAAATATTATAAATTTAATACAAAGTAGCAGTAGTTTTATTCCTAAGGAAGAGCCAACCGTCATATTAGTTTTTGATAATAAATGATTAATAACTATAAACATATAAAGTCATAAATTTTAAGGTATTAATAACATCAAACGAGCCTTAATAATTTATTGCACTTTCTGTATTGAACAGCAATGGCGCATTGATTTTTTAAAGTCATAGGCAAATTCAACTTTGATAATGTTCAAGATTTTGAAGGATTAAGCTTTTATATTTTGTGATTTTAAGAAACTATATAAGGAGAAGAATCTTGATAAGTCAACAATATTAATTGAAAAATATAATTAAATCAATACAAATTACATTTCATTATACAAATCAATTTGATAGAGTTTATTATAATGGAAAGAGCTAATTGGTTCTATGAAGAATTTTATCACTCTACTTGTTGTATTTTAATTCTGGCCTTCTGCCATCTTTGATTTATGTCATTTTCTTTAAAAGGATCTTGCTCTTCTCTACTTAATAGAGGGATCATCGCAGTTAAACACCATGTATAGCGTTCTTTATCATTTGCATAGTCTTATAGTCTTGGGCATTGTCTAAGGTGATCTTTGCAGCAATAGTTTCTAATTGTTCTAATGCATGGCTGATGAACACAGGTATGACGAGCTTCTAATGGATCTTATTCTAAAATAGGTTTTAAAGTCCTGCTGATAGCGGTTAATATAATGTGCATAATATGGGGAATTTACAAATGCATACACATCAAAGAATGAATACAATAATTTCAAATCTATAAGAGTATATTTTTAGATTTAAGGCACACAAATCAAAATTTAGAAAACTATTTATAGGTGAAGAAGGAGAAGTAATAAGCGTTCCTTAATAAAAGTATCTTTTCCCTCGAGCTTTCAGAATGATGGTTGTCTTAGTTATGAAGCTGCTCATTCATTTATCTACATATTAAATTCTTTATATGGTGATGTAATTTTAGTATTTAGAACCTCAAAATTTGGTTATAGGAAGGAACTATAAGATTGATCATTGCTATTTAATAGAAGAGACTATAAAGATAGAAGAGGAATTTATAATTGTAAAAATAAAGTACATTTCTCAGAATAACACTTACTAAATAAAATTGAATTTAGAAATGTTCCTACTAGAACATACTTAATATTCCGAATAAATATACTATCATACAATCAGATTTATATATAATTTATTAAAGGTAATTTTTTAATTCATTTAGTTAATAATTTTATATTTTTAATGGAAAGTTTGTATTCTTTATTATCATAGATTCTATTGATTACAACATCTGTTATTTTATTGATTTCTATGACAATTGCTTTTAGGAAAATCATAAAAGATGTCAATGATATTTTAGACTCAACTGATAAACTTGTATTTTTCATAGCAGCAATTCAATGTACTAAATTTTGAAATTTAGAGTTATTGTTATTGGCATTCTTAATTTAATAATATACACTCTTCCTAAGTGGATTGCGCATACTCAGAATGCTTTAAGACATAATGCTATTAAATTGCTTAATCAAATTAGATAGTGATAATGAACAGTGTTTAGTAACTATCAAATGTATATAGCTTACCAGAAAATTGTAGATAAAATCTCCTAGACACTTTCCTTTATTCTCCTATCTGTCTGGTGTGTCATCATATTTTTAGAAGGGTTTTAATCACATTTTTAATGCGATCAATAAATATGGATGCTCCTTTCTGGATTGCTGTTGCTTAATAACATAATTTAATTATATTTTGGACTCAATATATTAATATAGATCTACAAATACTGCCAGGATTCAAGTAATCAACACATGTTTGATGGTTTACATAAAATTATGATGGATGAATTATAAAATAGGAAGGTATAGGTCATAGTATTTGTCCTATGTAGCATTAATTCATCAGTAATCATGTTTTTATATGATTACAACATTTTTGATCTGCTTAACCCTACACTATGTCTCCAAAAGAATACTATTACTGAAATTCTTATTTATATTGCTGTGATTATGGTCTCGTACTAATTGCCTTGCTTAGGAATTTACTATGTGTTTTATCATAAGAATAAAAAGTATTTGAATAACCACAATTGGGAAATACAAAGAAATATAGTCAATTTCTATGATGAAAGAAGTGAGATAGAATTGGGAGATTATTAGAACCCATAATGAGTCCATTTAATTCGTTTTGATTGTTAATCACAACTAATATATATTATCAATGTATTTCGTAGGCTAATCGTCAATTCCTTGCAATTTCTGTAACAAATATATTCCTTTTCGCATCCCGAATAAACTCTTGTATAATGCAACAACCCATAGTTGAACTTATCATGCACAATTGCTCAAAATATTTATTCAACTTGATTTATCTATCTTGAACTCTCGACAAATTCTAATTTGTTTTCACAAATAAAGATCTTTTTGGAAACTTTGGTTTGTCTACTTTAGTTTTACCTAATTAATCATCCAAAGTTCTTAATTGAGAATAACGATATTTTGATAAAAATGTTTCATCTTAGCCTTCAAATCTAATCAATATTGAAAAGACTTACTTTACAATGTATTCCACTTTTGAATTATTGAAAAAGAAGTTTTAGATCGATATTGAATACATATTAGTATAAATAGTGATTTATTTATTAACTTTAGAAAATTTCTTTTAATCCAAAACACAAATTATTGAAAAATTTAATAACTTAATTCAAAAAAACATCAAGCTAATATTTAGATTTAAATATATTTATATACTTCTAATTGGTCATCCATTTTAACTATAAAAACAAGATCTGTCAATATTAATTAATATTAAAAAGATACTAAATTTAATTTATTGAAAATAGATTACCTATATTTAATCTTTGTTAGTAATACTTTATAATTTTAGTTAATCAAATAATAAGAAAATAAAACTAACTCAAATTATAACTCATTTTTTGATTGATTCAACAGGAAAAATTAGAAATATCTATATTTGTAAAGACATTTAAAAATAGATACAACATAAATTTATTTATTATGCATTTAAAATGTTTGTTTATTTATGTGTATGTATTATTAATATACTATTGTTTCATGATCAATCGAATAAACCTCCCATATCGACATCTTCTTCGGGCTCTTCAGCCTTGGCTGGTGCTTATTGAGCAGCTGGTTTTTCTTCAACTTTAGCTGCAACTGGGGCAGATGTTGTTGGAGCACTTGATTATTTGATCTAATCAAAAATGAATCCTGATTATAAACCAATAGCAGCCAAATCCTTGAAAGCATTAGCCAACAAATATGGAGCTGAAGCTTCGTTAACCCAACCTAATTGATTATAGATAAAAATGAATTACCATTGGCCAAAGAAACAGCAGAAACATTTCTAACATTTTGTTAGAATTTAGCAACAATGTCATTCAAGTTAACTGAGACTTATTGTTTGTTCAAGATAGATCCATTGTCATAGCAAGCAAGAACTTCCATTCTATAAAAAGATGAGATCATATTATTACCCATATAAGAATGGCTTTTTGCCTAATTTTTACAATAAGACAGCTTAAGATTAACCAACCTTTTATCCTGTTTTTAAGACAACAAAGTCTTTGGTGATTTAGATTTAACCTTTTTCAATCTTGGTTGGGATTTAGAGTGCATGGAAGAATTGGATTGAAGCTGGGTCCATACCAGTTGGGCCTGGAGGAATAACAACATCGATTGGAGCAATGGCACCAACTCTGGCTGGGGTTTCAACCTTATTCTCTTCAATGATTGGTTTAAGATCAAAGACTGGTGTTTCTGTGAAGATGAATCCGACTTTGCCTGCAACTGAGTTTTTCAAGGCATCCAACTCTTTAATTGCATTACCGAATTTAGCCAAATCCTCGTAATATTCATGTTCTTTTGGTAATTCTTGAACTCTAGTAGCCAAAACTTTTTTGAAGAGTGTCTAAAATACTAATGTGTAAATACGTTTTTGCCAATAACTAATAGGGCATTCTTCTTAGCCAAAATTCTTCTGATGTCTTACACTTATTTAGATCCAACATTTGCTAATCCAACGATGATAACTTAAGTATATTTTGATAACAATTCATAAATCTTTCTATTATAATTATCAATGAGATAATTACTTGAATTGTGCTGGCTTCTTATCTTTTGTTTCCTTTTTGCCCATTTATTATTTATTTAAATTAAAAAAAGATTTCAAATTTTTTGATAAACAATTCAAGTATATATATAAATTTCATTAATTCTTTAATATACTTTTTCAAGTCTCATTCTCCAACCACTTTAATCTCTTCCCTTCCTTCCATATTCCTCTCTTCTTAGTGTTATCAACAAATATAAACACCCCCTCTCCATCCTACTTACCGTCTTTCCACATCCCATCATATCTCCTCCCATCAGCCCACTGATAAACTCCTTGACCATCTTTTTTATCATTTTTATATACTCCTTCATATTTTCTGCCATCTTTCCATTTATACACTCCATATCCATGCATACAATTATTCTTCCATTAACCAACATACCCTCTTCCATCAGACCAAAAATAACACCCCTATCCATTTATTTTATTATTCTGCCACTCTCCATCAAAATAAGAACCATCTGGCCATTCATACCTCCCTGATCCCTACTTAATCCCTTAAAAATATTGTCCTGTATATTTAGATCCATCGTTCCAAATTTCCATGCCAATGCCATGCTAAAAGTCATCTCTCCATTCTCCCTCATACCTTGACCCATTAGAATGCTTATAGACTCCCTTCCCATTTGCTTTATCCTGATCCCACTCTCCTTCATAGATGTCACCATCTACATGATAAAATATTCCTTTGCCGCATGCTCTATTATTCTTCCATTCCCCAACATATTTTGCTCCATCAGTCCATGTTTGTGTCCCTATTCCTTCTCTGCAGTTGCCTCTCCATTAACCCTAATAGATTGCTCCACTCTTGAACTGATAGGGACCTCTCATATCCAATGACTCATCATTGATTTTAGATGGAATGTTGATTACCTCAAAATTCTCCTTCATGTAATTCTTATTGGCCCCTCTATTTGGATTTTTCAATACCATTTTGATCGATTATAGTCTATGTTTTTTTCTAACTTAATATCCTCGATATCTACATTAAATTTTAATTGCAGCCTTGAGAATTTTATCGTGCTAATTTTAATATTCATTAAATTTATTTCGCTCTTTAGAGCTTTATGATTATTTCTCATTTCTTTTACTTTGCTATTCTAAACATAATAAATCTGCATTTATATTAGCTTAATTGCTTGCAATCGAATTTCTTGAGTGACTCTTGCTATTTTTAGTTCCTTTATTATCTAACTTACTCATTCATTTAATAATTTACCACTATTTCCTTTTCCTAAACCATGTTTCTCCCAAATTTACAATCACATTGACTACACTTACCTCCCATTAAGAAGAGTACTGCAAGAAACAGAAATATTATAATAAATATTATATAATAAAATGATGTGATATAAATTAAGATCAAAACTTAAGCCTTTGAACTAGTTTAATCAATAAAATAGTCGAAATTCTCATCAATAATAAAAATATAAATCAAATCATAAATTGCTATTTTACTTAGGAGGGTTCAAATATCTTCGTTGCTTGACTTTGAAGCAATTCATAAAATTAGTTTTACCCTAACTTGCTTCCAAAGTCCAAGGAAACACTTGAGTCTTATAAATAAAATGGCAAGGGAGTTAATCTTTCGTTTGGACTGCCCAAATATGAAGACATGGATTCCAAATGAAATTCATTGAACACCTTGCAAATACTTCGAATAATAGCCATTTCCTCTTTGTGTTATTCGTTGTTTGGAATCAATTGCATTACCTTACATAACAATTAATAAGAGTGTTAGGCCTTGATATTTATAGTGATATCGTGAGTATTAATTTGCTACTCCATAAGTAATTGATTACGTTCATTATTTATACAATTCTAAGTTTTAATTACATCTATAAATGAATTTGCTCATTAAATTTCAATTGTATTTACTTTTACTAATTTTGAAGATCCTTCAAAGTTTCAGTTAGTTACTGATGCTCCGCCTCATAAATTTAGTGTTTCAGATTATTATCCTAATTGCTAAGTTCTTCAAGGACCTTCATTTTATTTTAACTAATGATATTTATCAACTATTTTCTACTTCATTATAAGTATTCATACTTCTCTCCTTGAATAAAATAACGATGAGCAAACACATTGATGTTTCGTCGAATCTTTGTTCTCTTAAAACCATACAAATTTAATTGCCTATCAAAAGTAAACCATCAAACTAACCTAATAAAACTCGCAAATGACTTCTGTTTATAGAATACTCTAAGTATTTATTTCTCTAATTTCTTGATATCACAAACCTCAAATGATGTACCATCATCACTCCATCTCAAAAACCTATATTGCTCTGACTAAACTTATCATATTAATTTATTACTTCTAGCAAATCAAATAGCTTATCTAAAAACTTCGGACTTTTTTTCTATTGCATTCAATATTAATATAATAATTTTTCTGATGGTATGTCATCTTTTAGTTTATTTAGTCATAATGAGATTAATATAAATATATTTTATTAAATTATTGAAAAATATAAATAGGATCTATACAGCATCATAAATCAAACCCAAAAAAGTTAAAATCTGATTCTTGCTAACCAAAAAACCAAACTGGTTCCAAAGTTTCAAGATTAAACTGATCCTACTTATGATTTAAATAATTTCCAATATCTTCAACAACGGCTTTTCCGAATGGAGCAGGAGAAGTTGGATAAGGAACCTCTACTTCATCTTCCTTTATTGACAGCGTTTCACTCATCCATAGATCTTCTTCCTTCGGATACACGCACTTTATTAGGTACTAAAATGAAGCCTCTATCAATCATAATGAATGTTTTTACAAGCTTCTGGTTTCATTGCTCTGACGATCATCCGAATACTCTCAATGAAAAATACTCCTCTCCTCTCCTAAATAGCCTTTATTTCCAATAGTTTCTATCAATTATTTGATAGGATCTTACTTCAATTATGAGTTTGAAATGACGCTGAAACCTCAACTATTGCTGAATGAAATCAACCAATTATTTCTAGATGATTACTTATTCTTATTTCAAAGACGTCATTGTATTTTTTAATTCCTCTTATTCTATAAGAAATGTCCCTATCTATTGTTTCTCTACGTGAATTTATTTTTTCTTCTAAATGAACTTCTGGATAACTTTGTTTTATGTGAAGTACGGGTGCTCGTAAGTCAAGATCCCATCTTAATCCTTACAACTTGTAAAGCCATACATATTCAATTGTCTGCAAAATAGAAACAAAATACCTTAAAAAACTTGAATAATTGCCATGCTTGAAAAATCGAGGCAAGACATTCTCTTATAATAATGATTTATCAATGATTTTAATTTTAATTCCTTCTTCATCCCACTTTATAATGTCTATATACTCAGAACACTATATTTGTGATTGATAGTACATCTAGAATCTATTTAAAAATCTCAATAAATCTATTGCTTTTGCTTTTATTATTTTTTTTGTTCATTATTTTTTTAAATTCATGAAAATAAATTCATTTTTCTAATAGTATTCATAGACAACTATTAATCATAATTAAATAGAAGCAATGATAGATTGGTTAAATACAAAATTGTATAATGATATCAATAATTTATATATTTAATAAATCCCCAAGCTTATAATCCATTATCGTTTATAATTAGCTTCATTCCTTTTGTGATATATTCTGGGAAATATTTGAATTTCAGTCTAATAATATTAGGTTGCTTCGGAATTAATTCAATAAACTCCATAGGCTTCTCGTTTTTCTCATTAATAACGAATAAATCTGTTTTTTTTTGATCATCCTCATTCGTATAAGATTTAACTTAACTACTTCCTTTCCTTCTTGGACTTCTATAGGATTATTTGTTTAAACTATTAGAACTACTAGCCTTCTTGAGTTGTTCACTTTATTTTCTATAAGGTGTTCTTGGCTACACAGGTTCAGGTTTTTACATACAAGATTCATCAATTGATTTAGATTATTTTTTCCTTATTGTTAGAGTTTCAAACTATAATTATTCTTCTCGAATTATTTTACAAATTTATCTAATAATATAATAAATTTAGATACCTAGTACATTGAGTATTAATCACAGGTTCAAAGCTCACTGCTATTTTTTTGGCTTCTTTTTAATCATCAAATAACCAAATTTCAGCTAAAAAATCCCATGCAGCTTAAGGATTGCTTTTACCTTCGATTAAAACCATTCCACGTCTTATAGGATTCTAATCTGATCCAAATTATTAAGTGAAATTTCCTTATTTAAATCTAATAGTACATATTTATCCACATTGTGCAGATTTTACCTATAATTATAATATTTTATTACTTAAACTCTGTTGCATTAGATTTCTTCAACTTCAATAGGGAAAAATCGACCATGTTTATCTGGTCCCATTTATAATATTTGTTTGACTCTTATAATTCCTTTGAGAACTGTTCCACCAAGCACCTTCTAATTATTAATTTCAAACACATTATGAATACAATATTCTGAATCTAAATTGGAGTTGTTTGTTAGTTCATTTGTGGAAGGTAGTAAGTTTAAGAATTTGATAAAATAATCTAAAGTCCTCTATTTTAAATTGGAGATCAAAAATATAGGAATGAGTGTTTTACTTAGAATCTATTTACTAAATAAGACAACATCTTCTTCACTTCTAACAACAATGGGAACACTTTAAATTTATAGACTCTTAATCATATCTTTTAATTATTCTACTTTGTCAACATAATAATCCTCAGTGATTTGATCTACGTGAGTTATGGCAACCATAAATGGTATTTGTTGAATTTAGATTAATTTAAGAAAATCCATAGTAGGTTTACCAATCTATTATAATGATGAGATTGTTAATAAGGCATAATCTGGAAACTAAGAATTGATAATTTGAATCATTTAATTGTGTGCTCTTTTAGTTCCACCCATATCGATAAAAGTAATTAGTTTTGTTGATAAATCCACTAACTTCTCTACCATACAAGTAGGACTGAAATTAAGTTAATTTTAATGATTCATAATCTTTCCTTCACTATCAAATCCTATGACTGTATGACTGACTCTTTCTGTCTTTCCGGATGTAATTTCTGACCTATTCTTCAAGAACTTCATTCTCGCCAAACCTTGTCCATTATCAAGTTGTCCAGTGCTTAGGACTCCTAAAAGGGATGTCTTTCCAGATCCACTTTCCCCTAAGAGAAGAATTCTTATGTCCAAATTGATTCCATCCTTCAATCCTTTTCTAACTATAACCTCACAGGTTTTTCCATTTGTTCCCTGATTGACACCTACTACCAATAGTTCAGCTTTAAGAGATTATGCCATCAAACAGAGTGTTTTCAATGATCCAAGCATGTCGGATTTGTTGAGACCCAGAGGATTACCACTATCTTCAACTCCAATTTTATAATATGCCATTCCGTTTCCTTCAGATAATCTGAAATTCATCTATGTTGTTAAATGAGTTAATCTCTTAGGATCTGGATCAACCAGTCTAAGTTTGTATTCGGTGTGTCCAAAATCACTCTCTTACTTGAAACAGGATATCTTTGAGATATCTTCTTGAATTGCATACTAAATTCTATCATCAAGTTCTTACTTATTCATCTATGTATTATTATAAATCGATTTGGATCTCCTCGTTATTTGGTTTTACTAAAAGCACAAACTAAGGCTTGGTTTCATATTTTAAATGCTGTTTGATTAATCAAAAATATACTTATATTTAATCCTATGATTCTGTTTCATCATCATTTATTTAAATATTATCTTGTTTATTTGATTGTTTTCCTTTCTTTTTTTTCTGGAGATTCAAATTTTGTTTCCTTTGTCTTTACTTATCAGTCAGCTCAGAAAATTAGGGATGAGCTTGCTTTTACTGTTTTTTCTTCTCTCTTTTAGACTCTTCTTCATCTATACCCTGCCACAAACTATAAATTCCATTATTTATAGTGGATTGTTATTAAAAATCACTATGCATGTATGTGGGATTGTACGAGTATATTCTTTCTTAAATATAATAATAAATTATTGTATAAATGTTTTAAATGAATTTCAATTCAATATTAGTTCTGAATAATTAATATATTTTTTACGTGTACTTTCTCTCATAGAAATTGCTAGAATAATTAAAGAATAAAATCAATATTTCATAAAACAATGAATTCAATAGATTATTCATCAAATAATCTTCTTCGTTTTCTTTTTCTTACGCTATTCTTCTTCTTTAATATGTTCCTGTATAATAAATTTCATAGCTATCATACTATCTAATGTTACAATTACCTTTGACAAAATTGTAAAAGAAAATAGACATTATTATAACTATTGCAAATATTGATATTGATTTCTCTGTCAGATTGTACGACCTCAAGAATTTTGTAAAACTATTCTAGTTTCTCTCATAATCTTCTAAAATCTAATCATGATCCAAATTAATACATGTTATTTCTCTGTGTACATTCGACCCTTGATTTCAATTTCATCCAACGACAACTAACCTAAGTCACGCTGATCAAAAATAAATTATTCAGGCTTAATCATCTGTAACCAATCAATTTATTGTACCAATGACTCATCTATTGTGGAGTCTGGATACCTTATTCTTATCTCTTGCATGCAATTATTCATCATATAAAAAAAGTGATTTAGCACAAGATCTTGTTTCGAAGACTCCTCATATTCAGAAAAATAGCCTAAAATCTAATCTTTGTTTGAGTCGTAAAATAAGCCTACTACTTTATCACACAAATAAAGACGCTAAGTTTCAATATCTTTTATCCATTCTGTAGCGTAGCATAAACTTATTATAAAATAACAAATATTCACTTTCATTATTTATAAAACTAAATTAAAAATGGGAAAATATTATTATTCATTATTATCCATATTTATTATTAATCCTGAATCCTTTTTTAAACCGTTCTTTTTTGTTTATCTCCAACATTCGAAATAGTCTTTCATTCTTAATGATTACAATTTTATTAATCTCTTATAATACTGTTTTTTCATAGAATTGACATAACAAAACTCGCAAAAATACTAATATGTATATATTCTGTAACATATTTACTGCTGATTAATAAGTGTTTGCAAAATCAAATAATATAGATGATTAGAATTAAAAATTAGAGGGATGGATAAAAAGCGGAATAAATTAGTTTTATTTCATTTTTATATTTATTTATTTATTAAATTATGACAGATGATGATTTTGAAACCGAGTAAAACTTACTAGGAACGATATTGTCAAGTAAATTACTCCAATACATATTAGTAACTGATGAAGTTGAGCATTAGGATCAGAAGAAGTAGAATGCAAGTGTTGATTACAATTCGACATAGACTTAAGCAAAATTCTAATTCTAATATTAGTTTTAAACAGCAGATACGTTCAGCAAATCCTTTGAACAAATAAGTTTAGGTTCAGATCAATTATGCAGCCCTATTTCTCCTGATGGGAAATTGTAATAGAAAACTCAAGGGGTTTGCACTTCATTCAGTTCAGATAATCAAACTAGCTTAGAAAATTCAATGACTTTTGGAAATGCTCGTAGCTTTGATTAATTCTAAAAATAACCTGAATAATTTTCACCCATATTTTACAGCTAAACCAATCCAATTTGGCCCTCATATCAAAAACCAAGTCAAAATTTAGAGATATAATTAGATATTGATATTGTAAGATTTGTTGTTTTATCAATTTTTATAGGAGAATATGTGTGGTAATCAAGTGCTCTCTAGAAAGGTGCAGAAGATATTTGAGACAGGATCTGCCAATTAAAAGCAATAAATATTCTGGAAGGTGCAGGCGAATTGTTAAGAATTCTCAAAAGATGTCTTTGGAAATTATTTAATTTAGAAGATTCTTGAAAAAGGTATTACTCAATATATCATTTTAGGATCTTTAGCATAATAAATTTTGATCTTTAAATAACTATTGCCTTATGTATTAGAATTATCGAAAAATAATTTTGGTTGTAGAGTGATATAGAAACTTATAGAAATCATCTCCAACAATGATCAACTCATAAATCCATTCATTGAAGAAATAAAAAAAAATGTTTAATCACTTTTAATTGATTAAAACGGCAAATATGTAATTTTAAAATGCCTGGAAAACCTTTAAATAGATGCAGTTAGATTTATACTAAAACCAACAGAGGAATAATGTAATCATATGTGTGATTCTTAATATGGATGTAAAATAATCTAAAAACTAATTGAAAACTATCCATCTTAAGTGGATGATTTGATATAAATTTGTATATCTACTTAAGACCTCCTCTATAAATCTTAATCTGGGAATTACATCATTTAATATGCCATTAAATAGCCGAAAAATCTAGAAGTTATAGCAAATTACATCATAAATCACTTAGAATATTTATGTTTTAATAAATATGCAAGTAATACAGTCGAAGCTATCCTTGAATATTTAACCCCAAAACTTAAGAATGATTTAATTTAAATTTTGATCAAGCTTTCAGATTAAAATAAAATGTAATTGTATGATGTAATCTTAGGTTCATTTTTATAAATATAGCAACAAATCCTTTTGGAAATTATGTTATAAAGAGGTTATTATATACGTTTGAACTAGAACACACGCAATAACTGTTAAATGTAATAAAATAGAATTTAAATTTGCTACAATACATCAAGCAATCAGATTATGGATAAAGAATCTATACAATATTGACAACATAGTTAAATGATTAAAATTGATAATAATATAAAATGATTATAAAAATAAAATATAATAATGATAGATTACACTTATTATACATATTAATAGACTCAAAATTAATCACTCAACAATGGAATTCAAATTACAAAAGACTTGTAAATCCAAATCTTAATGATTACACAATGGGATAGTAGATTCCAGCAATAAAATTCAAAATAGCCAAAAGAATAGTAAAATAGATCACTAAATGAACTAATTGTAATTTTTCAATAAGTTTCAAAGAGAAATGACAACATATAGTTCCAAATACAAGCTAAATAGGAATATTATCTTTACTGCTAATCCGAAAAACCAAGCGATTTCTGCTATCGAAATTTAACTATCAGTTATTAATTTGACAATATTAGTCAAGCCGATAAAAAAGTAATTAAAAGCTGATGTTGCAGTTGCAATTCTAGGATGTAGTCCTAATTCTAATAAAACAGGCACCATAATTAATCCCTTAAATAATACAAATGAATTACTGCTCCTAAAGCTAGAAGGCCTGAAATCAATCCAGCAAAAAACCCAGATACATATATTAATATAAATCTATTCTTTTGAAAATATCTTTCTTACATATAAATTTTATAATCATCAAATATCATTTCTTTCTAATAATAATATAATATCTATATTACCTTTAATCCATACGTATAGACTAACCTGGACATAAAAATATTAACGATAAACAACATAATCCACAACATGTATCTAAAATCAAAGCATTTATTTAGTGGAATAAATGGTTTTAGATATTTTCCACCAGTCATAATTATTTATGAAACAATAAAGAAGGATAAGGCTATGGCCAACTTTTTAGATGGGCAAAAATTCTGGAATTCATTTTGTAATAATAATTGTTGTTCTTCAGTATATATCGAATCTTTTTAATTGAGTAAATATTTTTCTAAGTCAAGTTCACTTTGGCATCTTATCTTTCTCAGCTTCTCTTTTTTGGCTTTATTCAATAGAAATGGAATTACGATGATCAAAAATATTTATTAGAACATTGTTTCAATTATGGGAGCCAAAAATACGTTTAGGATACTGCCTAAATAAGATCCAAGTGCTATTGAGCAATTTAAAATGACTACTAGATCGTAATTTACTAATGGTCTTTTCTAATCATAGGGATGTGATTTCTTCATCAATAGAAATGTATTTATGACACACCCGCCAAACATTAAGCAATAAGATAACTAAGTTGCATAACTCTATTCATAATCAAGCATCATTAAGAGAATGGGTCCTTTCAATACTCCTCCTCCTAATCCTCCAGTCATTCCAAGTCCCAACAATACTGGGCATAGGATGTACACTAGGGTAGCATAGAGGGACATTGGGAATATGGGATCGTGTATACACATCCCATTTATGCATTTGTTTAAATATCCGCAATTTAGAGATTCTGGACATACTTGTTTGAACATTAAGATATTAAATAATAATGAAAATTGTCAAATCCAATTAGAGTTTTGTAAATTACCTATTATATTTAAAAATTATTTAATAAATAAGTAATCAATCATTTTTTAAGATAGTGAATTCGATTTCTTTGGTTAATCATTTGCTGATGAATTTATAAGTAATTGTGTACCAAGATGGAGCTTTATTTTTCCAATTAATCTAAGTATTTGTATTATTGATCAAATCCAGCATGCATACTAAATTTATCCATCAAACTGTCAATTTGTAATATGGATTTTTTGTTAAAATTGTTAGTTTTGATTCTTTCTTGAGTGCTAATGTGAGTTGATACTTCTAAAGAATTGTTTGAGATCTTGTTTGAAATTGATCTTCCTTTGCTACTTTATTTTTGAAAAGGCGATTAATTTTTTGATCTTTGGCTTGGTATGTAATTATTCTATTTGATATATGGACTTTTTGTTAGTTGAGGTAACTTAAGTTTAAAACTAGGACTATTATCCTTGCTTTAAGCTTTGATTAATAATTAATCATTTTTATACATTAATTATAATCACACATATGAAAGAATACGGTTCATCTAAACTGCTCAAGACAATTATTCAACAAGAAGTCATCACCAATGCGGAGCCTCCTAAGAAATTCAAAGTTAATGATTAGTATAAACCCTCAGAGAATATTATTATATCATAATATGCTTAAGAGGATCATAAAAAAGAAAAAAAAACTTTGGATGACATTATTCCAATAGATCCTCAAATTCCAGTTGTAGAGACAAAGAAGCATACAGAAAAACCAGTAAAAAAACACGAACAAACACAAGAAAGTCTTGTTGATGATCTACAAAATATTAATATTGTTGCTTGTGAGGAATATTCCCACTTGAGACCAGTCATACTTGGAGAGATAGAAGAAGAGAACATAAAACAAAAAAAGAGTTTTTTATAAGCATTACGCGATGGTCATTGCATTATATAATTGCCAAACAAATTACCTTTCCATGACATAGGAAAAACATAAAAATATGTTGAAGAGGTTAAAGGAGATTAGGCGCAAAAATAATTAAAGTATTGATATTCAAGATTTAATTAGAGATTATTATGATGAATGTTATGATAGTAGTGGAATTCAATTATAAAAATAATTCACAAATCTGAGTAATAAAGCCGACGTGGGTATACATATAGGAAAGATTTCAATTGCTGCTGATGGATCTGCCATTTGGAAAGCTGGAAGGGAAGAATTTGAAATTGTTTAAGGAATAACCTAGGATTTAGATTAAAAATGTTTGATCATCAATAAAGAAGATGGTAAATGTGGGTTCATCAAAGTGGGTGAAAAATTTGTTATAACTCCTAATTATTGAAGTTCATTTTAAATAATAATATATTCAGTAAATTATATGAATTGTAAAACTATATTTAAAATCTTAACTTAATTTTATTATCACATAATCTACACTTTAGTTTATCTCTCAATTCTCAAAAACTCGCAATTTATAAGAGATAATGTAATTAATATTTTCAAATTATTGAACAAAATTTAAGGATTGTAATATTGACATTTATTCTTTTTATAAAATTATTAACAATACTATAAAGTTGAGCTTGTAATAAATTTTGATTTCTTAGTGGTACCAAAATGATATAATTGAAGTGTACAAAAATTGATGGGTATTATTAGTGTTATTATATATATTAATAATTTTTAACGAATTATAAATAATTCAAATTTTAAACCAAATGAAAACCTTTTAAGTTAGTAAAGACTCATCATTTAGGTATGTTAAACATTAAATTAAGGATCTTAGTGCCATAAAATAGGATTGAAATGGAAGAGGAGACAGTGGAAACATCAATCTAGTTAGATTAAAAGAATATTTATCGACCAATTAAAATAATATTTCCTCCTCCAAATCTTCCAAAAATCATTACAAATACAAAGTAAATTATACATTTATGTCAGATCTTGTAATTGTAAAAAATCCTAATGTCTAAAACAGTATTGTGATTGCTTTGCTAACGGATAAATGTGCTCTGAAAATTGTAATTGCGTTGGCTGCTTCAATAATACACTCAACATTGAGCAAAGAAAGGTGGCTAAAGTGCAAATTGTTAATCGAGATCCTGGAGCATTTAAATAAAGTTTCAAAGGATGCAATTGTAAAAAGTCTGGCTGCCAAAAGAAATATTGTGAATGTTTTTTAAATGGTCTAACATGTACACATTTGTGTAGATGTGATGGATGTCTCAATTGCTAAAAGTGATATTTTTATATAATTCATTTCAATCATAAAGAGTTAGAATTAAAATTTAATCTAATTAATTAATTCTTTAATCATGATCAAAAATAATTGACCATATATCTTATATCACTTATTTGTAGTGATAACTCGCAAATTTCTTAAGAAATTTAATGCCTGAACTATATATTAAGAATATTATATCAATCACAGAATATATCTAATATTTTTATCAAAATTTTCGATTGAAGATCAAATCTGATTACTTTTCCTTTAGTAACTATACAAGATTAAGATAAATGATAAAACTTTTAATTCTTTATGATATAATTCTAATTATAAAATTTAAATTATTAAATCATTAGATATTTATGTAATCATAAGACTTTATTGCTGGTTGTACTGCTTAATATCAATTAGAGACGATTATTTTATGTTTTGAAGAGAGGAGAGAAGTGCATCTAGGATTGAAATGTTCTGGATTTAATTCTGTTTTAAGCTTTTGGCAAAATCATTCTTGTTTTTTCTTTGCGGCTTTTCAATTGGGATTGCGATGTACTCAAGGGACTATTACAAGATTATTTGTCTAACAATTCTTCTGGGAAGTGGGTTTTCATTGCAAGTTTTTTCATTTTATATTTTGGTTATTCAACTTAGGATTCAGGCTTTTGAATTAATTAGGTATCCAAATCTTGAGATTCATTTTAAGTAACAAAATTATAGCAGATTTTTGATTTAAGAAAGAGCTCTGATTAGGTATGAGTAACGCTTAAAGGTATAACTTTAACTGGATGTTTTTTTTATTTTTAAGATAAGAATTCGAGTTATTATTTGATTAAATTAATACGTTGCTATTTTTTAATTTATTGAATTTATTGTATCTTTTTTGTAGTCTCTATTAATCTTTCGCTTTGTTGTGGAGATTCAATTATATTTTCTGATTTAATTCTTTAAGTATAATATTATGGAAAAGTGGAGGCTGTTTTTGCATCTGTCTATGTTCTAAGTTCAGCAAATTATTGGAGTTCTATTCTGTGCAATTTAAGTTCTTCTGATTGTTATTCAAACATTCTTTCAACCAAAGAAGTTCTTTAGATTTTATAAGCATAGCCCTTGGCTGAATTACAGACCAGTGAGTACTCATAAGGAAGATTGATGTTGAGATGATAGAATCCAAATACTTGCAATTCTCCGATTTCAAATAGCTATGATATCAGGGATAGTTACATTAGCATTAGTTTGATTAGATCTAATGAATTTCTTAACTAAGAAGCTACCAGATTTAATTAAAATAAAATAATCAACCTTTTAGCCTTCTTAGATAACAATTTGATTTTTTTCAAATTCATACAAAAAGGAATTTAGATAAATATGTTTCAATTGGGTTCTGTGAAGATGGGAAAATATCTTGATTTGAGAGAAATAATCGATGTTCTTCATAATTAACAGATAGATACTTCGTCCAGTTATTTTTATTGTTCTTCTTAAAGAATATGTTTAAATTGTTATTTGTCTAAAACAGCAAAAGTGCATTCAGTGAGACATTGGATTGTCGCTAACCTTGGTTGCTTGTGTAGGAGTGCTAATTCACCAAAAGATTCCCCTTTGTTCAGGATTCTTACAGCTTCCATTTCAATTTGATTGGGCTTCCTCACTAATACCACAACCTGTCCTTCTAAAATAATGTAGAATTTAGTGCCTACGCTGTCTAACGAGTTTAGGATTATGGTTTACCTACATAGAATACAATTTCATGGGTTTTGAATTTTTCACAATACATGTTTTTACAACATTTCCTTTGTATTTGAATTCCATTCTCAGACTTGGTGTATTATTTAAAAAAAGGAAGTTAAGAGGTTAATTTAACTAGAAGATCGATCTCAGCTTTGCTTCTATGTTGCGGACTCTTCTTTAATAATAGTTCAACCTCATCAATTTACTTTTGCATAAATAATATTTATTATTACTAATACTCAATTGAATAATTTGTTATCAAAGGGATCTCTACAAAGTGAAGATAATAAAATTTATTTTATATAATTGTATAATTATAAAAACTAATAATAAAAATGTTTGGCAAAAAGAAGAGTTCATCTGTTGGGTTCAATCCTTTTAGCAGATTTGAATAAGAAAAGCCAAGCATAAGTACTAAAATCATCAACAAATTGAAAAGCCTGTTTTAAACCAATTTAAATCCTTCTTCTTGTATAAAAAGGGAACTAATATCTTAATAGACAATTTATGTTCCTGTCGATTTAGATATTGTCGGAGCATAAACTATTGAACATGGTAACATTAATATTGATTAAGATTCCATTCAAATATGTCATTCCCAGAGTAGCATTAAATAAAGAAGATACAAACCCACGAGTTTTGATGATCATCTCAAAGAATAATAAAAATAAATAAAATTGTTAGATGATTTCAACTAGAAGCTTTAAAAAAAAGAAGAAAAACACCTAAAAAAAGTCAATGGTAATTGTTTAACAATTATTACAATCAGCCTTGCAATAGAGTTTCGATCGTGTTTTACCATAAGATATCCATATCACTGAAGATAAAAAGGACATTCAACCTAGAAAAAAACTTAGTTCTCAATAATACAAAAAAAGAAAGCTTGATTGTAAAATTTTGATATAATCATAGAGAAAAAAAAAGTGGGCATCCAATTTGTATATAAGAAACATGTTTATGATTAATATTAGGATAGTATAGATGAAAGTAGAATAAAAGTAATCCCAGAATAAATGAGCGATGATTCCCTTAAAAATAATAGTCTCCTTGCAGCAGAACTAAAAGTACAGCCAAAAAATAAAGAAATCATTATTATTTCATTAGAAAATCAGTAAAAACAAGAGCTTGAACCTCCTCTTATTAATGGAATCAAGGAAAATCAATCAAAAAAGTTAAGAAAATCCTCATCCATGATTAATTTGAATGAATAAGAGGCTAAATCATTTTCTTGCAGTCCTAAAGAACTTGAAAATTCACAATCCAGAAAACAATCCGATCTCATAAATATAACTAAGTAAGTTGAACCATTAATAAATGAAGTCAGAAAAGAAATAAAAAAGAATGAAAAGTAAACTGAATTTTCAGTATAGCCACAATAGACTGTGATCAATTTCTTAGTTCAAGGATCTGGGGAATAATAGAAAATTTAAACAACAAATAACAGCACATCACAAAAAAAGGAAGTTCCTGAAGAAGTTAAGCAAACTGAAGTATAAGAAAGCCATATTAATAATTTTTCAGAAACTCCTTTGTTTGGATTTGGAAAGAACAGCAATGGTCCATAAATGATTCCTTATAAAATCAATGTGCAATCGTCTTTATTTGCGTTTAATGATTCTAAGGACTAGGATGTATAAAAATCATCTAATAATTGTTCAGGCTAGAATTTATTTTAAAATTAATTCACTTTCAGCTAAAATAAGTCACAGCCTCAAAATTCTATTGTAAATAATAATAAAGAATCTTCTGATCAAAAATAAAAGGTTGAAGAAAGTAAATAAACTTATAGTCTTTTCAACAATACATAAGAAAGTTAAAATGATTAGTTTCCCCTTAAAAAATAGCTTTTTTAAAACTTAACTTATCAATCCTAATCTACTTAAGGAGAATAGAAAGAGGAAAGCAAATAGAATCAGCCTGATGATAGCAATTAAAAGCCTGATATTGAAAATACTTAGCCTATTTCTATTGGCTTAAATTTGTAATTGAAATCATCATCTGATAATAAGAAAGACATTTAATTCAATATCAATAGTTAACTAAATTAAGTTGGTCAATAAACTCCTTTTCAAATTTTATAATAATAGCCACCCAAAAATGAGAACAATAAGACTGATACTTATACTCCTGATCTATTAATTAACAAAGTGGCTACTCCAGCCAAACAAATAAGCAATCCTTTTCTATAATAATCACCTAAAATTGATTAAGAATAAATAATCGACTATTTTTCAAATCATTTATAATAATAAAATAATATCAATTAGGATGATCCTGCTAAAGCATAGATCTCCCAATTTTCAAATGAACTATTTCAATAATAAAATATTGGCGCTTCTATGTTTAATCTTCAAAATAGAAATGCATTTTAAGAAAGTCTAAGTAATAATATGAAAATGAATAATAATGGTGTTAAAAACGATATGGAAATCACAGATACTCTATTACCTTCATAATAATTCTAATAACCTTTGTAGACATAAAACACTTTTGGATCTTTTAATTAATCTCAACTTGGAACCAATAATTTCTTTCCATAAATGCAATAGCAAATTTCAGGTGGGTTTAACCCTGTGTAATATTTTTAAAAAAACCCTTTGTAATAAAATGAACATTAACCTTAATACTTTTAACTCCATTAAACTAATGGTAATTATTTATTTATTATTCTAAGGTATATTCGCTTAGGATCCACCTAAGTAAACAAATTAATCATAAAGTTTGAATAACAGTTTTTCAAGTAGGAATGGCAATAAGAAATAAAGAATAGATCAATGATTGAAATAATTAATTTAGCTAAAATATAATTATTAATAATAATAATAATGAATAATGTAAATAATTCAGATATAATGATATGGGTATATCTTATGATATTAAACATAATTATCCTAATTATTATTTATTTGTTTGTTATCGATACCGTTCATAAATTGTATCAAAAATGATAAGAATCTTTTCCTTTGGAACCTTAAATATTGTGAAAATCCTCTCAAATGCAAATTTTTAACCCTATCTTAAAGATATTTTGTACCTATATCATTACTACACTAATATTGCCATTATGATAGGTATCAACTTTAGAAAAAATAAAAGATTTTCGGATCTCCAAAAATTCTTGTGATTATTAGAACTAGTTTGTAGTGTCAACCTTTAAATTATATTAGAATGCTTGAAATGGCTGACAAATTCTTGACCAATACAATAACTAACTCATGTTTATCATTTAAAATATTAATTAATAACCAATCAAAATAATTATTTTGATATTTTTATAAAATTCTAAAATAGTAAACTAGTTTTAGTAAAAAAATACAGGATTTGATTAAAGGTATTAGGAAACGAAAGTTTTTATGAAGACTTCTAAATTTATTTTATGATCTATCTTATCTTATCTTATCTTATCTTATCTTATCTTATCTTATCTTATCTTATCTTATCTTATCTTATCTTATCTTATCTTATCTTATCTTATCTTATCTTATCTTATCTTATCTTATCTTATCTTATCTTATCTTATCTTATCTTATCTTATCTTATCTTATCTTATCTTATCTTATCTTATCTTATCTTATCTTATCTTATCTTATCTTATCTTATCTTATCTTATCTTATCTTATCTTATCTTATCTTATCTTATCTTATCTTATCTTATCTTATCTTATCTTATCTTATCTTATCTTATCTTATCTTATCTTATCTTATCTTATCTTATCTTATCTTATCTTATCTTATCTTATCTTATCTTATCTTATCTTATCTTATCTTATCTTATCTTATCTTATCTTATCTTATCTTATCTTATCTTATCTTATCTTATCTTATCTTATAAATTAACTTTCTATTCTTAAGAATTAATCTTTTAATATATATGAAGTTTGGTTCAAATGAGTTAAGAGAATTTAGTGAAATAATTACTACCAATATCATAAAGAAAAATAATCAAATAGTATTGAATTTATTTCTATTTTAATCGTATTTAAGAGGAAGGATATAAGGAATGAGAGTTAACCAGAAAACATTCTAATTTAACGCTATTTTAATATTTAATTATCTTTTTAATTTTAATTATCTCATTTAAGTCCCTCTTTAGCAAAATCTTCTATTTTTTGATTCCAATGGAGTTTAAATTCATCTTATTTTTAGGCATTAATTATTTCTAAAACCTATTCAATTTCACTTTCTCCTTAATCTAAGGTTGAAAACAATCCTTTATAAGTTGTGCTAACTATCATATCATATACAAATTTTCCACAAATTTGAAGATGAGATATAATATAATTTTCCTTTGAAAATGCATATACATATTTAGAGAAGGCATTAAAATAGGAATCTGCCTCAATTTTATCTTTAGGTAGAAAACATCCGCCATTAATCTTTTTAAATTCACCTTCCTCAACCATTTCACAATAATAGTATTCTTCTTTATCTATTAATATATCAATTAATATATACCTTTATCTCTTAATACAAATTGTCTGGCGATTCTATAGTCTCCTTCTTTTAATTTTTATGATCTTAAGACTTTATTAAATTGTTCCATCAAAAATTAACATAAGAAGTTGTTTTTAGACATTTAAGCTGCCTCATCTAAATTAATAAAAGGTTGATTTTAAGAATATAGATCTTTTCTTAATAAGTATTTCCCTTTGAATTCATTTTAGGTTGCCTCAGTTACCACACTTAAATAACCCTTAAAAAATGTGGACTCGGCATTTGGTTATACACTTCTATTTAATGTCACACTGCCCTTTGCAGTCTTTTTTAAACACTGTTCAAATAAGAAATATTAATTATTATTCAAAAGATGCTTTGCTTAATCATATTCAGCAGTTATCTCAAAAATGTCATATTCCTTCACATCAAACATAACATTCGCATCTTTGTTCATTTCTTTAATTTTATAAGGTGATGACATTATTTTTTCCATAACACCAACTACTTTATATTGATATTTATCATCTTGCCTTGATAATTTTGAAAGAATATGGTCTTTGACACTTAGTTTTAAATTTGTTTATTCCTTCTCTTGCTTTATTAATTTAATCTTTTCATCCATTTGTTCTCTATATTTTTTATTTTAAGCTTAATCACTTAAAAGTTATTCCTCTTTTAGCTTTAATGATTTTTCAATTTATTATAGTTTAATTTCTAATTAGCCTATTTACCCATCTTTTTCTGACAATTTTAGTTTTTACTATCCTACTATCTCTTAGTTTTCTTTATTTGAACCCTGAACTGTTTTTAATTCTTATTCCAATTTAATAATTTGAGTTTTGAGTTGTGATATTTGCTTTTCATTATTTTCCCCTCTACTTTGTTATTATTCTAATTATTCCTTGGTTTGTTATAATTAATTTCTTAAATCTTTTAATTCTGAATCAACATATTCCTTTTATTATTATAATATTCTCAAGTCGTCATTTTATTTGTCATATTCTTATTTTTATTTTGCTAGTTCTCCTTTCAAGCGTTCGATATCCTCATTCAATTTATCTATTTTTGACTTTAATTCTGTAATTTGCTACTGTTAGCTACTTGCTTTACCTTCCAACTATTATTTTAAATTTGATAACTTATCGTTCTCTTCTATTTATTCCTCAATTTGAACTATTAAACTCTTATTTGCACTTTATAATTTTTTAATCTCTATATCTCTTTAACCAAGAGTAGCATTTGCGTCTTGAGCATTAGTATTTGTAGTTCTATAATTCATTTCTAATTCATTAATTATATTATTGCTTTTTTTTAATTCTCTATCTAACTTTTTAATTTTATCATTTAACGATGTAACGGTATTTTCTAATTATTCAACATTGTCTTTAGACATTTCTAATTTTTCCCTTTCTGATTTTACATATTATTTTAGTTTACCTGTCTCAGCTTTTGAATTTAATTATTCCTCTCCAAGTTCTCTTTAAAGATGATCTATTTATGCAATTAATTAATTGTTTGCATTAGTGGCCAATTGCATCTCTTGTGAAAATTGTTATTAACATTAAGTGGTCACCTAATTAAAATAATTTTGCCACTCTGCATTTAATATCTATATTTCTTAATTCTTTTTATTCATTTCATTCTGTAATTCTTCATTTTTTTTTTAAAATTATATTTCATAGTCTCTTTATTATTATTAATTATCTTCTTATAATTATTAAATATTTTATTCTAGATCGCTACATCTTGTATTTATCTAATTTAATTCTAATTCAAGCTAATCACGTATTTCCTAGATTTCCTAAATTTACTTTTCTTTTTCAGCTTTCATTTTTACTATGTCATTGTCAACGCTTTAATTTTTATAATTTTTAGATAATTATTATATATCCAAATAATGCTATTTTTCTTTTTCTTTCATTTCTTCAACTAAATTACCTAACTTATATTCAGCCTCCAATAACTTTTCATAAATCTCTTTACTTGAAAGAGTAGAAGAATTGTCAGAATTAACAATATTATTGTTATCTTTTGGTAATTTTTGGTTGACTTATTATAACAACTATTTAAGTTCATCTTTCTCTTTTTTTGAACATCTTAATTAATCTTCTAGATCTTTAATCTAAATTTATAAATTTTCTGAATTCTTCATCTAAAAAGCTTGATTAGCATTCAAAGTATTGAGGCAAAGCTGTGACATTTGTTAGGACAGACAACTACAACATGATTGCCACACTTAATTAATTGAGTTCTTTTCAGAAGTAATTTATATAACTTCTATGTGCAATTCTTTATTCTTATTTTATAATATTTAATTTTGTTCCTATAATTATATAATAGTCTACTCTTGGCTATTATTTTTCTTAATCATCTTATTTAGATCTATTTCAAGAGTATTATTTTTAACCTATATCTCTTTAATTTATTATTCTTTCTCAGCCGTAATCCTTTCAGTTTCGTTCAAATTTCTTTAAAGTTAATGTGCATCATAAACTTTGAAGTAAATTTAATTTTTTGTTTAGTTATCTGTTGTTTAACCCAAACCATTTGGTGTCTAGTTTTCTGTTTCAGAAATTTCAACTAGAATAATTGAATCACAAGTTATTTTATTAGTTTTTTTTTGCAGCTCCTCTTTGACGTTTTAGGGTTCACAATCAAGCATAATTATTTCCTTATCAGGCATCTCACAAATGATTTTCCAAGTATCCATTTAAGTCTTTGTAATAGAATTTAGATTTTATTGTTATTAGTTAATATGTTATTATCAAAGTGTTAATAAACACAGAAATGTGATAAGTTAATTCTATTAGAGTTATAAATTAGAAATATTTCTTTGCTGTATTTATCAAATTGATACAAAAAGTTTTCTATTAAGAATACAATAGTTTTGAATATTAACTCCTATTAAGAAATTAAATTGTAGAAGAATAAACAACATTGATATCTCAAACTTCTAATCTGTCACTTGAGATGGATCTAAATTTTGGAGTAAAGATTTAAAATTCTAGTGATCATATTATAGGATTAGAATTGTGTTTACTTGAATTTTATCTAAAAGATTATCCTTTTTGGATACAAACATATTTCTTTTGTAAAAGGAATAATTTTTGCTCCAAGAAAAAATTTATCAGAAAAATGAATCAACTAAAATACTCAACAGATAGAGACTCAAGATATTATTATTTTCCTAATTCTCATAAATAATTTATACATAAGGTTAGTTATTTTTTATCTAAAATGCACAATAATTTAAGTCTATTCGGAAAGATTGATTAATGTGAAATTTTTCTTCATCAGTTTTATGCAAAGAGCACATATAAAAGCAGTTAGAGAGGTTTATGAGAATTAAAACAAATATTATTATTTTTTTTCGTAAATTTTTATTCAAAATTCCATTAATTCTAAAGAAGATTTCATAACCCATCTCCAATAAAGAAATTATTTTCAACTATTATTTAAAATTAAATGCATGTATAAGAATCATCTGACAAGTTTAAATAAAACACACTTATTCTATAAAATAAAATAAGTACAACAGCATAAAATGTCAGACATATCTTGCCGATTGTAATTTTTAATATTGAAAAATAAAAAGTAAATAGATTAGTTTCATAGATAAAATATAAATTTTAAGTCAAGAAAGAAGACTTCAAACTGTAGAGTGATTGTGTAATGTAAAAATAGGTGTCGTTTTTCTTATATTATACTTTGGAATAGCTTTAATATATAAATAATTATAACAGTGGAAAAAGTAATTTAAGTTTTCTTAATACTAATTTATTTATTTAACTAATATCTAATTTTCTTTATTCCTCCGATAATCTTATACTATATTCATTTTCATCCTTTGATAAATTATTTGTCCTTTTTAAATATCTCTTAATTATATCGAATAAGACAGTTTAATAGTTGGATGATAAATTAATGTTGTCCTTAATTCGATGTAATTAAATAGCAATCATACTTAATCTTAATTACATAATTAAAAATGAGATCTCAGATCATTTCTCTTGATATTATTATTCTGGTTTTAGTCAAAAGTATAACTGGAACCGCCATCTATATAATAATAAATATATTTTATTATATTTTCCGAAAGATCTTTAGTTAACATCTAAGTAAATTAAATAATTAGTAAAATTTAGGTAATTTAAAATAGTTTATTATATTTGATGAAAATAATAAATATCTGGTATTTTAAGTTCAGTTTATCTATTAATGAGTTGCATCTTGATCTTATTAAATCAAACATAAATTTAATAAATAAAGAAGGGCAGATTATTTACAATGAAATGGAGATTAAATAAAAACAACAATGGCTAGGTATTTTATACCTATAATGAAACTATCACTGGTTTCAATGATTCTGATTAGAATATAATTTAAGATCATGTGATATCTAATTCAAAACAATATACATCCAAACATGATGACTTCTCAAGTTGTATTTTTTTGTATAACAAAATCTATTAATCCAAAATATAAACAACAGTAATTAGATACTATTTATACATTTGAGAAGTGAAAATTTATCAAAGATAATTTACTCTGATAATGTAATTGTTAAGTAATATTTTAGATACACTAATGTAACATCAAACTAAATTTGAATAAAAAAATTTTAAGCAGCATTTCTTGAATCTGCATCTTGGATTTAGGTGGAATTCCCTCAATTTCATATTTTGATGTTTTATCATTTACCATAAATACAGATATCAACAATATAGTTTTGTTTATCATATATCTAATTGATTAAAAGTGAAGTTGAATTTATATGAAACAGTACAAGAAGAAATACGAACAATGTATTCTTATTGAAACAATGTTCTACCATAGAAAAGATAGTAATTTAAACTCAGATCTAATCAAAATGGTCATAACTAAAATCCCAGATAATGTAGAAGTAGACAAAGATGAGATTAACAATTACTCAATAATTGATATTATAATTCAAGGTCTAGAAAATATGAATTATTCTCTTATACAAATTTCTAATTAAAAATTATATAATGTCAATGATTTAAATAAATTGATATTATCAATTCAGGCAGGATATCTGAGGATTAATGGAATTAAAATTTAAAAGCCTAGAAATTTTTAGATTATAAATATTTGATTTTAAACTTCTTACTTGTGATATTTTAATTAATGAGTGATATTAGTGATTAAGAACCAGAAAACTCAGAATTTGATGATAATTCATAAAGTCATTCAATTGGAGGAGAAGAACTCGAACCTGAAGTCTCTGGCATAACCTCAAGTGATGTAGATTCAAAAGGTATTTGTGGAGAAATACAATTAAATTAGAAAGACAGTCTGTGACATCAGAATCTGATTCAGAGGAGGAATAATAGATTGTGAGATCAGGGGCACCACTTTCTCAAAGCAGAGGAAAAAAAGTAAATAAAGATGAAAGAATTACTCCACCATTTTTGACAAAATATGAAAGAGCTAGAGTAATTGGTACAAGGGCACTTCAAATTAGTAAAAATAGTCCTATTTATGTTGATCCAAGTATTAAATGATTGCAATATTTAATAGAGGAAACAACAGATCCAATTTTGGTTGCTTAGCAAGAACTTAATGAAAATAAAATTCCATTCATTATAAGAAGGTATTGGCCCAATGGAAACTTTGAGGATTGGGAATTATAGGAATTGGAGCGTTTAGATTGATTTATAATACTCAGAATATTAAATTAATGATCACAACAAACATAAGCAATTCTGAATACGAAATTACAGTGTCTCCTGTCTCGTTTAAAGTAATAGAAAATTCTTCAAAGTTGTGACCATGATCCTCCATAACCAAGGCTGATGATGTTGCATAACTCCAAGTATAAGCAGATCCTTTAGCCAAAACTACATCTTGTGAAGAATCTCCTGTGTTTAATTTCCTTTTTATTCTAGCTTTTACAGAAGTGTCAGATATGCTATAAGAGACCAATTCTAAGTCTTATTTTGTATCTGTAGGAGGTGTATCATCTTCGACTGACCACAAATCCAAAACTTCTGCTTAGCCATCTATTATATTAATTGTGAGCATATCAACATTCTTCATCTAAATTATTTGTTATAATTTTTACCCCTTTTCCAAAACCAACTCCTATCCATGATTTTTAATTCAAAATGAAGCACATCTCGATGGTGTCATCTGTATTAAACTTCCATTTCACTTAGAAAGTGGTTCCAATAGATAAGGATGCAGTCATATCAGTGTCAGTATAAGTAGTACTACCGGAAGTATTTGTGACTTCTTAAATAATTCTTGAGTATTTTTCAACATGTTTAGGTTGTTCTTGTTGCTGATTGTTCTTCCATATATATGGTTAGAATCCTGTGTCTGGTCTTAAAAATTTCATCGAATTATTTTCACAAAAGTAATTGGAGATAATCTACTGCTCACTCAATTTTGGATGGCTCTTTGGTCCTTAAGCAAGTCTTTCTTCACATTCGCAGTCTTTCACTCTACAAAATAGGTATTCTCTTAAGTCCTTTTATTTATATTTATATAATATACCTTTTAACCAGAAAAGGCTAAAACAACTAAAGCTTCATCTGATACAATGTTGTAATACAATTCATTATTGTTTTTTGAATAGCTAAATGCAGTTTCAGCATTAATTGTGGTCAAAACTGAGAATAGGATGAATATGGATGTATTAATTTGAGACATTTATATACTAGGGATGTATAGACTTTCGGTTAAGAAGCTAAAATTATAGAATTAAATAAATTGTATAGAACAGTATCCATAAATTATTTAAATATAAGATAATATTTAATTTTTAAAAACTATTTAACCAATTATTTTTTTAAGGTTTCTTTATTTTATAATAATAATTAATTAATGAGACTCTTATATTATTTATTAAAATAAACAGTATTCATTATTTGTTGTTTACAAATTATAAAAGAAGCAATATTTTAGCGTTGTTTGTAAATAGATAAAGTTTCTAAAATGATCAACTGAATGAAAAGGTTTTTGATTAAAACATGAAATTAAATTGATATATAAATAATAAAAAAAAGAGTAAATTTTAATTCCTCAAAATGTTTGGGTGTATAATTTCAGCCTTAAGAGAGATGAGAATGAGGTCCTAAATATTTCTTTTTGAAATAATAATTCTGTTATTTGTTTTGGTTTTAGCAGGAGCAGCTGTGTATGTAGAAATAAGAATATTTTATTACATTTCAACTCATTCATCTGAAACTATTATTTCTAATTTGGATATCAAATAAATTAACCAAGCCACGTCTTTGGTTTCGCATTATATCAAATAAAAACATCAAAGAAGTAACAAATAAACTTATTTAAATATTAGGGATTCATGTCCTTGAACATCTATCCTCCTTTTTGAAAACCTATTAAATACTTACTAATTAGTTTACTAAACTCAAGTCATTGGAATCCTGTGAGGCTTCAGAAGAGTTCGTAATAAGCGAATATTCATTACAAACCCCCAAATTATGTTACTAACTTCATGGAGTACCTGATATGGTGACACTGCCTAAGAACAATTAAAATATCTCCTTGCTCTATAAGGGCTTAAGTCTCTTTAATGAGTATGATCTCTTATTTAGTATTGAAACACCCTACTTTATTTAAGTAGTCGACACTTCAGATTATAAAATTGATGTCGTTTATCCTATTGGTATGTTGATTAAAGGGTATGACCCAGAAACAAGACCATGGTATTCATATAATCTCTATAACAAGGTATGTTAACCACATTAAATAAATGAAAGCTCATCCAGATGAAATTTATTTTTATTCTGAAGTATATAAGGTGTTCTTCGAATCGTTTGATTACTAGTTTTCAATAACGCATTCATTATTTAATTCTCAATAGTAATTCTTCGGAATTGCTAAAACTATGTTATCTACCAATGACCCTAGTTTTGAATATGTTTTGTACAATATCATACTGATCAATTATGCTGGTTAAGTATTGTATAATGGTATGGAAATGGGGTAAAACCTTACAGACATATTTTATGTTTTTAATGAAACAATCACTGGCTTTAATGAGACAGATTGGTATCAAATAGAGGAACATGCAACCTATAGATTGGGCGGAGATAATCCTAATTAGATATTAATTTTGTATAATAAATATTTTTAAAAATATGTACATGTGCAAAGTGAAAAATTCAAAAAAGAAAATTTTACACTGATAATGTATATTGTTAAATTGCTATATTAGATTTACGAATGTGAGTTCAATTAAAATTATGGAAAAATAGTTTTAGGAAACTGAATAATCATTTATCTTTTGGTATTCCCTAGCACTTTCAATCATAATTTCAATTTGTTCATTAACAACTACTATCAGTTTAATTGCAATAAATTCTATATGCAAACCATTGACGAAGTTGACTAATTAAGTATCCTTACATGTGTTGCAATTAGGAAATAATATTAATCATCAAATATTTAAAATGTTTAACAAATAAATAATATCTTTGGACTTGCTAAACAATTTAAACAACAAATTTATGAATTTTTCAGAGCTATTACTATCGAGTTAAACTACAAAATCTGAAACTTGCCGATTGCTTGAAAAAATGAGTTTCAATAAAAGAGAAAGTAATCTTAATCTTAAATTAATACAAAACTAAAATATACTATTACCTGATTTTCGAAGTATTGAATAAACACAAGCATAAGATATAATCAAAAAAAGCCTTTTTTAAGGAGAATCTATGATTATATGAACTATCTCATTTTTCAATACATACCATTAAGTAATATCAATCAAATCAATTATATTAAAAATGATAAAATTTCATTTATATCATGTTTCTGTACTTTACTCTCGAGAATAAATTTATTCAAAGATTTTTATAATTCGTCAATATGTATTATTATTAAATAAATCAAATCAATTTTATTTGCTAGAATGTTTAATGCAAGTTGGATTGCCCCTAATTTACTAACAATGCAGCTTTCAGCTAAAAATCACTCAAATAACTACTTAGAAAACTATCCAAGGTTACCTCTAATACCTTAAAAAAATTAATTTTTAACTCAGGAAAAGCCCTAATTTAGAATTTACCAATAATCACATCATTAGAAAAACTAACTAACTTTTAAAGAGATCTTTGAAATCAATCAGAAGAATTAGGAACTCCTAAATGAATTAATGTATGCTCTGAGTCAAGATTTGCCATATTAATAACAATAAATACTAACAAACCTAAACAACCAATAGGACTACGATCTAAAAGTAAAACCAGATAGAATACGATATCCTTCGGTTGATAATAGGATCTAAATGGGAAGTTCACTAGAAGATGTACGGAAATATCCATAAGTTGGTATGAATTAATTTAAAGAATTATAACCCTATTCCAGAACAGAAAGAATGTATAAAAAGAGAAATGCGCATTAAAGAAAACTAAGTGATAACGGTTTTGAAATCGATAATAAACAAAACTATAAGTACAAGGTTATAAACGGAAAACAAAACAATACCAATTAGAAGATACAAAAAAATACCTTAGGGGAATCAAAATTAAATAAGAGTTTAATTGGTGAATAAAATTAGAATAAAAAGTTAAAATTCAAAACTGTTGGTTATGTAGTATTTGCTACTATGTGTTTGTCAAAGAAATATAGAATAATATAATAAAAAAAATAATTTTTAAGAAATTAACTTAATCATAATTACTAGGAACATCAAAAAGTAGTTGATTAATTTTCAAAGAGACAAGCAATTACCCATGAAAGATAATACTATGCATATGTGGTGGAAAAGATCATACATCATCTTAAAGAACAATCTTTCATTGATGAAACTCTAGAAATTCAGAATTAATCAAAAGAATATTAGAGTGACATAAGAAAAGTACATATTTTTAAATTCACTACTTTACTTTTGAAAAATGTAGAACTATACACTAGACAGAATACTATTACAGATATCGTACGCAGTTAAATCAATATGTGTATATATGAGTAAACTGGTATTCCAATTTCTAGATTTGTTGGATAAAGATGTCATTTTTATAATGATGATCGAGTTAAGATACCTGTAGAGCAATAAGTTTTGATAGCTTTGGAATATTATTTTTTTTGTAATTTGATCCCTTAGTTATGTGAGATTGTGGCTGATCTTCAGGATAACAAAACTATTGGGAAACAAAAAGTTAAAACAAATCCATCTCATCTAAATGAATGTCATTTTTATATTTGTGTTCTTGCAACTTTAATTTAATAAAAGATTGTATAAGTGTTTTCTGAATTGAAAAAAGTCAAGAACCCTAATGGAAGCATAGTTCAAAAGTCACTTAAGACTACAGAATAGCAGAATTTAGTTATCAAGGCATATATTGCCATTAATACGCAATTGGAGGATGATAATAATGAGGAAAGTGAAATAGTGAAGGGGTTGATATCATCTGATTTGATTCTGGCACTCGAGGAGGAGAAGCCACAGTGGAAGAAATTCATAGATAAGACTTTTTCGTAGATAATTACAAACCTTAGCAACTTGTTAAAAAAATGAATATATTAAATTGGTATGCAGATTATAATTAAAATAATAGATTAATAATTTAAAACAAAATAGGTTGTTAAACAAAAATTTTTCAGTTTAAAATGAATTATTCAACTAATTATTTTTATCAATAATTTTAATGTTAACTTTGGAGAACTTCAACTAAACATCATTCAAGTAACCAATAATCAACAGGTAATTTGCCTAAATACTCAAAGCCCACGGTCTATTGAGGCTTGCCGTTTGTGTGGAATTTTGCCAGAGGAGCTAATTTAAATTGGTATAAAGGAACTCAAAAAGAGAAATCCGGAGTTGAGATTGAATAAATAAGGGTGGGAGATTATGTGGCAACATCACGAAATAAGAAGATAAGAGAAACTATAGGCATGTCTCGAGGCAAGATAGTAATTGATTGATGCAGGATTTAATTTCAATAATCAGGAGGAGGAAGAATAGGTCATGGACAATTCAGATCAATTATAGGCAAGTCAAAATTAGTAGGAATTGGAGAAAATACAATTTAGACAATAGAAGGAGATTTAGCAAATGCTTGAACATGAAAGAAAGCAATAAGAGATTCGAGAGAGGAATGAGTCGAAGCAAAGATAGTTGTAAGAGAGACAATTGAGAAGAGAGGATTAATTAAGATAGAGCAGAGTGAAACAAGAGTATGATCGAGTTTAGAGGGAGAGGGATAGATAAATTAAATAATAACGGGAAGAATAAAAATAAAAGAAAAATGCTAAATAACAATATAAGAAAGAATTGCATAGAGTCCAATTAGAATAATTAAGATAGAAGGAATTGCAATAAGAGTACAGAAGAAGAGAGGAGGAAAGAAAATAGAGACAACAAGTATTCAAAGAGTAAATGAAAGAAATACAATTGAGACACGAAATGGAATTGTAGGTCAAGAGATAAATAATGGAAATGAAGGACAGAGAGAGGTTAGAGAAGTAGGAATAATCAAGATAGGACAAAATTCAGGCTTCTTAGTAAGCATAACTAGAGTTGAGATATAAATTGTAGGCTGCGAAATAACTACAGATGGAGAAACTAGAAAGAATGAGAGAACAATTTGAGGATAAGGAAAGAAAAATTGACGAGAGACGATAAGAATTTGAGAGGTTGAAAGAATAGAAATTAATTGAGAATTATATTAATGCGTAATAGCATTAAGAAAAAATGAAGTAGGTTATTGAAAAGGTGTAAAATTAAGAGGAAAATAAATATTATGATTATTAATAGAAATAGGAATTTGTAAATCAAAGAAAAAAGCAATTAGAACTGGAAAAATTGAAGGAGTTATTGATAAAGAAACAATAATAGGAGGAGAAGGAGTAGCATAGAATTGATGCTATTTAGAATGCGGAAAAGTATTAATAAATAAAGGCAATGGAGTTGAATAATAAATTATTGGTAAAAGAGCAAATGATTCAAGAGAAGCAAATGGAAAAGTAATAAATTTAAGAATAAATTAAACTATAAGAAATTCTAAAAATGAAAGATAAAAAAGAAGCCTTGGAAAGGTTATAGAGAAAATAGGAATACGAAAAAGAAATTTTAAGATAAAAAATAGAGGAGAAAATGAGAAGAACTGACAATTTACAATTATAGAAGAGTAGAGTCTTGGAGTAAAGGTTGTAGATGAAGTAAATAGCTAATTTGTAAAAGGAAGAATTAAAGCATTAATTTGAGTTGATAAAATAAGGGAAAATTGAAATTCTTTAATCTTCAAATGAAAATGAATCCCAATAACAAGGTTCTCATTAGATTGAAGATCATCCAATTTCAACTTAAAAAAAAGGAAGACGTATTATCTATAACGATTAACTTAGCTTAAACTGCACTTCCAAAAAAGAAGGCGGAAATTTAAAGACCAAAGTCTGCACTTCTGAAGAAGGTTCAAAATGAAGAGAGAAAATAAATCAGAATAAGTGATGATCCCTAGCAGCAGTATCAATTAGAGCTCTTGGAGTAACAATAGTAAGAGGAGATGATTAATGTAAGAAAGATAATGTATGTTTAGCTGTTGGAGAATGAGTAAGTGTTAGAGTAAGAAAGAGAAAAGCAGTTGTATTAAATTGAAAACAAACAAGATCAACTCAGATTAGAGAAAATATTTTAGATTGAAAGAAACTAAGCAAAAAAACGAATACTCGAATTGCAAGAGGAACATAAAAAGTAGATTGAAGAATTTATGTCTAATTGATTATTTAATATAATAAAATGTAAACAACAACTAAAGCGTAATAGTTTAAAGTAAAAGGGAATGAGGCATTTCAAAGTAAGAATTACCTTGAGGCCATATAATTCTACTCTTAAGCAATTGTAAAAGAATAAATTAATATAGGCTGAAGATAATACTGAAAGCATTTTCTTTTCCAATAGATCTAATTGTTACTATCAACTAAGGAGATATCAAGAGGCGTGTAATGATGCCACAGAGGCTCTAGAATTAGATGAAAAGAACATCAAGGCTCATATGATCGCTGGTCAATCGATTTGTATGCTGGCAAAAGAAAGATAGGAGAGCTCCAAGATTGACACAGGCATTCAAAGAATATTAAAAGGTGATTTAAATTTGTGATTGATAGCTCGAACCTTGTGTGCAGGTTAAAAGAAATCGGAATATGAGAAGGAAATAGATGAAAAAATTCATAAGGCTAAGAAACTGAAGTGGTTTATTTAGTAGGAAGAGGAGAAAATTAAAAATTAAGAAATTGTTTAATAGTTATAAGATTTAGTTAAAAGCGATGTTAAATTGACCTAACAAGAAAAATAAATTACTTTAGCCTAAATTGATAAATACATTACAAATGAAAAGCCTAAATTGGAAATCCCAGAATATTTGTAGTGTCATATTTCAAAAAAGCTGTTGATCGATCCTTACACAACAGAAGTAGGGTATTCTTATGAAAAAGCACTTCTATTCTCTAAACTCCATCTAAATCAAGATCCATACACTAAGTACATGTCTCATTAAATTAGCAAACCAATCAATCCACAAATTATATATCCTAATATAAATTTAAAGCAAGCAGCAAGTGAGTTTCTAGCCTAGAATCCTTGGGCCTATGATTATAATCCAGATTAGAATTATAAGGATATTGAGATATGATTCGATAAGATAATGAGATGATAGAATTTGTAGCTATCTGAATTGTATAAATTTCGAAATAATAATTCATTAATTCTATTAAGATGAGTACAATATCAATAAGACTTCCAGATGGCAACATTCACAATGTTGAAACTTAGAGCGGCTAAGCGATAAGCTTAAGAAATTTTTTTTTGAGTACGCACACAATTGTTATAATTAGGTTTTGGCCAACATCTACCACCATATGAGGTTTCCTTACTATTAGATGAGAATACCAATTCTTTGGTTAGCAAGAGCGACAAGTATTTTATTTGTTCTTATAATAGTCTAAAAGCCAATGTGCCATACAAATTAATAGATGGGAGAGAATTGATAAAGTGTTATAATACATTTAAAGATCGGAGCACTAAAGGTGATAAACAAATATTGGATTTATAATAAAAGCTGACAGATCTCCAATAAAAATTAAATGAATAATAGCTAGAGATTTCCAGAGAGGAGAAATAAAAGTTAGAAGATATCTAAAATAAATATAAGGAATTGGAGTCTCAGCTTAATAGCTAGAAAGAATAGAATCTAAAATTATAACAAGAACGTAATTAAGCAAAGCAGTAATATAAGGATCAAAAATAGAAAGTAGAAAGTCTTGAGAAGTTAATTTATGAAGAAAAAATGTAGTTTGAAAATGAAAAAAAGTAGTTTGAAATTGAAAAAAAGTAGATTGAAATTGAAAAAAGTAAGATGGAAGAAGAAAAGAAGCACTTAGAAAAAACAAAAAAAAAATACAAAAAATAGATGAAGGAATTATTAGAAGAGAGGAGTAAATTTGAATCAAAAATATCCGGTTTGGAAAAAGATGTCTAATATAAATCAGAAAAGATAACAGAGATAGTCATCCTAATATAGAAGTTAGAAGATCAGTTAAATAAGTAAAGAGAAGAATACAAAACTTTTTATTAATAGTAATTAAGCAAAGAAGCTGATAGAGTGAAAGAGGCAGAGTTAAGACAACGTTAATTAGAGCAGAATTAGGCTCAAATATTGAGATCAACAGGCAACCTTGTTGCATTATAACAAAACTAAGATAATTTTAATTAAGATAATTAAATTCAGTAGGATTATATAATTTTAGAATAGAGGATAAGATCTTATGAGGATCAGGTAATACACCTTAACAATTAAATCAATAATTAAGATAATACAATCAAGGAATTAAATGATAACTCTAAAACATCAAAATCATAAAAAGAAGAGTTAGAACAAAAAGTCTTATAATTAGATAAATAGATTAGTGAATAAGAGATTCGGTTAAAGAATTTAAATAAATTGATAGACGATGTAGATTCTGAAAACCTCAAAATGTAAGGAAAAGTTGAATAAATTGATATTGAAGTTCAAAATAATTATATGTATCGTTTGAGGAGATTAGTTGAACTGATACCAAGAACTTATAGAGATAAAATTGAGTTTGCTGTGGAGGAATTATTTGAGAAGAAATTATATTAAGACAAAGGTCAGGTTACAAATCAATCTTATAAATTTTATGTGTTTGATTATCCTAAAGTTAAACATTTAATTCTTGAAGAAAGTAATCTAGATATTAAACAATCAATTATTACATCATATAAATTCAATATTCATGGGTAGTTAACTTCAGAGAAAATAAAACCTAGTAAAGAAAGTCAAGATAATTCTGGATTATTTGATTCGCTATAATTGTTTTATACTACATCTATTGACCATCTAAGTGGGGAATTGGTGAAAATTAAAAGCGAGAAGAGTGATAAAATATATGTTATTAAGGACACCTATACAACAGAATCATCGAATATAGGATCCTAAGATTATGCACTAGATTAATTGAGTCGATCTATTGTTGCATAGATTATTCTAAATGAATTTTTGGAGGATTTAAAAAAAAAGAATATCAATGTTCCTTTTAATTTTTAGTTTGCACAACCAGCACTATTTTCGAATTCAGTCCACTTTAAACAGTACTTCTTGTAATTAGTTGAAAAACAACCCAAAGAACAATAGACAATGGCCTTTTCATTAATTGTCTAGTTTTTGTAGGAGTTAACAGATGATAATTCAAACGAGTTTTATTCTTTCATCAGAGAGCAACAACATTTAAAAACAGAATAATAAATAATTGAGCCTGACAAGTAAAATTAAATAGATTTTCTTACAAATTTTAATGCTATGTTGCTCAATTAAAATTTTTAAAATATTGTCAAAAAGTATAATGAATGTTCTAATGAGGAGAGATTGAAGGCATTTTAATATTTATTGGAGCTACTAACCGAAACTTGTGATGATTTTCCACTCGAAAAGGTATCTATATTTGTGATAATAATTAGTACTACTACGGATACGAATTGAAATTGTCAGAACTTTAGGATGCTAACGTTTTCAGGAAATACAATGGAGGAACCTTACAATTTGATGCTTCAGAGGAAGGCAAATTTTTATCTGCTCTTTCCTACTATTCTATTAAAAAAACCCAAAATTAATTCTGCGTATCTCACCTTCAAGGGATTGGAAACTATTTATATGATCCGATGGTATCAAGTTATGATGGTTTTTTGAATTGCTTAGATTAAGGGATAAACGAAATGAGAATAATTGAATCTTCATTTGAATCATGTGATCCATAATGTATTGGTTTGAAATACATAGAAGCCTTGGGTATTACTATGTAATGAATTAAATGAAAAAGGTGATTATTATATCATATTATAATATTATTAAATTGACTATTCGTTTATTGAATGGTTTTGTATTCTTAAATACAAAATAAATTATTCGTATTATGAGTAAGAAAGTGAGTCGATTTTGAAATTAAGGTATTGATAAAAATTAAATAATTATATAACAGTTAAATTATGAGTCAAGGGGAGATAATAAAAAACATGGATAGCGTTTTAAAATAACTAACGAATAATTTCAATGAATTAATAAGTAGGGAATAGTTATTACGATTTCTTGACTAGAGATGCACATAATTATTTGACAGAATAATCTTTGAATAATTATATTCGAGAATGCCAAAAGGCATGAATGGATATGTTTCAGTAAATGATTTTAAACAAATCGTGCTGCAAGCTTATTAAACGTTGACTACTAAAATTGCTCAATCTTCTACTTTAATGGATCAAAAAAGAAAGTAATATTTCTTATGTGATGTAGTGAATTGAATTCAATTTCATAAAAATTAAAACAATTAGCGAATACGGAGAGATACAATAATTACAATATTAGTTTACAAAGCACGCTAACGATTTAAATATTAGATGGAATAGTGTAGTTTCCTGGAAACTCGTTGGTATTTATCAAGATAGGATGTGATGAAATTATTTATCAAACCAAACATGCTAATCGAAATTCGCCTCAATGGGGTGATACATTTACCTTCCCCATAAGGACTGGTTAAGAAGAGGTATGGCTTGCAATTTTGGATGAAGAATCAGCCTCAAATAAATAAATAGGAGGGTAAGTTCAATTGCAATTGCAGCAATTTTACGATTAAAAAGTTCATGAGGAAGAGCTCAGTCTAATGGATCAACATAACATTTCAAAGGCAGCAGTTGTGAAGGTTACAGTTCAATGGATACATTCTTAAGTATTGAAACATTAGTATTTAGACAAAATATTTGGAGTAGGAGATCTTGGAGACTCAATAACAGATGCAAGAACTTAAATTCGATATTGATGAGTATAACAACGATATTAAGGCAATATTCTAACCATTTCAAATAGAAAGTGTTGGAAATCCGATTGAGTAATCAGATTCGATTTAGAAGCACTAATAAATTGCAAATTAACTATACTCGACTCAATAAAACTATTCAGTAGAGCCTCCTAAACAGAATACTGAAATCACTCCAAACTAATGGTTAAGAATAAGTTTGATACTAACTCTTATGTTTTTTGTATCAGCTATCGCGGAATCGTTTATAAGAACATAATATTTGGATGTATTAATCAGATTCAATAGATTAGTTTCTAATTTTATTTTACAGTTTGTGGTTTTATATGAACAATTCTGAATTGCACTCTCTATTACATATAAAAATAATGGCATTTATGTACATTTTGTCAATTGTTTATGATGGCTTTTGGATGTTTTTTTATTTTAAACCTTACTTAAAAAACGAAGTCAAATTCGATCATCAAGAAGACACATTTCATTAATACACTGTAGTACTTTGCATTTTGATTCTCATAGAAAAAGTAAGAATGTCACACCTAAATCATAGCTATTTATTATACTCTCTTATTTTAATCTGTATGTAAAATGTCCAAATGCAAGATAGAACATCTTTGATGAGTAATATGAGATTTGTTTTGGATCATATTATCAATAGAAATTGGCAGAAAGTCAGAAGTAAGCTCAATACTCAAGCAAGGTGATAAGATAAGGCACTCCGAATGTCAAGTACATCTATCCTATGCAATAATAATCACAAAGTCAAAGATAGCGCTATTCTTTGAGATATGTTCAATGAACCAATTTTCTGATTTTATCCAAAGATTGCAAGTAAATAATTAAATTATAAATATAATTAAACAATTTTGTGAAGTCATTCAACTTAAATGTTGCAATGATTATATAGTTTTGCCTTCTCACTTTTGACTCTCCTAAAATAAGTGATTTCCTCCTTCCCTTCGATTCCAATGCAAAACTCAATGTCTCCAACCTTCTTAATGACAGAACTAAAAGTGACTACTCTTTTAGGAAGTGGAGCAATTTTTAAGAAATGATGGAACTTATTCTTCTCAACTTGTTTTCCTGTATTAAAAAAAAAGGTTTCTTGTTCATCGTCGACTTCCGTATGATCTTCCTTAATCAATTCCAATTAGCTGGGTTTTTGAGATTCGATATTGAGTGTGGCCTTTTATTACTATGAAAGTCTATGAAGTTTCTCTTCGATTGTTAATGTTTTTTACGCTTGAGATGCTTTTTGATGGGAACGAGTGATAGCAGAGGATTCTGAGTTGACTGCTTGTGACCTTTTGGTGTATTTAAATTCATTAGGAGTGAGGACTAAAGGATGGCTGATTTTAATTATGGGTTTAGAGGGAGCAGAGTTATCTGATAGAATTCTCCTCTTTTTAGTTTTATTCTATGAATAAAATTTGGGATCAACTTATATTTATTTAATAGATGGTGTGTTGTGAACTTAATTGGTTTTTGTTCTCAATTTTGCATTTGATTTGTCTTCTTTGAAATAAGGCTGCTTGGTTAATTCATCTAAATCAAATTGTTCCTGGGCCTATATTGAAAAAACCATGGAAGTAGATTGTCTACTCTTTTTCGGTACAAATTGACTATATTGTGTATTGTTATTGATTAGTTCTGTTTTGGGATCATTTTTCATGGGTATAGTGGCATTGAAGGAAATGGTTTCAGTTTAAAATTCATCTTAGGCTTAGGAGAACAATTTTTAATTCATAAAAATTAAACACAACAATAATAAATTGATATTGCATTAAAAACATAAAAATAGAATGAGATAATTTGTTAGGAGGTCTAAATAATTGTATTTCTTAAAATTATATGATTATGTGTCAACCTGTAAATATTCTAGTCATCAGATTACCAGTTATTATTGGAAATAGCATCACCAACATGTAACCAGCAAACATGATGCAAATGGCCAATAATAAGTATTGTATGGCTTTTGGACCCAATAATTAATTCTATTATTTATATTTAATAATTATCTTACAAGCATTTTGATAGGATTCCAAGTCCACTCTATTCTACCCGTAGGCTCAGGACAAACTGGAGAATGATTCGGTTGAGATCTACCCATACCCACTGGATTCTTGTTGTGAAACTCTTCTGACACTATTTCAATTGAAACCACCAATTTCCCATTCTACTGAGCACTCTTATAGCCTGCCTTATCAGTATTAATTGTCTGAATCACATTCCTTTCATACAAGATTCCTTTGTTTGTTTTCTTTGTTGAAGCATCCTACTTGAGAATGCCATCAGAAGGTGGTTCAGTTTAAGAATACAGCTTAATGTTGGTCTCATTCTCAAAGGCCCTTCTACATAAATCAGTGACATCTATAGAACAATCTGAAATGAAATCATCAGATGTAAATATATCTTTGTCAAAAATCTAGAATGTTAGTACAGTTTATTATTATTAAGGCAATTCTATTGGGAATACCATTCTCCAATTAAATGACCCCTTTCCATTGAAACTACGAAAATGAGTGTCTGTCTTTTATTTCTGATTTTGATCCACATATCCTACAACATAAAGATCAGAACTTCCTTCATCGTCATGTGATGGTACATCTAACACATCCCACACAACGCATCTGATGAAATGTTTTGCCTTGGGTCTTTACTCAATAAACCATGGATTCTTGAGGAGTGATGTTTGTTTTGAGGGTATTATTTCCAAGAACAAACGAATTTGTCCTTATGGCATTGAGGAACTTGGATGTATCAATTGACGAGTTTCGATAGGTATTTGCTTTAATTGTCGGAATCTCTATTAAAAGTATCGTTCTTCAATGTCAATCACAGTTTAACCAATCAACTCATCAGGCATGAAATCATCATAGTCCCACACTTGAATTGTTAATTCTGATGCTCCTGGTAACTCTGTTGTGATATCATATCTTTTGTAATATTGCGGATTACAATTATCTGTTATCCTATTTTCAACATCATCTATAGCTTCCTTACCCAACCTTATTTTCAAATATGGATCAGACATTGAATCCTAATCCTTAGGTGGTAAATTGGAGCAATCGATCACATACAATCGAATCGTGACTTAATTTTTGACCACCAACTCTTTATCAGTTAAATTGGTATCACTCTTTCCAGATGTAAAATCATACTCATTCTTAATCAACTTAAACTCTGGTTGAGCTTACAGTTTATCCAAATCTTATTACGAAATCACTTCCACCCATCCCTTCAACTTTCCAGTGCTTTGTTGATTCTCCTTCACTCCCAAAATGATCTCAGCCATACTCTCCACTTCCCTCAAATTTATACTCCCCTTCCTTAATGGGAATATGTCAAACACCTTCTATTGCATAAATACAGTGTCTTCTAAAGGACAAGGCAAACATAAACGATAGTGTACATTTGATTTAACCAATCCCTGTTGTCCTTATTGAGATGATTTTATTTAGAGCTCAACCTAATTTAATGATTTGTTTTGTATTTGTTAACCTCCAAACTTCTTTCTCTAAACATATAACTAAGATTTCTGAGTTTAAGTATCATAACCTAATGGTAAGTAGAATTTGCTATCTGGTTTCTCCATTTCGAAAAATGTTCCCTCCTCCTCATTTTTATCATACTCTATATACTTAATGATCTGCTCCATGTGAATTGAGTTGTTCTTCAGAATTCCCAATTAGGTTAGTAAATGATTGATATCCTCATTGAACTACTCTCCAGAAGCTAATTGCAACAATGCTCCCATCTTGATTCCCACTCCCAAGTCTAAACTTGGCAAATGAATTATGTTTTGATCCACTTGAATGGTTCCATTCAAGACTCTCTTGGCTATATCCTTCTTCTCTTCGATTTGTTTCAAAGTCTTTAACTTCTACAGTTTTAAATCTATTGAAAATTGTCCTATCAGAGGCTACATGATTCCTTTCAGAATATAATCATGGACACTCCCGATGAATTTTGGCATGAACGAATCATCCTCAGGGAGATTCACCTCGAGACAAATGATGGATGTTATGTTAGGATTAGGACCAGCATCCTTAGGTTGAGTGATGATCTCATTTCCATTATTTAATGACAAAGGCTCATCTTTGGCTCTTATTGATTGTACATTAAATTTAGCAAAGGCTTTTGTGACAGGCAGAGGTCCAAATGACTTGAGATTTCTAAGACCCAGCAACTTAATTTTAATGAAATGCTTAATTCTAGGAGGACTAATTTAATTCGGAATCTTTATCTAAACATTGTCAACGTAATTGCAAGATAGCAATACCTATCCTGCCTTACTTCCGTATAGATATACGTCTATCCACTGAGGCTTGGTGATATTGGGTTGATTCTTAGTGATAAATCCTTGCTTCAATCCTTTTTGATAATCTATTGTCAATTGACCCATAAAATCTCTACTGACTTTGTCTTGATCAAATATCTTCAAAATAATAGGAGGGAACGAATCATTCTCGAATTTATACACTGGCATCTTAAGTTGAACATTCCAAATAGGGGCAGTGGTGTCATTAATCAGAGCAGTAGTCTGTTTCTAATCATAAAACAGGATGTCGACCACAGGATCAGCTAGACCATCCATATCAGTTGGTGCCAGATCATGAGCCTAGAATAAATTGACATACAGATAACTGTTAGCATCTCTTTAAGGTTTGACAACAGGTTGCATCTTGACTTGTCCCCCTGTAGGTTAGACGAGGAACTTAATCTTAACAATACCAGGATGGTCCATAGGAGTATTTTTGAGAGACTTGTCAGGAATTAGAGTGACTGTGAAAGGATGTCCTTCAGGATAGTCAGCACTTGAATTGAGATTGAATGACTTGTATCTCTTAAAACAAATAGGTTTATCTCCATCCATCAGATAAATAAAGACGTCTGGCAATTCTGCGATATCTTTAGTAGGGAACTTGACGTTGTCAATAGTCAAGTATTTGTAAAATTCAACGACTCCATTTTTGGCTTTTTCAGAACTTGTTTTGCACTCATTTTCACCCCATTTGATTTTAATAGAGTACGAATCATCATCTGCAGGTAGATTGAGTGCAAAGTAGACCATACACTGTAATGACCATTAATATGATAAATCAGCCCGTATTTTTTCCAGTGTTTTCTAATCGGTTATCTTTTGCTTGTCCTTTTTAGGTTGTTCTGAATCAACCAATTCCATGGCTAATAATATTCTACCAGCATAACAAGTTCCCAAATCAGGATGACTGCATAAATACACTCTCTATTCTGAATTCGCATCTATGTGTGCTCCATATATATGATACCATTTGGGTTATTGTAACTTAAAACCAATTAATATATTAGATTACTTAGCCACTTAAAATGTCTGAGATTTTAAATAATTGACTACCGGCTATTTCATCTTTTCCACCCATATCATAATCAAACAGTCTCATTATTAAATATTCGCTTTGGCATGGTGTCATCACAGGCAACTGATAAGGAATATTATCAATATGATTACAAATAGATTCAATTCCCAAATTGGAGCATTAAGATTTTTAATCAAATCAGTTTGAATTTCTTAACCACCAATTTCAAAAACTACATATGGATCAATGGATCCCAACATCGAATCCATCTTCATTAGATTGGTGGCTCTTCCTAAAGTGATTTTCAATTATTGTCCCTTTGTTTGGATATGAGGTGGTAAAAGTAATTCCCCTTCAGCAAAGAGATTATTTTTAGATTCCTCTATCTTGCCTCTCTCCTTAATTTCATTATCCATCAATAAAGTGGTTTGTTTATCTGACTCATGCACTACGTTGATACTGATCTTCAAATATCCAGTGATTTTATTGAAGTCCTTCTCTGGATTGATCAATCCCTAACAATAATAAATTGATGTCCTTACCAACCACTTGTGCAACAATACATGATCATCCATCATATAAATAGTTGAGAAATCGAATTCGTAGATCCCAACTACTGCATTCCTTCCAAACACTTTGTGATCTAATACTGAAATTTTCACATGCTATGATTGAATTTACCAACCATTGGAAAAGGATCTTTTGAAATAGAAATGTTCATTCCAAACTAGAGTGCTGTTTGATCCAGTTCCCTTCTTTTGAGAACTGAATTTCTTCTAGTCCATGGTTTCAATTTGAATTAATGGATCTATTGTACTCTCATTGTCATTTGGATTTTAGAGTGCTCTTGTCTATTGCAACAGGATGTGCACTAAGTACTCCCCTGGTTTAAATTATAAACTTTCCTGTTGGGGTTCAGGCTCTTCTTATTGCAATTAATTTTTTTTATCTGCCATACAAATTATTAATATTAAATCAAATTTCAATATCCTCTGTGAATTCTTCTGTGCATGATCCACTGACATTGAAATAACTGGTGTGATCTGCAGCAGAGTCACCAATGATTGAATTGGCACAAGTTGGATCCTCATCAATTCCACCTGAACAAATCTACACATCATATGATAAGCTTTAATTACCTTGTATGACTTGTTGTCATGAGCATACCAAACTTCTTGGGGAGGGTGCTTGTAAGAGAATGAAGAGGGTGGCTAATGAATAACCATATCCCTGTAATGAGTCACTCTCCAATGTTCTGTAGCTCCAACAAAACTAGTAAACCAAACAGCAAACTCATGACTTCCAATACGAGGAGATCCATAAGTAAAGAAATAGTCGACGTTGTATCCGAGTTTCTTCAAATCAACTGCAGCCAAATAAGCCACTGCACCACCCAAGGAATGGCCAGTCACCAACAATTTCGAAGTGGGATACTTCTCTTTCAAATGTTTTGCAGCAGCCAACACCTCGGCTGATACGTCATCGTAAGTTTCCCAAAATCCTAAATGAACTTTGCAATTCTTGCAATCTCCAAAATCATGCTTAAAGAACTTGATGTTATTGTACCAATTGATAAAGTCCTAAGTACCTAAAATAATGTTATTCACTTCTCATACTTCTGTACACCACAACCACCAAATTTTCCTTCTTGTTATATCCGACATATGCCTATGCATGGTGATCAGACTTATAGAATGCCTTCACCTCTACCATATCTGGATGGTGATCGCAAAATGAACCACAATTCCAATTTGATATACTCTACAACAGTTTATCTATTGTTTTACCTTCAAACTGCATTTTGCCACCTGGGTGTAGTAGAAAAAGCTTTCTGATTGAGTGTGCTAATAAGTCTATTGCAAACCCATCAGTCTCTCCATCCTTTCCTCAACATTTCCGTGCACAACTGTCAATAATACACAAAGAGCTATTATTGAATACGTCATTGATTTAATGATAATATTAATTGAAATTAACCTGTTTAATGACTTAAAAAATCAATTATAATCATAAAGATCTCACTTTAAGTAAGAGCTAAAGTTTATTACAATTAATCAGTCCATGGAGGCAATAATGAAAACAATAGACACAATAACTCAACTTGGTAATCAAAATTACGATCTCAGATTTGAGAATCAATTTAGACTCATTTGTTTTGAGTTGATTAGATATTAGACTATTGCATCTAGCAAGTAAAGGAAAGGCTGTTAGTAATGAACAAGGATCTTATTGAAAAAGCATTTAATAATTCAAATCAAATTATGTGATATCCAAATAGAGTATTTTCACATAGAACAAGAATGTAGTTTAAGATGTAAATCAACATTAGCCTAAATTCTTCTATTAAGAATACAAAACTTTTTCTACATTTCCTTCAATCTATTTTAATTATTTAGGATGATAACATTCTTTCGTTCTTTTTCATTCAAAACTTATCTTCAACTTGCTTGCGAATAAAACAATTGAAGTTTGATTTTGAAAACAAAGATTTCTTAATAAATTTGATGAATATATTAAATCTATCAAAGTATCATAATAAAGTAAACTATATTTTGAAGATATTATCTTTACATTAAAACTATATAACTTAGGTATATAAACATCAATAGCTGACCAAAGAAATAGCCTTCATAATAATTCAATATAAGAGTTTATAAAATTTTGTCTAATTCCAACATTTATATGTATTAAATAATTGCAAATAATATTTAACTTTTATATTCAATTTGGCAACTATATATATCTTTATCAATTCTTTGCTATAAAAACTTAGAAATTCATAAAACTCTCTCTCTATAGCAAGATACTAATTCTATAAGAATCTGATATTAGGAGCTTGGCTTAGGTGTGGATCCAATGATTACATCTTAAAAACGCATATAGTTTAATTTATTATATATTCGAAAACCAAACTTTCAAGAGCTTGAATCAATTTTGCAAATTTTACAGCAAAGCCGAGGGTATAAAATGAATGAATAGATATACAACTTGTTTTAATTATATTAAGTAATTTGATAGATGCCACGAGAGCAACTTTTATATTATTATCAAAGGGATTTAAATTCAGGAGAGATTGTCAAATATAATAAGAAATAATATCAAAACAAGGTGCAACAGTTTGATTCGTTGCTAATTAGTGGCTATATTTTTTAATTTTTATTCTTCTGTTCCTCGCTCATCTTCTATATATTTTAGTTAACATTGGATAGGCGAATTTCACAATCAGAATCTGATGAATCACTATCTATTTGTATCTTGTTCATAGTTTAATTCACTGCAATTGGTTCTTATGTAAGTGACTAAAAAGTAATTTTGTGATTTCCTCCCTTTACGATTTTATTTCCCTTTGAATCTATACGAGTTATTGCTTCTTATTCATCTTTTTTGAAATTTTTCAGAATAGATTTAACATTATGAGAAGTTCTACTAGAGTCAGCAATCTAATGTAATTCTGTTTATGACATTTTAATTAAATTATGCTAATAAACATCTTTTACAGATGAACTTAACTTATCTTTTATCAAAGTTTCAGTTTTCAAGATTTGAAATACAAATCTAATGTGTGAGGCTATTAAATGGCCAACACAAATAAGGTATTTCAATGTAAACACAAAAAATTTAGAAGATTGAATTTTAATAAAAAAGAATACAACTTAATACTATATTTATGATTAATTCAAGAAAGGTCTTAGCTTTTTAACGAATATTGTATAAAATATAATAAAGGAGAAGGCTTTCAAATTGAAAGAATAGAATTACAAAGTTGTAGGAACTTTAAAAACCAAATTTAAAATGTAACTACAATAAGAATAGTATTTTATTAAAGATATTATTTCAATCTAGAATGATATTTATTATTAATCAATTAGATTATAGAATGAACTACCGTGTAATAATCTATTTTTAATTTAAATTAATAAACTACAAAAATTCGAATTTTGTGAAGGATTATAAGAGAACTCATAATAAATTTTTAATAGTGACTCAAAATTCTTATTCATTTACTTTTAGATAAATTTTGTAATTTAACTAGGAAAATAAAGAAAAATATATAAAAACATTAATGAAATTCACAAACTATTAGAATTTATTCTATGGAATAATTTACAAACTAATGTGCACTGTTTCCTTAACTTATTTATAAAGATCATTATATTTGATATTATATTCATAACTATATTTACTGTTTTACTAAAAAAGGAAAATCCTAAAATAATTCTTAAGCCTAAGGAATATTAGGTATTTCAGATTATTTCATCTAACTCTCCAAGACATAATCGAAATTTCTTGTATCCTTTTCAGTTGTCAATAATGGTTCAAAGGGGGGCTTCAGTTTCTTTTAATATATTAAATCAAAATCTATATCCTAAAAAAATTCATGCTATTTAATCTATTTAAAACTTAATCGTTCTTCTGGATGGTATTGCAATAATCCTTTAATAAGTGATTAGGCTGATGAGCTTGCTGTTGGTGGAAATTTAAACTCACCTGTTTGAATCTTAATATATAAATTTTTCTTATTTTCATCTTGGAATGGAGGATGACCGAAAAGCATTTCAAAAATAATGCAACCTAGAGTCCAAAAGTCAACTGATGCATTATGTCCCTTCTCTTATTCTTAAATTAAATTTTACCCTCAATCATCTCAGGAGCCAAATATTCTGCAGTACCACAAAATGAATAATTCAATTCACTATTATCTTTTGCAAGTCCCATATCTGCCAATTTTATGTAACCATCTCTACACAGTAGAACATTTTCAGGTTTTAGATCTCTATATGCAACTCTAACTGTTTCATGTAAAAATTCAAGGGCCAAAACTAATTAAGATGCATAAAATGCAGTCGTTTTTTAATCAAACTTTTTTCTTTTGTTCAAATGATAAAATAATTCTCCTCCCTATACGAATTCCATAACCATATTGATAAATAAAGGCTCTTAAAAAACAAAATACATTTTTATTATAAAAGGATGATCATATTTCTACAATATGAATCTTTCATCTTAATTATCATTGAATATAATTACAAAGCAAATTCTCTAATTGTTATTTCTTTAAAATCAACTTTTTCTTTATCTGTTTCATAGCATATAACTTATCCTTAATTTTGACTAAATATACTTTTCCAAATGAGCCCCTTCCTAATAACTAACTCTCACTTAATAAATACCTTAATGGGCCAAACATCATTTTGTGTTATATTGAATGTATTTTAAACCTCGAAATCTCCCAATTTCTTTTTAACATCATCTAATTGTTATTTCAATTTTTGAATTAATTCTTCTGTTATTTCAATCGGCTCCTCCTAACTCTAAATTGACAGAGCAACACTTGATTTCTCTTGATTCTTTTCCCCCTTTTTGCAACATTATTCCAAAATTTATCCCATGTGCCTTATTGTAATTAATTTTATATTATATTTATAATAATTTCTGTGTATCCCATTAAATTACTAAAAAATTACAAAATGATATAATAAGTCATTTATATTGTGCTATCTTGCGATCCGGATAAAATTGTTATTCAATAATTAAATTATAAACAACAATCTTAAGTCTCGAAACAATATCCAATTCTTGATTTTTCTATTTATTATGAAAAATTGCCAGATTATTTTTAGTACAATTTAAAAATAAGGTACTTATTAAGAAACGATTTGTAAGTAATTTAGTTATCGATTTAGATAAATTTTGACAAAATTAATTGCATAAAATTATTCTTAGAATATTATCATTGAGAAGGGGTGCCAATATTGTAAATATATTACAATTTGATTAGAATCTAATCAACTTTAAAATTCCTAAATTGAAATTGTTTTTTGTATTAGGGAGGATATTATAAATTAATTTTATTGATTAATAATTATTATTAAAAAATAAGAGATATGAATGAGAACTAGCACAAATATATATAGATATATAGAACTAATGAATCTAAGAATGATAATTCAATTATTAATTAATCAAGAAAATCTATTGTAAAAAAATAACTCCCTCTTCTAACTGATGCTCAAAATACTTAACCTTCTTCAAATTTTCAAATAGCTACTTAAAGAAGTGAAATGTAAAGATCTGGAAAGATATTTGTGCAAAAGAAAAATAAATTAGAGAGCAATAGAATTTAAAGAGAAAGAGAATGTTAGAGCATTTATTAAACAATTATAAATCAAAAAGTTACCTAAAAATACACTCTAATTGAACTGTTTAAAAATTTTCTTGAAAATTTTACTCAAATAATCAATATCAAAAATGAGAAGTATGCTCTCAATATAATTTTGAAGCTTATATAAAGCATACCAAAAATGTAGGATGTTTTAGATATTCACAAAAGCAAATTTTTAGGAATCACAGCTGATTAAATGATAAAATAATTGATTCATCATTGGTTAGATCAATCAATATTTTAAGATTATAGAAAATTTAAGTTGGATCCAATTTATATTACTTCAGTTGATGAAATTAATAAAAAGTTTGAAGAAACCTTATTAAATCTCTACGATGAATAAATTAATTAATTCTCAAATAGAATGATCAACCAAATATTCTCATTAAAGTAAAAACAATTAAATTTATTATAGGGAAAAATAATTTTATATTGAAGGATAAGTGAAACTATCAAATAGAGGAAACTAGTAATTGTATTAGAAAACATTGTAGTTAATTGATCGCAAACCTAATTACAGAGCGTTAACCTCTGATGTGGTTGAACGTTTACAGATTTAAGAAGAAAAACTGGGAAAATTTGATTTAATACAGAATAAAGAAAGAAGAAAGCAAATGAGTTTAAACCTATTTGTATAAAAAATAAGAGCAAACTCTAAATATATTGATTAGTGATAATAGAATTCTTAAATAATGAATATATTAAATTGATATTTTGCATTAGATTTTTTTGAGTTTGACAAGCTTAAATTAAGAAAAGAAACAAAATTGAGCTTAATAAAAAAATACGATTTATAATTTTAAACATATCGCAATAATTATTATTTCATTCATATTTTCTGAATATTATCATGCTCTCCCAAGTCAAATAGATATATTTATTGTTTATATTCTTTAATTAGCTTGAAAAACCATAAATCTTATGGACTGAAGTATTTAAATTTTAATGAATTTAGTGTTATCATTACATTCTGATAATGCCATTTATGGTAATAATTGAAGTCTATTATTCTTCGGAATTATTTTAAAGATTTAATTTCTTAGTCAATCAATAAAAGCATTATTTATCAAGAGCTGTAGTTTTATGTTTTAAATTTTATAAAAATAGTTTCTTTAGAAATTGAGTGACAATAGAAAATTAGCTTTTATTGATGCACTTAAATTTAATGCTTTCATTGAGTATGAATTTTACACTTTAATATATTAACTTTTTTTACCTTCTAAGCATTTTGAGGTTCAGAATCTTATGAATTAATCTTTTTAAAGATTTTCAATAATTTCGCTTAGAATTTTAATTTATAATATATTTCATAATTATCTTCCGCTAAATTGATTAAATGAATTTCAGTAAGATTTCTTAACAAAATTCTTTAGACATTTGAAAGTTCAATTGAATTAATTAGCTTAAATTAAATGGAAAATTAAGTTAAATAAATTACTTATTAAAAGAACACAATTAATGAAATTTGATAAATAAATTAAAGAATTTACAACTTGGCTCTCTACACAGGATAGATTAATCATCTAAATAAACAATTCTGTGAGGATAGCTTTCAAATCAACATATTATTTTTAAGATATACAAAAAGATCAAAATTGTACAAATTGCTTTAGAATTTGACATAAATATAAAATCAATATCAAAATATTTTCCAGAATGGCTTTTTAAATAAATGATCATCAATGCCTATTAGATGTCTAAAATCAGATATTTATTAAGAATTTTCATTAAAGATTAATGGTTAATTTTTTTGGAGATAAAATTGGTCTTTTTGGCAATTTTGTATCTCTGAATTAGAACAGTTTATAAATTTTAATATGAATAAATTTAATATAGGATAAACTTATTTTAAATATTCTTTATATTTATCAGAAAACGATGGCGGCTAAGACTAAACTGGCTGCTAGTATAGCTCCATTCTTGGTGGTTGAGGGTGTTGTGGTTGTGGTTGTAGTGGCAGCTGCTGGTGGTGGTGTTGTGGTGGTGGTGGTTGTTGCTGCTGGTTTAGTTGTGGTTGTGGTGGCAGCTGCTTCGGCATAATGTAAACGGAAGTTCACTAAAATAACATCATTTTATACATCTCTCTGATTCTTCTTCTTCTTCAGATTCTTCTTCTGATGATGATTAAGCCTCTGATTCTTCAGATTCTTCCTCTGATGAGGATTAAGCTTCAGATTCTTCTTCTGATTCTTCTGATTCTTCTTCGGATGAAGATTAAGCTTCAGATTCCTCTTCTGATTCTTCTGATTCTTCTTCTGATGAGGATTAAGCTTCAGACTCTTCTTCTGATTCTTCAGATTCTTCTTCTGATGATGATTAAGCATCTGATTCCTCTTCCTCTTCTGATTCTTCTTCAGATGATGATTAAGCATCTGATTCTTCTTCTGATTCTTCAGATTCTTCTTCTGATGATGATTAAGCATCTGATTCCTCTTCCTCTTCTGATTCTTCTTCAGATGATGATTAGGCATCAGATTCTTCTTCCTCTTCCTCTGATTCTTCTTCTGATGATGATTAAGCATCAGATTCCTCTTCCTCTTCTGATTCTTCTTCTGATGATGATTAGGCATCTGATTCCTCCTCTTCTTCTGATTCTTCCTCTGATGATGATTAGGCATCGGATTCTTCTTCCTCTTCAGACTCTTCTTCTGATGATGATTAAGCATCTGATTCTTCTTCCTCTTCTTCTTCTTCCTCGGATGATGATTAAGCTTCTGACTCTTCTTCTTCTGATTCCTCCTCCTCTGATGATGATTAAGCTAAAAGGTCTGAACTTTCTTCTGAGCTTTCTTCTGATTCTTCCTCTGATGATGATTGAGCCTCTAATTGACTTGTTTTGAGCTTAAGCTTGTTACTTGTAGCAGCTAAAAGGATATTAATTCAGTTGAGTCAGGAGATATGAATTTGTGTATAAATAAATAATATATGGGGGTTAGTGAGGATATAAATGTGTAGTTTACCTTGAGCGCTAAAAGCGAGCATGGAGATGAGCAATAGAGCAAGAAGTGTTTTGGACATCTTCGTTAACTTTTATTATTATTTAAATAAAAATTCAAATCCAAATTTGCTTTAAACTCTAATAATGCGTAATTATGTTTTCTCAAATCTTTTTTGATACTCTAGTAAAATTAAAATAAAATATATATTTAAAGTTTATTCTCTTAGTATATTAAGATTAAGCAATATTTTATCGAAAAAACTTGCATATAATGCAATTTTTAATTATCGCCGTTAGATATATAAATTTCCTCATTTTATTTTATTTTGTTTTATGAGGAAAATACATAATTTTACTTCAGCAAAATAGAGACCAATTTTAATTTAAATATTAAAAAAATTTACAAATTCAAAGCTCCTACCTCGAAGCACCCAAAACTCCCATTAAGCAGGGAAAAGTGTTGCTTTCCTTTCAGTCAATTATTTTTTATATTTCTTCACATTGGTTATATTTAATATACTTTTCTGTACTTAATTCAAAAATAATCATTTCTTCAATAATTGATTGTTAACAAAAAATTTGAAATATCAAATATATGAAAATTTAATTTAAATAAAGGAAATCTTTTAAATCACTGTGAAAATTTCCATAAAACGATACTAGAGCCATTAATCAATTATAATAATTTTTGAATTTATTAATAAAATAGGTAATTTGAGAGGAGTTATTTAAATTTTCTTAAAAAAATTATTGTATTTTAAATTTATATAATTTTGAAACCTAAAATTAAATGCCCAAATTATAACGTGATCATTTCCATTTTACTCTTTTAATAATATATCTATTCCAAAATCAGCTGAAAGCTCATTTATTTATGTATTTTAGTTAGAACTTAACAGTAAACTTATTTCTTAAATAGTATTTTAAATGCTTAATTTAAAAACAAAATAGCATCCACTTTCAACTTAAAAAAGGCAATATTGGACTACAAAAGAAGACAAATTATTATAAAAGGCTTTAAATTTGCATAATTCAAAATGGAAAACAATCGCTGAGTATTATTTTCAAAGAAATGGAAGTTAATTTTCATAAAGACGGAAAAGAATTAAACCTCAAGTTTTAAATATGGATTCTTAATTTAACTTTGAAAGAAAATTCTGGACTCCAGAAGGGGTTAAATTTCGAGAAAGTCTTATATAAAAGTATATGTTTGAATGGAAACAATCACAAGTTACTTGGATGGTAGAACATCGAAATAAGTTCAAGAACGTTATAACAATCATTTAGACCCTCTAATTAATAAGAAATCATGGAGTTAAGAGGAAGATCTATAATTATGGTCATTATATTAATAATTTGGACCAAAATAGTCAAATATTTCTTAAACTCTATAAGGTAGACCGGTATTATATATTATTTAATTGCTTAGGAGAATTCAAAAAAGAATAGATATTATTGGCACATTAGAAATTCTATGCGAGGAAGAAAACCCATATTATGTTATTCCTTAATTGAAAAGAAGTATTGAAAAAGTTGATTGATAAGTTTATAGTTAGAATTATCTATCTTACAGTCCAAGAGCAAAAATTGAAAAAATATTATCAATTATAAAATAAATTGCTTTTTTAAGTCCGAATCCATTAGATATTAGTTTTTAGAGTGATATAGTATAAAATTCAAAGGGAATTACAAAATAGAGGTTTAGAGGATATTTAAGATTTTTAGGAATGGTTGATGGATAATTAATTTTGTAAGGAATTTCTTAAAGTGTTACATTAGTATATGGGGAAGAAGATTCAATTATGTAAATAGAAAATTGGGTTCATATATAAGGTTTGAATTCAATTTATTGCAGAATTAGCAACAGTTAGAACTGCAATCAGATAGGAGGTATATTGAGGTTTAGAGTTTTAGATGATTGACAATTAAATTAGATCTTAAAATTTTCATTAATTATTTAATTTTAATTGAAAAGATTTATACTATCAGATTTAAAATACTTCTAGGTTTGTTGAAATATAAACCAAATAATTAAAAATAGTCAAATTCAATTATTTCTTGCAGCTCAAGAGTTGGTTTTATTGTTATTTTATAACTCATAAAGCCTTTATGTCAAGGTCTCAACTTTATTATTTAATTTTTAATTTTCGAATTTAACTAATTAATGTTATTCATTAGTCACATCCATAGCAAATTTTAACATCTTTGATTAATCGCTTAATTCTTTAATTTAAACTTCGCAAGCCATTTTCATATCTATTAATTCTTGATTACTTTTTAAAAACTTATGTTCTTATTACGTTAATTCCTCCTATAATTGTTAAATTTTTTTTTCATATTGCTCCTTATTTTTCTAAATATCTTCCTTATTGTTAGTCCTTTAATCCATTATGTCGAATTCAAATTATCCTATAACTTTTTTCAATCTTTCAATTTCATTTTTTTACTCTCTTTCTTGATATGACTTTTATTCTTGAACAAATTAGAATTGTTCAATTTTTTCTGCTATTAAAATTTGGAAAGTAGATTCAGCTCTCTATTTTTCTTCTTTTAAAGAACAAATTTGATTATTTAGTTCTTAGATTATTTTGTCGGATTCAGCTTTTTAATAGTAAGATTCTCCTTAAAGTTAAGAAATTCTTTTATCCATCTTCTAAATTTATTAAGCTTAGTCATAAAGTTTAGCTTTTAAGTTAAGAATTTCTTCTGTGGGTTCTCGATTTTATTATAATAATTATTTTTACCTAATTCTATTTATTACAAAATTTTAAATACCTTTCTTAAATTATTATATCTCTAACATCATAGACTGTATACATTAAATTCTATTTTCTTTATTATTCTGATTATTAAGTGGCACTATATACTTAGTCATTTTAATCAATTAATACTAAACAATCGAAAGGGATTTCATTATCAAATTTTGCCACTTACATTTTTAGTTATAAAAACTAGCATTAAAATTCTTAAGATTTTCCTTTTTTTTTAAAATAAACTTCAAAGGTTTCATTTAACATTTGACTAATTTCTTAATAGAAAATGAAAAAATAGAAATATTATAATAATAAAAATAAATATTTATAATAATGAGATCTATAAGCAATTTATTGTCTTCCTTAGTGTCTAAGTAAAATACACCATTTATTTAAAAATTGAATAATAGTTCTTTGATGCAAAATAACTCCTCTATTATGATGACGGATATCCTTTATTTGATTGAATGCTTCGAAGGATTCGGGCCAGAATGCAATGGAATATATTTAACAGGATCAGAATACTTATAGCAATTTTTTAAGGCAATCACAAACAAACCTTTAGCTGGTTATATAGCTACCAAGATTACTTTAACGATTCATCTAATATTATATGAATTTTAGATTGGAGAAACAATAGCTGAAGAAATGATAAGGGAAGGATCGACGATACATGTGCTACAAAACCAATAGTTTAGCAACTTTGTGATAAATTATTTGATGTATTTGATGAAATTAGCATAAAATTTAAAATTGTTTTATGCCTGTAAAATAGGCTAATACCCTATTTTTGATTAAGATTCAACATTTACTCAATATTCAGAAAGTACGAGAGAGTAATAGTTTTAACAATTTAATTTATTTAAGAAAAATAGCAATTTCAGAGATACCAATTTATAGTACAGAAATTACTAATAAAAGAAATTAGAATTGCATATGCAGTCATAGACAGGTTGCATAACGATGGAACAAAAAATATTATACCTTTTCAAATTGCATAATCTGCTTAATTCATGCGTATAAATTTTGAATTTGTGCATAAATTCGTTAATACAATTGGACAAACAGGATGCTAAAAATATTTTTATTGAAATTAGTTGTGTTTTGTGGAATGATTGTATGGTTATGTACAAATTTTCAACTTAGGAAGTAATAACTTAAAATAAACTTAGTTGTGCAAACTTCTTGACTGTTTTCGATATATGCCAATGTAACAATTGCTCTCAGTTCAGTAGATATACTGGGCCACAATCAGTTCTTCCACTTAAATCAAATGGATATATCAAAATCGAAAATACTTTGACTCTCAAAATATTGTGAAACAGCCTTTTTGGTTTGAAGAAAATAAATAGTTATCAACTGAGCTTTAAAACAGCATCATAGACAATAAAATATAATCTATCCCAGAAACAGCAAGGAATGCTAATAAACTATCAACCCCACAAGCTTATTAAAGTAAAAAATCTCCGACCAACATTCCTTAACCATTCACTTCAAGAATTGGAATTTCTTAGAACACAACAAAAACAACCATCCCATAACAACCTTATTTTGTTGCAAATAAAAAATTATAGTAATAATATCAATAAATTGAAGTATAACAACCCTTAAGTACAAGGGCAAAAAATATAGTTGGGAACATTTTCTCAGATGAAGAATTAACTATTTCTCCAAGGGATAGAGCTAGGATATAATAATAATGATTCATAATAATGATTTAGAATTAATGTGGAGAGCATGAATATAAATATTTAAAATAAACTAAAAATGCAATAATAAATTAGTTCATCTTATAAATTTAATCTATCATAGATTGATATAATTTACATATTGATTGATATATCAGCCCTAATCTTTGCTCTTAGTGATTTAAAAGAATCATGAAATTAATTTAATATTTTAGAAATATTAATATACATGTTAAGATTAAAAATAGTTAGTTATTATTCAATTCTAATTTTCCTTGTTTCCTTTATTAATTTGGTCTGCTTATAGTAGAGTAACTAACAAATACCAAAACTAAGATCATAAAATAAAAGAAATGTACTAAGAAATTGTCATTTATTTCAAATGTCCAAAACATTTAGATTGTTATTCCAATTCTTGTTTAATTTAAATCCCAAATAGAATTTTCACAATGTAATTCGAAATAAGTCTGACTATAGAATTCTAATTTATGGTTTTATCAAGCCCTTTGATGTCAATAATAATAATAATCAAAATTTATTACAATTATATATTGTTCCTATAATATAAACTTGTATAATTATAATATATCTCAAAAAGACTAAAATATTTTTTAATATCACTTACTGCTTAATGGTAGTGAAACATTTTACTTATGAATTTAGAGTTTAAGATTGTATTTGCTTTTGAATTTGAAAAGAAAAGTATAGAAAATATTTAAAACTAATAATTTTCACTAAATTCTTTTAATTCACTTAGAAATATTCGGATTTAAATTCTTTAGTTATAATCAATCAGCCACTCTCTTTCCTCATTCATTGTTTTTATACCATAAATTCGATTTATAAATTGGAAATTGTATTTAATTAATGATTATATTATGTTAATTCTTCTTAATCACGAAGATAGATTAATGATTTAAAATATAGAAGGATACCAATATATATTCTCTCTAATTCTATTATCTTTGGTATATAAATCTTTAAAATAATTCTTAATTCTATTAATAAAATTAAAATAAAATAATAATGGCCTATGTGAATGTCACATGCACTTTCCTCAATAAAGACTAAGTTGTTTTGAAATGTGAAATCTAAAATATTAGAAATGAATTGCATAAAAAAGTTCAAAATATCTCATTTGATAATATTCTTTTGATTGATGAGAATGATTAAGTGTATACCGCAACCAGTGCTTTATATTAATCAAAAATAAATTAGAAATATTAGTATTTCTTTAAAGTTTGGGATGCTCTTCAACTTTACAGAGAGCATTAAGAATTAATAAAAATTAAGGAACATAATTATAAAAAATTGCAAGAGATGGAATAAAAAATTAAAAATTTAGTTGAAGAGGAGAATGAAAAAGAAAAATAGCACAATTTGGAAATAAAATAATTATTTGAAAATAATAAAACTTAAAGTGCTGACATCCTTAGCTAAAAGCAAGTAGAAATGGAAAAAATGAAAGCTGATAAAGAAAAATAAATTCAGGAAATTTAGGAAAAACATGATAGGCTGGAATTAGAACTAAATTAGATGAATACAAGATGTAACAACCTAGAATAAAATATTTAGTAGTTATAAGAAGACATTTAAACATAATAAAGAAACTATGAGATATAATTATAAAAAAAGAATGAAGAAATACAGAATGAAATAAATAAAAAGAATTAAGAACTATAGAATTTAAATGTGTAGTGGCAAAATTATTTTAATTAGGTGACCACTTAATGTTAATAACAATTTTCACAACAGATGCAATTGGCCACTAATGCAAACAATGAATTAGTTGCATAAATAGATCATCTTTAAAGAGAACTTGGAGAGGAATCATTAAATTCAAAAGCTGAGATAGATAGACTAAAATTATAGTTAAAATCAGAAAAGGAAAAATTATTGAGTGCTAACGATAGTATTTATTAGTTAGAAAGTAATGCTACATAGTTAAATGACAAAATTAGAAAGTTAGATAAAGATTTGAAACTAAGCAATAATAAAATTAATGAATTAGATATGATTTATAGAACAACAAATAATAGCGCTCAAGACGCAAATACTACTCTTGGTTAAAGAGACATAGAGATAAAAAAATTATAAAGTGCAAATAAGAGTTAAACAGCTCAAATTGAGGAATATATAGAAGAGCTCGCTAGGTTATAAAATTCAAAATAATAGTTGGAAGGTAAAGCAAGTAGCTAACAGTAGCAAATTACAGGATTAAATTCAAAAATAGATGAATTAAATGATGATATTGAACGTCTGAAAGGAGAATTAACAAAAAAAAAATAAGAATATGACAAATAAACTGGCGACTTGAGGTTATTATAATAATAAAAGGAATTTGTTGAAACAGAATTAAAAGATTTAAAAAGTTAATTATACTAAACCAAGGAATAATTAGAATAATAACAAAGTGGAGGATAAAGCAATGAAAAGCAAATATCACAACTCAAAACTCAAATTATTAAATTTGAATAAGAATTAAAAACAGCTCAAAGTTTAAATAAAGAAAACTAAGACACTGTAAGATAATAAAAATTAAAATTGTAAGAAAAAGATGGGTAAATAGGCTAATTAGAAATTAAACTACAATAAATTGAAAAATCATTAAAGCTAAAAGAGGAATAGCTTTTAAGTGATTAAGCTTAAAACAAAAAATATAGAGAACAAATGGATGAAACTATTAAATTAATAAAGCAAGAGATGGAATTAACAAATTTAAAACTAAGTGTCAAAGAACATATTCTTTCAAAATTATCTAGGCAAGATGATAAATATCAAGATAAAGTAGTTGGTGTTATGGAAAAAATTATGTCATCACCTCATAAAATTAAAGAATTTAATAAAGATTAGAATGCTAATCTTGACCTGAAGGAATATGATATTTTTGAAATAACTGTTGAATCTGATTAAGCAAAGCAACTTTTGATTAAGAATTAATATTTCTTATTTGAATAGTGCTTAAAAAAGACTCCAAAAGGAAATGTGAAATTAAATAGAAGTCTATAACCAAATGCTGAGTCCACATTTTTTAAGGGTTATTTAAGTATTGTGACTGAGGCAACCTAAGATGAATTCAAAGGAAAATTCTTATTAAGAAAAGATCTAATATCTTAAAATTTACCTTTTATTAATATAGATGAGGCAGCTTAAATGTCTAAAAACAACTTCTTATGCTAATTTTTGATGGATTAATATAATAAAGTCTTAAGATCATAAAAATTAAAAGAGGGAGACTATAAAATCGCCAGACAATTTGTATTAAAAGATAAAGGTATATATTAATTGATATATTAATAGATAAAGAAGAATACTATTATTGTGAAATGGTTGAGGAAGGGGATTTTAAAAAGATTAATGGTGGAGTATTTATACCTAAAGATAAAATAGAAGCAGATTCATATTTTAATGCCTTCTCTAAATATGTATATGCATTTTCAAAGGAAGGTTATATTATATCTCATCTTTAAATTTGTGGAAAATTTGTTTATGATATGATAGTTAGTACAAATTATAAAGGATTGTTTTCAACTTTAGATTAAGGATAAAGTGAAATTGGATAGGTTTTAGAAATGATTAATGCCTTAAAATAAGATGAAATTAAACTCCATTGGAATCAAAAAATAGAAGATGTTGCTAAAGAGGGACTTAAATGAGATAATCTAAATAATCAATAGTATAAAATATTAAAATAATATGAAATTAAAAAAATATTTATTATCTACATTTTATGTCTTAAAACCTCCCTCTGATTAATTCAATTCATAGAGATAATAATTTCAATTTTCATTTGTGTTTAATTTAGGTTTATTGTTAATCATTTGAAAAAGAATTATTACTAATTTATAATAGATAATTTATTTATTATTTTTCTATTAAACATAAAATTGATTAGGATAAAAAAATATGTATCGATTTATTACCCCTTAACCCAGACAATTTTTGAATTAAATCGAAATCATTTACCTTTTTCTACTTGAACCCTGATTTTTAATTTAATATCATCTTATAATAATATATTGGATTCTGATTTTAGATATATATGTAGGGGGTTCATCTATATCATCAAGAACTAGGTGGGTTAGCTAAATCGATAGACAACTATGAATACCTATACGATCTAATGTGAATTCATCAACATATCCATTCAAACAGTAACAACTGCTTCCCTACTATGTAAATGTGTCTTCACATTTCAGACAAGTTACTTGATCCAAACATTTTTGACAACCTAATGGACACAATACACACTTTTATTATTCTATGTCAAATATAAAGCCATTATTGCAATTTTGATTCTAAGAGTTCTATTCAATTATCCATTCAGTGCAATCATTCTGATTGGGACCAATACACGTTCTGCATAAAGGTGCGCATCTTTAAATCATAACATTTAGATTTGAGATTCCAAAACTGAAATAGGTATTAGGTTACGAAACAGACATCATTACCAGAGTTAAGTTATTCGATGAGTGAACTTATTCTACTGAAACCTATTGGATTTGACTTTGCGAAGAATTAATTTTAGTTGCTGTCTGAGTATCAATGGAGATGGAAACAACATTAGATGAATAGTTTAATGATGTGAACTCAAAAGTTATCAAATTCAATTGTATAAGAATTTTATAATGAGGTGCCACATTGGTGAATTACTTTTAGAAGAATTAATTGCCCTTATCCTTTAATCCACCAAAATATCTAACGCCATTAAAAAATGTTCCAAATTGATTTTAATAAAAAGAATTGATGCTTCTTGTATTTTTAACAATAAAGTTACTGATAATATTATCGTCAAAGGCTCTCATTAAGTAAGTAGTTGATGGATATTATTCAGTAGCATCTTTGCAAACTTAACCCTCCAATTTAGAATAACTGGGACATGAAGTAACACAACTTCCTTAATAGAGGTAATATCCAGCCTTGCAGGTGTTACAAACGAGTTTGCTTTTACAAGAGTTGCAATTGGCTTGACAATTTACGGTGTTGATAATAATTTGGTTTATCCCCCACTAGATGTTTTCATCGCTATCGACACTAATAGTTATATTGGAAATAGGCAATGCATCGATTACATAGTCGATATGATATAGGATGTAGCCCTGTGATTATGTCTCATTGTAAGAATGTAATGGAGTTACAAGCTTCTGTATCTTGTCTACTTGAACAAAGATTGAAGGGGGCAATTAGGATTTAAATATGTAGATGTCTGCTCGTATTCTTAATGAATGATAATAGAAGGCGTTGCTGAATTTATAATTGATGGATTGGCTCACAAAGAATTACCCCACAATTTTTACATTCATATTCATATAGAATTTATTAAACAAAGATTAGGTTACTCCATTTTCTATCATAGACCAGCCAGTGAAATCATAATTGCCCCAAAAGTATTAGGAAACCTATTCCATTTCTAAAATTACAACATTTAAATACTGTCATCGAAAATACACCTCTCAAGATTCTGGTCAAAATATTCACTCACTTCGCATTTCTTTATGCATTGATTTTGTTGTACACTCAAGTAAGGTGAGGTGGATGGACATTTACACTCATTAGTCTTCTTACTTATTTGAGCACCAATATAACAGGATCTACATTGGTTTTTTTGGGGTCCCACACATTATGTACATGACTCGTGGCATAATTTAGGTATTATTTAGATATTTCTGATACCCAAAGAGAACCCATCTTAAGTCTCAAGTTGGAATGCCAAGTTTAAGTCACGTTAATAATGGATGTATGACTTGAAATAAGTACTAACCTAAGTTGGTAAACTATTTAAAAAGAACTATTAGAAATATTTACGTATCACAAAATGGCACTGAATAATCATACCTTACTGAGTATTAATCAATGAGGATGTTGTCTAGCAAAATGTTTATGGGTTTATTCACGAATTCCCCTATTAAATAAAAGTCCACAAAAATATCAACAGCGTAATGAGACTCAGCTATACTCATTTAGTAATTGACAGTTGGTTATATAGAGCTCAGATAATAATAGTCAATTTAGCTGAGTATTGAGCATCTCATTATATTAGATGATGGAGTAAGTGAAGGATCACTTAATTCTTGATAAACTTTTAGAGCATCTAGCAATATATTTAAAGTTATTTACTCATGCATGCTAAAATGCCAAAGATTACTAAGATCAACTACATTATAATAATTTATTTGAAAAATTATTTTATTCCTTGTAATATAAATGATCAAACCATTTAATTGAACTAAATGAGTATAATTAATGTTATTTTAAACAAATTGATTTTCTAATTACATTTTTTATACATTTGATTATTTATTATTCATAAATTTAATTGTCTTAACTCACTCTTCAAACACTCCATAATTAAATCTGCTCATGTGATTGCTCAATTGATCTCTGGAAATTAACACGAAGCTTTCACGTCTAAAGAGTAGGATAAATTTATGGATTATTATTATTATTAAATTTGAAACTCATAGGGTTAAAATATAGTATATAATCAAGTGAATATAATTTTAAGCTTGCAATTGTATTTATTCTTTAGGTCAAAAATTAATATTAATAAATCTATGTTGGCTCCCTTCGATTTATTTTTTAAACTGGAGTCTGAAAGAATGGGCATTTTTTTTATCTTAGGTTTTTAAGGGGATTTTAAAATAAAATATATATATAATTTCTGATGTAAATTTACAACCTTCATCAAAAATAACTTTGGTATTAAAACATAAGTTAATATTGTTGTAATGATTAGATTATTAGTCTTTTTCATTAATTTATGAATTATTAAATACTGTTTTATACTCAAATCATCCAAAACATTTGGTGGATAATATGTTCATGGATTTTTTATAAGCCTTATGAATATTACCTTTGTTTTCTTTCTATAAGTAGTATTGTGATACGGATTGCTATATTGGTGTTGGAAAGGAAAAATATGCACACTTTTATTTCAGCGATCCTATATTTGCTACATAATTGTATATACACTGAGGCAAGTCTACGGATGCCTATGAATAATCCTTTTACAAACCATTCGAATTCCTTGATGATTTTGATCAATTACTTGCATGCAAACAAGGAATAAAAAGAAAATATTTAAATAATGTCGAAGTTCGGGTTTCCCATATTTTGTTTACTAAGAACCATGTCAATTACTTTTATCCAAGCCAATTATTAAATCCTGGAAAGCTGTATAGTGATAATGATTTTTCTGTGTGTGATCACAAAGGATGAATTAAAAAGAAAAAAAGAAGCAATTAAAAATTCAGTGAAAGACCTTGAGTCTCAAGATTAACATAATTTTAATTAAAAATTCATAACTTTTTTCCAATAAGATTCAAAGCGACAATCCTTGGGAGCTTCCTTTAAAAAAAGCAGAACCCATTATTCCCATTACAAAGAGAAGCCAGACATACTCCAAAACATCCCCTTATTCAATGAACCTAAAACCTTTGATGAAAATATCAAAACCTCTCTGCAGTTCCAGAACCTGAAGAAGAGCTTAAACAAAAAGGTTTCAACTATAAGTGTCGATAAATCAGATTAACATCTACACACCTTCTTTTAGAACATAATCAATAATATCTTCTCCGCTGGAGTGGTGATTCTCAATCAAAACCAAAAAGTGACTTTTATGAACAATAAATGCGAGAAACTGCTCGGCTAGAAAGGAAGCGAAAAAGTTGTGGAATGTCTCAAGAAAATTATTACCTCCAATTCCTTACATGAAAATGATGAGTCTCCATTGGGACAAATTCCTCCAAAGTCTATGGCTAAAATGAACAAAGTCACATTTGAAAGGATCCTTAAGTATTACCATGAGAACCTAATGGAATTGGACATTTTTGATGCATTCCTCTTCCCCCAAAAATATTTAAACTAATTCTATCAAAATCTATCGCCTAACTCAGAATTTGATTAAAGAAGTAGTCTATCAGAATCCTATAATGAAACCTTCCTACAAAGAAAGGATGCTGTGACCTATGAACATATAATGAATGGAGAGGGCGGTCTTCTAAAGAAGTTAAAAATAGTCATCCTACCCACTTATATGACGAATGCTTAGCAAGAACAACTTTCGTATCCATCGCAATAAAAAGTTCATGTCAGCAGAACAGCCATCCAGGGAGAAAGCGTTCAACCAATCATAGTTATCAAGATCAAGAATATTACTAAGAAGCATAAGATAGAGCAAATGAACAAGGAAAAGGAGATACACAATTCTTTACTCAAATCGTTTTCGCATGAATTAAGAACTCCTTTAAATAGCAGCTAAGAAATGCTTGTGATACTGAAGGACATGATTAAGGATCCCAAACTTTTGGAGTATGTTGAATTCGTTCATATTTCAATCATATTTTTAATTCATTAAATAAATGACATTTTAGATTATGCAGCCATGTAATCAAACACATTCAAATATAGATATTTTGAATTTAAGTCATGTGAGATTGTTGAGGAAATCAAATATATTTATTCTAGTCAATGCAATTCTAAGAAAATTGATTTGCAATTTAAATTTGATGAGAAATCCATAGGCAATATACGATCAGATAAATAAAGAATAATGCAAGTGTTAATTAATTTAATAAATAATTCCTGTAAGTTTACACCTCAAGGTGGTAAGATTGTTTTCTCCTTGAAATTAATAGAATATCCGTTTATCAAATTATAAGTTAAAGACACAGGCATTGGAATTGGTTCAGAATAATTGTAAAATCTAAGGAAAGTTTTAACTACTTCCATGGGTAAGAGTTTACATAGATCAAGAATTAAAAAGAGCTTAGGCTTGGGATTGAATATTTCTGCTAGGATTGTAGAAGGTTTGGTGTCAAAAAATGACGGAACTCTTGAAATAATTTCAAAGAATAAAAACAAAGGAACTAAGATATATTTTATTATTGAGAATTTAATCATATTTAGGGATGAGTCTGTGAGAAATCCTATGATTTCTGAATACACAACTAAAAATAACACTTATAAATAATAAATGTCATATTATGAGGGTAGTAAATGCAGTTAAATATTACCACTTTTAAGGCAATTATCAGAAAATTCTAAATTTGAAGCTTAATCTCCTTCTAAGAGGAGTAAAACAACCAAAAGCAGGTTCTAACCAGGAAATTAAGTGGAAAGTTCTTTGGATATGGCAGATAATTTTTCATATCGAATCGATTTACCCTTAAGTCCTGAATATTTTTTGTATAAGGATTAAAACAATGATAAAAATACAATAACTCCTTAATGTCAGTAATGCGTAAGAGTATTGATTGTTGATGATATACCTTTTAATTAGATAGCTTTAAAAGCTCTTCTCCTGCATTATAACATTAAGGTTGAATAAGCATATGATGGTTATTAAGCAATTGATTTAGTTAAGAAATAATTAGATAAACATTGTCAATATTATACATTAATCTTTATGGATATTGAAATGCCTGGAATCAATGGCTTTCAAGCTACCAAAGATGTAATTTCAAAATTTAAATTAGATTCTTAAAATAACAGTTGATTAATCCCATATTATCATGTGTTCTGCATATGACACTGAAGAAAATTTTAGAGAAGGAGAATCAGTAGGAATGTCAGAGTTCCTACCTAAACCCGTAAATTAAAAGGAATTAGAAAGAATATTAGATAGATTTGGATTTCTATGATATTTACTCCTTATTTCTCGCATTTTAAAATCAACTATTTTAATATATAAAGTCTTTTGAAAATCTTATTCAAATATATTATTATAAATATTTTAGAAATTACTTATAAAATAATTTAATTTTAATTATTATTTAAAGTGATATTCAAATCTTTTTTGAGATTATATATTAATAATTATTAATACTCTGAACCATTAATTGCAAATTAGTATACAAATTGAAAAGTATGCTTATCTTATGAAATATCCCAAATATTTGGACTAAATTTAATGAAAATATCAAAATATTAATATTATAACTTTGATGAAATGAATTTAATCTACAATAATTATTAATTATGATATATTTATATTCAACTAACATAAATTAACTCATTCATGTTTTATTGATTTCTTTTCAAATATTCTTGATTCATTAAACTCTCTATAACATCTTTGATATCTATATCATTTGGTTTAAACATCTTTAATTATTCTTTTACCAATTAAATCAATTATTAAAAGGTTTAAGTCTTTTTACCTTTCATAATTCGAACAATTGCAGCTTGGATGGCAATCTTTCTATCTCCTTAAATATCCTCTTCTATTAAATCTATATGAAATTGATTTACATTAATATTCAACAAATTATTCCAAGATGATGCCCACTCTAAATTTAAGCTTGGGATTTGAGAATTCTTCATTGAACTTGTAGGCCTATCCATCTCTAGTAAGTAACTTTTTGGATTCTAGTAATTTGATTTGGTTTAAGAAATACTAGTTGTTGACTCCAATTGATTACTTTATTAATAATTTAAATTTACTGCTAATTGCTCGCTGGTTTATGGATTATTTTAATGATTAAATTGTAACAAAATTGCACCGCCAACAACTCCGATGATGACTTTGTATTCTTAATTAGTTCTGAACATCAATTCCACCATGGATAATTGATCTTACCAACTGATATCTATTCTATAATATATTATTAGATTGAATAATACAGTTAATTCTTTTCCTGTTAAGAATTGAATTTCTCTCTGTAAGCAGCCTTTAATTAGTTCAGAATCAATATATTATCTAGATTAAGTTGTGGTCTAATTTCAGGCCAATATTCTTTTTGTAGTATTTTGGCTTGAATTTCAATATCAGAAATGGTTATTTTTTCCTCATTTTTCTATTATTCATAATCCTTAATCATGGACTCAAGTTACTTGGTATGTTCTGGTCCATAAGTCTTACGAAATTGATCAATTATTTGTTTATCAAAATCAGAATGATAATCAAAGAGTGTGAGTATTCTTTATGCTAGTTTATTTTAGTAGTTTCTCAACAATAAGTCCTTAGCTTAAAAACATTCCAAGAGTTGCATAACCTCTTTTAATTATTTTTCTTCACCAATATCTATTCTTTTAAGAGTAAAAGTGTGTAGTTTTTACAACAGCGACTCCATGATAAAATGTTATTCAGCATTTGCGGTTATCATTTCAAAAGCAACACGTAGATTGGCTAACAGGAATTGGTTGTTTTCAGCATGATCATAGATCAACTTCTTATAAGACTGCTATAAGGAGATGAGTTATTCTAGGAATTTACTTTTCTATGGAATATAAGTTGATAACTACTTGATCTTCCTTTTCTTATTTGATTTTAGTTTGAGAGATTCTGTTTTTCTGTTCAACGATGATTTCCTAACCCTATTGAATGATGATTTCTTGGAATTTCCTAACAAAAATGTGTGTGTTGCTCTTGAAATGGTCAAAGAATTTTACCAATTAACCAAATTACTAATTTATATAGAAAATGCAATACTTCATAATAATCCTGAATTATAATATTTTTAAGAGTGTCATTATTATCAGAATTCAAATCTGAAGCATAACTATTAATGATATAATTGTTAAATAAATCTATTAATTCTTTTTAAAGTTCACTTTGTTCACATCCAAAGATTAATCTAATTCTACCTAATTCTTCCTGTTTGAATTGAACTAGTGATTTTATTTAATCCAAAAAGGACTGTTATTAAAAGTTGCTGTATTATTATTGATAATAGGTTTTACTGTCCTCCTTAATTTCTTTTTGAATTAATTAATTATTCCCTATATCTTAGAATGTTTTCATGCCATATATAATTTTATATACTCTTTGTAGTAACAATTGTGATTCTTTATCAAGTAGGATTCGATCCAATTTTAATTTTGCCTTGAATTCCTCTTTTATTGAAAAAAATAGTTTGTTGTAGAATTATTCATAAAATTGTTTTTTGGCTTACTATTTCAAATTTGGATATTAACTAGTATTATTCAAAACTTCAACAAATGATCGATCTAAATAAGTAAAATAACTTTGAAGAATTCGAGTATGAATTTCATAAATCTCATGTTAGTAAAGAATTTCTTCGATAAAATTTTTATCACTTTTCAAACTCTGTCTTGCAATCTTCTCTGATTCTTTTAAAAAATCCTCGTTATATCCTTTGAATAAATCATACATCTTCTGTCCTTATTGTTCACCTTAAACTATATAATTGAATATTTCTCTGTTTTAAGTTAATATAAAATATTACGTATAGAAAGTCATTGTTTCCTTTGTATTGTATACCTTTTTCTCGCCTTTCAAAACTTTTTCAATATGATCCCTTAGATTGTTTATCTTAACTTGCAAACCACTTCTGATTTTTTCAAATGTATTCATGTAAAAATGAAATTTAAATATTAATCATATTTTATAAAAAATATACATTATTTTCCATTTCACAACTTAGCTCTCTGTCTATTAAACAACCCATTCATCGTATAATTTTTATTCTCTACTGGAAGTTTTTGCTTTTCTACAATCCATTTTAAATCAGTGAAATTTCCACTCTTCCAAGACCTCAATAAATCAGTTGGCTCCTCATCCACAGGTGGTTAGACATTTTCTTTCAAGATGAATTTCTGCAGTCCGTAATGGAATGTCATCATATAAGATCTAGTATTGTGAATGTAATTCATACCTCCATTCCATTTCAGTCACATCCAATAAGAAGATCCCCTGCTCATCCCTTGACAAGCAATTCATTAATTGTAAGACATTCTCTTAAGAAAACACCCACTCATTCCTATTGAAATGTTTGAAAGTCTTATTGATAGTGTCAGCCTTATCAATAACCTTGAGATAACGACCAGCATTCTTCTTCTAAGATGGATTTCCAAACGTGTCAGCAAAAGTCTTCAATGCCAAAGCTCCCATCTTCCTTTTGAAATTCATGTATCTGTAATAGCACAGATTATTATTGATCTCAATGGTACATGGGGAGACTTTGACACTAGGAGGATTGGCATTCCAATATTCAAAACAAGTATCTTTGGTCACTTTCCATGGAGCAGGATTCCTAGCACTAGTACCGCAATGGTAAATTTAGAAATTATTCTTATTTGCCTCATATGCTCCTGCAACCAGTATCATATCAGATACAAAATCAACTGGGACTTGATCTGTAATCAAATTCTCCTTTCCTTTATAGATTTTGACTAATCCGATTCCTGCGAAAAAGATCACAGCTGCACCTCCAACCAAGTTATCAATCTTTTTATAAGAATCGATATTACCCAACCAGGGATTGGATCTCTGAATGAACATCCTACTATTGTTGGTCTCACTATTGTGATTTGCATGTTGGGAGGTCTCAATTAAGCCAACATCTATTCAGCCAAGTTCTTTGTGAATGTGTATGTATTTGGAAATTTGTCTAATGCCAATTTTTATTGTTTCTCATCGAAATTTTAAGAAGATCTATATAATATCGAAACAAAGGACTCCACATCTTTTTGGGGATGATAGATCTTTTCCTCAATGAATCTTGGTAATTCAACAATAAATTATACCCAAATTTATCACTGTTTACATAGGCAGTCGATACATGGATGAAATTCTCTAAATGCTTACATTGCTTAGCTAACTCCAACACCTTTTGAACTCCATAATAATTGATTTCCAAGGCAACCTTGATTGGGGAGTTGAAGTCAACACTGGCAGCACTATTTATGATAATATTGACATTTTCTATGAGCTCTTGTGTAACTTCCTTACTGAGTCCCAAATGAGGCTTGATGAGATCGCCATCCACTGGTTTCACGACCTACTCAATAAAATTCTGAAAATCCGCTCCTTTTTGTTTACGAATCCTGTCAAAACATTGAGAATTGATAATCTCCTTATTGAATCTCTCTGTCACTGATTGCCCTTTCTTTGCCCTCACTAAAACGTAAACTCTCTTAACTTCCAAAACTCTTAAAATCTTCTCCAATATGACCTTGGCCACAAAGCCTGTGCAGCCAGATACTAATAAGGATTTTCCCTTGTAGAAGTTAAGACAACTTATGTTTGTAGTCATAATTAAATTATATTAATTTTTATATCTTAATATTTCAGAGCTGTCTGTTAAAGGCCTCTTGATTTTCATTGAAAGCAAATCCAGCAAAGAGACCTGCACTCAAATTACGTATAAATGCTTTTCTCTTGAAAAATACAGAAGCACCAACTCCTACAAAGTATCCTAATTTGCCATTACACATATACGCATACCAACTGTAGTGTAGGTAACAAAATCAAAAGCTGTCTTGTTCAATTAAGTGTCTAATTTAAGTTGTCTATCCATTTTTATAATAAATTTAATTAAAAAATAATATAATTGTATTAACAACTAATTAATATAGAATTGGATGAAGTAAAATTATAAATCTTACAAACAATCATCTCCCAACTATATTCCCACTCCCTTGGTTCAATCTCCTTTGTCTACATTAGTTATCTCTAAAGGCAATAAGGTAGTGCATCCCCTTAAAGTATGTGCATTCAAATCTATATACAATCTTGGTAGTTCATAAGTTTGAATGCAAGATAGGCAAGTATTATGAGAGAAATCCAATGAATTGCATCTATTCCACCTAACCCCCCTCTATATTTGAACAGTATCTTTATATAAATCTTAACTTCCTCCAACATCTAAATGTACGTACATCAATATCTAACAACCCAATTAATCTTCAGTATTTATTTAACTTAATTTCTGATACAATAGGATCATTAGAAACGTTCAAGATTGCCTATTATTTCAGGATTTGTATTAGTTAATTCGTGAATGCGCATGTAGAATTGCAACAGTAATGAGGATGAATAAGATTTGAATTTTCAGAATAAAATTATTAATTGTACAAAAACAAGAATTTTTCGACAGGAATAATAGGTAAGCGCAGCAAGATTCGAATATTGTCTTTGCATTATTATTTAATGATAAAAATTAATATGTAATAATGACTTACTTATTATTTAAAATAATATGGTATATTGAGGATTCTTAAGTGACAAATGTTTTTCATTGAATATCTTTTAAATTAATTTCTTGAAAGATGACAGAAACCATTGAAAATTTAAGAGATTTTAACTATTATCCATTCTCCTCGAACATTAATAGTAAGTACGTATTGGCAGAATATATATGGATTGATGGAACAGGAGAAAAATTGAGATCCAAAACCAAAGTAAGTTCGTATATCTCAAATTAAGGTCTATTTGAATCCTATAAAAAACCTTGATGATCTGGAATGGTGGACATATGATGGATCATCGACAGATTAAGCTGTTACTAAATTTTCAGAGATATATCTAAAACCAGTTTGCATGGTCAAAGATCCTTTTAGAGGGGATCCTCATCTATTGGTCCTTTGTGAAACGTATTTGCCTGATAAAAAAACACCCGCAAGGTATAATTTTAGGTATTCAAATTTACACTATTTAAGATGGCTATCGAATTTAATTATGGAGAAGGCAAAAGAACACAAGCCTTGGTTTGGCATTGAGTAGGAGTATTTCCTTTTCAAACGTACAGGCACAACACACTTGTGGCCATTGGGTTGGCCAAATGGAGGATTCCCATATCCTCAGGGGAGATACTATTGTTCGATTGGGGAGAGAAACAATTTTGGGAGAGCCCTTGCTGAGGCTCACTTGAGAGCGTGTTTGAATGCTGGACTGAAGATAGCAGGGTTGAATGCAGAAGTGGCTCCTTCTTAATGGGAATTTCAGATAGGAATTGCAGAGGGAATAGAGATTGGAGATCACATGTGGTTGGCAAGATATATATTGGAAAGGATCGGAGAGGAATTTGGCATAGATATCAATTACGATCCGAAGCCAATTTAGGGTGATTGGAATGGTAGTGGAGCACATTGCAATTATTCGACTGAAACTACTCGAAGTGAAGGGGGTTACAAATATATCGTTGAGAAATTAATGCCAATCCTTGAGAAATAACACAAAGATATGATCCGATTGTATGGAATCAACAACCAATTGAGATTGACAGGGAAACATGAGACAGGGAGATATGATTCCTTTTCTTGGGGCGATGGTGCTAGAGGGTGTTCGATTAGAGTGCCTATAATAACGAAAGAATTAGGATAAGGGTACGGAATCATATTATTAATTGCAGATATTTTGAGGACAGGAGACCAGCAGCCAATATAGATCCATATTTAGTGTCTGCAGCGTTGGTTGACGTTACATGTTTAAATAGTGAGCATTTGCCATAATTGTTGTAGGTGTTTGAAACATCTTAAAAGGCTCTTCAAGCATGACATCAATGTATATTTAAAAACTCATCATTAGAAGAATTCTAAATTCTAAATTCTAGATTATATTAATTATTATATTATGTCAATAACTGTTTCAAATTGCCAATAAATATGTGGTTCTCCATTGAATAATAGTACTGCAAAGAACTTGTGGACATTCTCTAAATCCGATAGATTTGGAAACTTGGCTAATCCAGTTAAGTATACATGATTGATCTAATCATTATAGTTGCGGTAAAGCATTTTACGATTTGCCTAGTCAGATAGAGAAGAGAGCTGCAGGAATTGGAAAAGGAACGAAGTAATTTCTAACCATTTAAATTAAGAACTGATTTTACAAAAGTGCCATTCGCAACTCCTTCCCCATAATAATACAACTTATCTAGTGATGTCGAATCAAATCTAAAGAAATAGAAGGGCAACAAATTCGGAATGAGCAGAGAAAAAATGGCTAGTACAGGAATCCTTGGGAACTTAAATTTAAAAACTCCAGGTAAATTGAGTCATCAATCTATCCATCACAGCTCCTGGAACCTATGATTTGGGATCTACCTTGAGTGATATTCGATACTCAATGAGACAGAGACCAAAAACCAACTTCATGGTCTTGACAAGCAAAGAAATCCCAGGACCTGGAACCTACGAAGCTCTACCTGCAGTTAATGCTGTGGGAAAATACCCAATTTCGAAATACAATAATTCATGCGCTACTTTATTCAATCCCAAGAATTCTAAACGCTTCGTCAAAGACTTTTGTAATCGTCTAATACCATATTTAAGCGACTAATCTATATGCTCCTGGACCAGGCACTTATCCAGTCGATAAGACAGGAATCCAAAAAGTATGTTGACTATACTAATGATAGGATGGCAATTACTTCATTTCTAAATTCCACTCTTCCAATGTTCGAAGTTTTCCCAAGGAATCCAGAAGAACTGGTTCTGTTGGCAAAGGTATACCAATCAATTTATGAACAAGCTGGCACTCCAGCTCCGGGTAGCTATAGATTGCCTTCCGAATTCGGGTACTACGAATCCAGACACAAAGCCAATAGGAGTGCTGGAGACATTGGAGAAAATAAAGTCTAATAATGATTATCAAATACCAATTAATGTATACATACGCACAACAATATATAGATTTTGTTATTAATAATATATATAATACAATGGCAACAACTATTGAATTGCTCAAGTGGTCCAATCTCATCTCCTCAATCATGTTGATACTGATTGGAGTCACTCAAATCATATCCCTGTCTATCCTTTTTAAGAGTTTTAGTTTTACATTCTTCATGTCATTTTTCTTACCATTTTTCTTAATGTAAGTCAGCATTTCATTAAATTTAGATTATTTGGAATCATGTTGTTTGCGAGTGGCTAGAAGATGGAATTTATGGACAACAATTTCAGATTTCTGAGTTCCCTCTTAGGAAGAGGCCTATTTAATATTTAGTATCGAATAATCCTATAAATTTAAGTCTTGCTTCCTTGGCTGTTTATCAGTTGGCAAATGCAGCAAGTGACATCATCGGATTCATAATCGGAGCAATGCTATTTTGCACAGGCTTTTTTTATTTGATTTTGCATTTTTGTGGAGTAATTAATACATAATATATATTTCATTAGAATAAGGAGGAATTAACATCATACAAGCAATAATTAAGTTGATTCAAATTCATATTGGTCTTTATTTATCAGTATAATTAATTTATCAATAAAACATCTCTAACGAATACATGGATTAACTCTCTTAATACTATACCACTCAACACTTCCTAGAACCAAACAAAGACACCAATAAGTCCCAAAGAACCAGATCAAACACAAATGAGAAATTGGTTACTCCAAACTTGCTTTATGTCACTAGGAATTAACAATAACCTCAACCTTCAATTAGATTGGAATGTCAATAACAAATCCAAAAACCCTCTCAATCCTCATGTAATCTCAAAGAATTAGCAAAGGCGAAAGTCCTTGAATCCGACGAATTAGTGTTCTATAGAAATAAGTCCTCTTATTAGGAAAAGTAAATTTTAGATCTTTAGGCTGAATTGCATCATATAAAGTCAACAGTTTAGGAAAGAGTGACCTACATTGAGGATACTCATAGAATATAATAATTGGAAACAAATTTACAATAATACCAATAAGAATGCAATAGAATGAACAATCTATTGAGAGAGACTCAAAATGAATCAGAATCATTGAAGTAGAAGAATCTGTAGTTGTCGCAATCCATTTTTTAGTTTCAACAATTGCAATTCGAATTTGATAGATTAAAAAGGAATTCTCAAGAAACTGATTAGTATTGGCAAAATGAAATACAAAGACTCAACGTGTTGTTGTCTTAAAGTCAGACCTAGTTACACTAATTGCAAAAGACATTGATAGAAACAAAGTAATACGAACAGATGTATCATCAATAATAACCGATCTAAACCTAATTGGCTTTGGAATTGGAGAGAATGACTTCAATGTTAAGGGCTAAGACTGATGAATATGATCAATAGAAATAGACCTATATAAAGGAGATAGAAATCTCATCCAGGAGAATCAAGGATTCAGAATTAGAACTCAAGGATTTAAAAATTCGAGAGACCAATCAAAAATAATCAATTGATGAATTGAGCAGGGAAAACAATTAAATTACTGAAAAGTTTATGAATGAAATTAGAAACAAAAACGATGAAATCTAAAAGCTATAATAAATTATTTAGACTTTATAATTGACTTTACAGGATACTTCAAAATATATGGAGTATGAAATTAGATCAAAGAAGTAAAATGAAGAAATCAATAATCTCAATCAAAGAATTAGAATCAAATAAGAGGAAACAGACAACTATAAATAATAAATGTTGATTTTATAAAATTAAATTTAGGAATGCCAAAAATATGCAGAATATGAAATTAAATATTAAAATCTCGCATAGGAATATGACAGATTAAATAATTCTTTAATGATGAAATTATAAGAGAATGACTAATTGAGGAATTGCATTTCAAAATTGCAAATCACCTTGAATGATCATTACAAAATAGAAGAATATGATAATAAAATAGCCTTGTAGAATTAAGAAATAGACCATCTTCATTAAAGTTTACAATCTAAGTGTTAAGAGATCGAGAAATTAAATTATGAAAACAATAGGATGTCATCCTTATTAAGAACAAGAAATGACGAAATCGATAATCTGAAATATAAAATGTAAGATAATTCATAGTTGAAAGAATATCAATAGAAGTTCCAGATGCTAAATGGAGAAATGGAGAGATTGGCAATTCAATTGAGGAGTAAGAATGAGGAAATGGAAAAACTAAGATAATATTTAGCATAATTTTAGTTGTAAGAGGCTAATAAGTTATAAGAATTAGAACAAAAGAATGTCGCTTATTAAACTGAGATAGAGAGATTGAGCAGTTTGCTGAAGGTGAAATTATCAGAGAATGAGTAGAATAAATTATAAATCAGATGTTTATAAGAAGAAAACGATCAATAAAAATGTAAAATATTGACTCAAAATGAAATACAGTAATATAATGATAAGGTGACTATTTTGACTCAGGAAGTTGAGTCTTGGAAGAATCAATTTATCAATCTCAATAGAGAATATCATAAATAATAAGAGTAGTTAATGCTGTCTAATGCAGAATTGGATACATTGAAAAAACAGAGGAGCAATTCAATTAGAGTATATTTGATATTTATTACTTTTAGTTGGATACGTATGAGACAACTAAGGAAAACTCAGCTCTTTCTGCCTTCTAATATGGGACTCTCACAATAAGAAATCTATGATACTAATAATTTAATAATATAATATTATTTTGTTATGAGTAATTACGAAAGTCCCTCTGCAGTATCTATCATCTTATAATTTGTCTAGAACTCCAAATACAGTAGACACAAAGGCTATTTAAAGTGGGAACTTGCTAATAAGGATGTTAATGGTGCATTTGATGTTCAACAACTACAATTAGAAAAGGGACTAATCAATCGAGATAGATAAGCGAATTCCTTAATGATACCTTCGATGAAATCACCCTAATCTTCACAAATTAGTCCTGAACCTTCAACAACAAGGGAGCATACTTGTTGTGATAAATTAGATGAATTAAGCAAGTAATACGTAATAGAAATCAATCTATCCGTAGTAACTAATCATCAATGAGCAAATGAATAAATTAACTGAGTTAAATTTATTGATTTAACAACATTCTAAACTCTTGATTGACTCTTATAATCAAGGATTGGAAGATGCTAAAACACAATAATAAAAGGAATAATAGATTCTAGAAAATAATCGTTTATTGAGAGAAAGGGATAGACAGATTCAAGAGTGGGAAGAGAGGTACAATAAGGAGAAAAAGATTGGAGATGAAAAGGAAGAAGAGATTCGGTAGATATGAATTTTAGTTTAATAGTGAACTGGAAAAACAGGTAAAAGAATTGGCAACACAAGTCGTCGTAACTACAAGTGCCACAGATTTGGAAAGTGAGAAAAACCAATGGAAAAATAAATTCATCACATTAAATAAACAGTTTAATGAAGCCGAATAGTAAGTGGTTGTACTTGAAAATGAGATCGATATGTTGAAATAATAGTAGAAGAAGACTGAAGTTAGAGTAAAATATATATCTCAAAGACTAGACAACCACTAGAAGAAAAACAGTTACAAAGGATATCCCTTTGCCCTGATAATTTCATATTGGTCTATTATTTTATAATATCTTTATTTTATTTTCATAAATAATAAATACTACAGAACTTTATCTCATATAGCTTCCCCCTAATTATTAAGTGAAAACAAGAGTAATTTATATAAGAATTTGAAGAATATTTATACTTTTTTCTATAATTCTTGTGATTTGCAATTCTTGATGTTTTTTGGAGAATAATTCTAATTATTTTTAATGGAAATAGCTAAATAAGTTATTTAAGATAAAGGTTATTTGGATCTGAATAATCTAGGCTTAATAGAAATACTTAAGCATTATTGAAATAATTAATTTTTTAACAAGATTGCCCTTTAGCATATATTAAAACTAATCAAATTGTACAATGATTTAAAAAATATGTTTTCTATCACTTGATAATGCTTGATTTATAAGCTTTAATACTATCATAAAATACTTGAAATAATAATTTTATTTTACATGGAAGAGTGCGAGTGCAAAAAGGAAGAAAATGAGAATCCTCAGTTCATTGGGTTCTGCGAAAATGATGAATGTGGAGATTTCTATTGTGAAAACTGTAAAGGTGATCATGCAGGCCATCGTGAAGATACTCTTGAAGGATAGGAGTTGGAAGAATTTCTTGAATAAATGAATTCCCCTGAATATTAAAAGGAAGTAGAGCAATAGGCATTGGCAGAAGAATTCTCTGAGTATTATGAGAGGATTTTAAAGGAAAATGAAGAAGAAACAAAAATGTTTTATCAAATTGTATAATACCTCAAAGACGGCAACGCTGATGAGTTGGTCAAACTCCTAGATAAAATAAAATAAACCAAAGTAGAGTTCGATAACAACAAGCCAAGTAATTAAATTTATATAGATTTAGTGTAAATATCAAAAAAAATGGATGAGTACAGAAAAAGAATAAAAGACCTTGATGACTAGTTTCCTACTGGGAATCTTGAAGATAGAAAGAAAAAAATAGAGCTTATGAATAAAGGTATGATTCTTTTATATAAAATCATTAAGGAAGATAATTATTTCGTTCAGGCGAATATTATGAGGCACTTTAAAACTTATAAGAAGCAATTAAAATAGATAATAATTACGTTGATGCAATCCTCATTAAAGGTTCTCCTATTTTATAAATTCTAGCTCAAACATAAATTCAATTGGAAAATTATAATGATGCTGTTGCTTGTTGTGATTATGTGATTCAAATAGACAGACTCAATGGCGAAGCATATTATATTAAGAGTATTAATTTTACTATTTCATCTAGTAATTGCCTTAATTTTAGGTTAAAGATATGATGTCCTAAATGAAGCACTCAGACAAGCATATCGTAAAATTTCATATAAATTTACCTTCAATACTCTTCATTTAATTAACCAATTGGAAAGAAGTTCTCCAACTGTTAAGAAACACTTGTCAGAATTAAACTATGATTTAAAGCGCAGCCTTTTTTCCCTTATTAATCATGAAGAAATCACAAGTAAAATATTTCATTTAAGAAAGCTTAAATTTGTTAATAATACTTTACATAATTAGTAGTAATCATCAAGCTTGCTGACCAAGAAGAGATAAACCATGCCCTAATGCAATATAATTTAAGTGATATAAACATTCTAATTCAGATTTCGAAGTTATTGAAGAATACTAAAAATAATACGATGTGGATATAAGACCAAAGTTGGATGAAAAGGCATGGTACTAAATGGTAGAATGGCTTGAAAATTATTAAAAATAAAAAATGGAGAATTAACTAGATCAATAGTTTATATATTAATTAAATATTAGATCTTAAGGATAAATATCGACTGATAACCCATCCGCATCTCAAATATCAAATACTGGTACTGCAGGAAATGAAAATCCAGGTGAACCTCCAACAGGAATTGTCTCCGAAATTAGTTAGTTTTATTAAGATTCATAATTAGGATAAACTGCTCAATTTTAATAACAAAAGTATCGATAATTTTTAATTAATTAAGAGATGTGAGCAATGTTTAAGCAGAAAGCTAAATTCCAGAATAAAATCCCACATTACCTGCAGTTAATACCCAAAACCAATAACAAAATTAGTATAAATCTATTTTATTACCAAGAAATGAAATCTAGACTCCTGGAGGTTAATCTTCAAGCTAATTTTAATCAGAATTTAGTAAATTTATCGAAAATTAACAAATAAACTAAGCTGCTGCTAACGAACAATAATAACAAGAGTATAAATAGCATTTTATTTGTAAAGACCTGTTGTGAGGCCTTTAGACGAATAAATTACCTAATAGCCTTCAAATTAATTTGTTAACTAATTAAACAATTTTTTATAAGATTCAGCAACGAACTAAACAAACCCAAGCCAAGAGCAACCAAAGTATATATAACATATAGTTATTTAGAGCTGAAGGCTAAATTCCTGAAAACGAAAATGTTAACTAAACTCCAAACCAATTTAATTCACAATTAGAAAATTTTTTAAATGGTTCACAACCAAACTAAGAGACTCCGAACGAACAATAATAAATACAGTATAACTAAAATTATATCTAAGAAACCCTGTAAAAGAGATGGCTAAACTAATTCCTACTCAAAAAACCGAATAGTAATTGGCAGATTTCTATAAGGATGAACCTAAGGATAAGAACGATTAATCCAAAGAAAAGTAGAATTCTATTTAATTATTCAGAGATTAATAAGCCGCAGGAGTAACGCCCTCAATACAGCAAGAACTCTAAAACTTTTTGAATGGACAAGAATACAAAGCAACTGAATAATAACCAACAGATTAATAGCAATAAGATAAAGAAGAGAGTAAGATACTTGTTTAAATTACTTAAGTTACTTTTGATGAAACCAAACGTTTGGAGTAAGTCTTGAAATTTTGTAATGAAACTATAAAGAAAGGCAAACCTGATCACTAAATTTATTTTAAGAAAGGTAATTAACATCTCAAAATATTAGCAATGATTTTAAAGAAACTAAATGATTTTGAAAATTCCATGGAAAATTTGGACTACGCCATATAAATGAAAGAAACTGAAGCTAATTATTATTATCAAAAAGGTCTGTTTAGAAATATTTTTAGCATTATTGTTGATTAAGTTGGATGCTTTAGACTTAGCCATAGTTAATTTTGATGAAGCCATCTCAAGAAATCCTAATGAACCAAATTATTATTTAGAAAAAGGTGAAAATATACAAATGATTTTTTAGGAAATGAATTAAAAAGATAGAATATATTAAACGAAGCTGAAATTTGCTTTGAATTAGCAAGGTAGAAGAGTGAAGCAATAAAATGAGAAATTAATTATAAAATATTAAAAGAATTTATTCTTTTTTGAAAATATTAACATTAACATTCTACACAACTTAATTGCTATTGAAAAAAATATAATAATTCTAAAAAGTTGTTAAATTTTGGTATCATGATTATGCATTTTTTAAAATGATTATTCAGGAATAGAAATTGATTCTAAAGTATATAGTTACCAGCTTAGAAACTCCAATAGGTTCAATAATATATATCAATAATATCATTTAATTTCAAATTTATTTCCTACTATTAAAAAACAAACGACAATTGCGAAACAATAGTCATAAATTAAGGATTTCAATCCGTCATTTCCTATGATGTGTTGTATTTATTAAAAAAAACTGTATGTGTTTGGGATTCTAAATAGGATAAACTGTTATTGTATACTTTAATTGCTTTATGTAAAAGGCAATTGTAATAATGCAGAAAGCAAACTCGACAAGTATTTCAAGTCCAATTTCTAATTGAAATACTTGATGTTCATCGTCATTTACATCAAAAGTAGACCATTTTTAAGATTACTACTTCTCGTTATATAAGATTGAACTCAACACAACAAATAAAAGGGCAATTACAATTTCAAATACTTCTTGTAATACAAATCCAAATATTTATTTTGTAACCAAGGCTTTTTTGATGTTTTCAATGTTGTCGACATGAATCCAATTGGCAGCCGTTTTAGTGAAGGAAGGCGTTTCTTATTCTTAGGCTTCATAAAGAGATTGCCTCTTGTCTTTCACTTAAGCTGCAGATTGAATCAGAGTGCCAGTCTTCTTGGTTTATAATTTATTCTTTTATTGTGAATTATCAACAACACTGCCTCTGATGTAATTCATGTACATCTATTTCCTTTATTCCAAATTAAAATAATATCCAAATACAATAATCCAATAATAAAGAATTTTGCAAACGAATTTGATTATTAGAAATTATATAAAATATCCGACTCCCAATCTTTAGACAGACATAGTCCCTATCCTATATCCAGTTACTCCTAATATGACAATTTTTGATTCGTAATTATAATCGACGAATTACTTCATTGTAAAAAAGCATAAGGTGAATTTTTTCCATACGTAAAGAGAGAAAGGATAGAGGAAGAATAACAAAGGCAAATAGTCATTTTTAACTTCCTAATATGCCATGGCAAAGTAAAGAAACATTGGGAATCCTATGCAGTATAAAAAAAAGAAGGAAACATAATTGACCAGGATATCAAAGGGGGCAATTCCTGGATTGCTCATTCTCTAAACCTTCATTTGATCGTCTTTTTTTTCTTTTAATTGTTTAGTCAATTTATTAACGAAATCGTTGGCATCATGGGTCAGTTTATCATTTCTGGAACTTGCAACTCTAAGTAGTTCTCTTTGTCTTTCTTCGACCTCATTCACAAACTTTTAGTAATTTTACGAAGCAATGGTGCTTTAATAGATATTGCCTTCAGATCCATGCTGGAATACTCCAAGTATCTGGTTGCAAAATTAAAATGAAAGTGGCACTTGAATATTTTCTTACATTCTTTGAATTCTGTCTACTCTCTCTTTGATAACCACCAACTATTTATTACTAACTGGGATGATGGCCTTATGTTATAATCAATAGTTACATAGAAGATAAAAATTATAAATATCATATTGCAGAAGGTGAGTATAGTTAAAAACACAAATATTGATATGATTGAATCACTAATATTGTCATTCCAAACTGAATAACCATAATAAATTGTTAAGCATAAGTTTACAATTAATAATACTATCCTAATACCCCACATAATTTTAATAAATTTTTGTTCATTCCAGAAATCTAATTCTGTTTTAGAGAGTATGTAATTGCATAAACCATTTTTATGAGTATATAATTGTTGAATTAATGACAGTGTAAACAATCCAATCAAAAGCCAGCAATTTACAAATGTAAATGTTCCAGAATCAAATTCACTGCTAATATAAGCTAGAAGTATTCCAAATGGAAATGATAATCCCATTATAATCAAAAACATTGGACCAAATTCTAATTTATATCCAGGCAATTAAGGTAGATTCAATTATTGTAAACTAACATTCCCATTTCTATGATATTTCTCATAAGGTATTCTTTCAACTGGTGATTTTTATATTGTTTATTCCGATCTCACACCCGTAAATTGAATTTTCTTTGAAGATTATTAAAAAGGAGTGACAGCAGGGTTAATAGGCTCATCCAATTTAGACTCCAATAAAGGTTTATTGTTCCTTAATAAAGGAGAGGCCGAAGGAGTCATTTTTTGAATTGGAGCATCTGGACCACTATCCAATCTTTATTAATTAGATGCCGGACCTTGAGTTCAATAGGAAAATATACTTTTTATTTAATCTGCTTGGCCACTACTGTTATTTTGGAGTTTCTTCTATTCCTCATCAACTTAAAGTTATTTAATCATATAATAATAATAAAATTCAAATAAAAGGTCTTCTCTCCCCAGGCTTGGTAATAAATTCCCTCTTTTTACTTGCCTTGTCAAAAGCAGAGTTGGTCTCATACCTTCCAGGTCCTGGCGCAAAACTAAAAGATTAGAAGGGATTCTTCTTCTCCCCAATTCCAAGGGATATTTTCTAAACTTACGTATTAACAATACAGAGAATCTATTGGGAACAGTCAAACAGATTTAAGGTTGGTATGCCTCCGGTCCAGGTACTCCGTTTTCTCTTTGATCGTTGAACATTTTCCCCTTTCCTTTTAATTGAAATTGATATCTGTGCTAACCTAAATCCTAACGTACAGTGTATTCTCCAGGTCCTTCATTAGACTCATATGTTACCTGGCAGATAACGTGCTACTTCAGGTGATAAATGCTTATTGTAAGGCAAGTATGTTTTAGAGTAAGCATCCCATGCCAAACCAAAGGACTTTTTTAATTTATCATTTCCTGGTTCCTAACGCACTTAATATCTATCTGGACTCGGTAGTTCTTTAGCATTGACCTTCTACCATTCATATTAAAATACTATTTTATTACCAAACCCTTATTAGGTGAATCTAATGCATAATCAATATATTTGATAACCTTTTTCCTAATTGTGAAGGCAATTCCAATTTGGTGGGCAATTACAATTAAGATTGAGTATGGAAGCGATTTGCCTTAGGAAATGATATTTAAGGCGATGTGTGTCTCAAAGTGCTTGATGAAATGTTTGTACTCAATCCTATGTTATTTAAAAAAAGGGTGTTGGTGCTATAAAATTACTATGAACTAGAATTCATTTCTCCAGGTTCAGTATTCCCTCAAATTACAACAACTAATAGTACCTTTGTGCTATTATTCCATTCTTAAATAATTATATAAAAATCTATTCACTATTATTACAGAGTATTTTTGTTTATAAATAAATTTTTATGAATCAGTTGAAATTTGTTAGATCAAAGAGTACAACAAGATCGAGTCCTTTGAAAAGGATCCACTAAAAATTAAGATAAGTTTAAAAGCCTGGAAAACTGAATGTCAGTGTTGGAAAGAGCAGAGAAACATCTTAAAATAAGGAAGTAATACATGTATCGACTCCAAAGGAGAAGGTCGAGAAATTACTCTAATAATTGTCAATATATCAAAAAAATTCGAAAAAGTCATACTTAGAAACTCCGGAAAGAACCCAATCGTTCGTTCCTTTGTCACATGAAAGAAACTTATTCAACGAATCTATTAAACTTTAAGACTCCGCTTATGGATTCTATAATAACAACATATACCACAAAAATAAACAGAACAATTAAGTCCTTAATCTGTAGCCTAAAATGGAAGAAAGTACAATAACAGAAAAATTAGATGCTTTTTAATTGAAATAATAAAAAAGGAATTCCTCCGATCAAACCACCTTTGATTAATAATCCCCTTCAAATACTATTTATGGAAATGCCACCATCTCCCAATTCTACTATAATAAAGAAATACTAAAATAGAGCTATTCAATTAATTAACAACAAAATTCTGATTAAAAACAATAGTATTTCTACAAATAACCATAACTTCCATAAAAGAATGGCCCACAAAGTCAATCCCACTCTCGAAACAATTCATTTAAAAATCAATCGAAAGAAAATGCATACAATGCAACCTCTCAAGAGTAACTCATTAAGAAAAAGAATGAATCTAAAAACGATTATGATGAAATAATCTTAGAAATCTATCCATAATTCTTGAAGCAATGCCAATAGAATGCAATTACAAAAAAAACGATAGTAGAATAGACAGAAGAGGAAGAGCACTTACCAACCAAATTGAGTACTAAATCCCCATAATAAGTCCAACTCTATAGTGAATTATTAACTGACAAATCTTTGGTTTTAGTTTCGCCCAAAGTAGTGAAGGACATGGAAATGCAAACTAGTTTTACTTAACCTATGAAAATATCTCAAGACACTTCTGAAAAACCAACTATTTCAACTTAATTTCGACACTGTGAATGCATCTGTTTAGACTAAATTAAAAAAGAAGAATCTTGGATTATTCCAATATTAATTTTCATATATGTCACCGTAGAACAATAACAATCGGTAAGATATTGATTTGTTATCTCTGGGAGATTTCCAATCAGAAATATTACATAGAACCTAAAGTGAATTTGAAAGAGATTTTAATTCTCAGGGTAAACAGAAGTAGAAATTAGAAATGTCTAATGCTAAGATTTAAGATTTTAGTATTCATCCATAGGTAACCCAAACAAAACAGTAAACTTATTAATAAAATGACAGTAGGTAAATATTTATAATTACTAATCAGATCATTTTTGTTAAGTCAAAAGAGCAATTTGTTTTTATCGAAAGAATAATTGTTAGATCCACAAGATGATAATCATCCCTATTATCTGCAAGCTGAACCCAAAGAAATAAACTCTAATTTCTATCTGAAATAGGGCAATCAAGAGAATGTATCTTAAGAACATTCAAAATAAAGAAGAACAAACTTATCAAACCATAAATTGGAGAAGGGATCTTCATTTTCGAGTACACAATGTTATAAAGATCATTTAAATATATTATTGAGTCAATCCTAATAGGGGAATGTTAGAGACAGTTAGCATAACCCTTATTTAAACTAAACCAATTCCATTAAAAAGAAATAAAACTACCCTTTGAAAACTAATTCATTTAGCAGTCAAAAAACCAAGAAAAAGTAGAACATCTTAAAAACCAAAAAATGAATATTTATATATATATACAAACTTAAAGTATAAAATTATTATCAACATTTATGAACACTTAAGTTCTACGAATTTAATATTGATATAATATCAGTTAAATGGTTATTTTCAGAACAGTTAAGATCCTACAAATTTATGTCTTCATCATCATCTGATTCTATGCTTGCAATACTTAACCTTTATGTAGGTCTGGTTAATTTAACTTCCATTGAACTTTATTCTCTAATTTCCAATATTGTTCTTAAACTAGGCAATAGTTTCTATTTTCCAATCTATTTAAATTTGGCTTTTTCGTTGACAAACCAATGATGATTACTCAACTCTTACAAATCTTTTCTCTTAATAGGATCTGGTTGAATTAAGTATTGCAATAGATCAATCTAAGAGAGGCTCAGAATGGATTTCTCTGATAATGCTTATTCTTATCTTAATCTAAGGAAGGAAATATCGATATTTTCAATGGATTTGCTAAAAGATTGGCAACTCCCTTTGATAACAGGCTTGTAGACACAAAGGTAGAATAGAGTACATCCTATTTAGAATTAGTCAATTTTCTGTGGGTATTGGACATTGCATAATTGCATCTCTGGGGGTATCCATTACTTAGGTAATTTCTTTATTAGTTAAACAACTCCTATTTCTTCTCTGTAAGCGAAATTAATCAATACTATTTGCAACTGATCTAAGGAAGCATTCCTCAACAGAATTATATTCTGAGGAGTTATTTAGGCATGATATAAATTTTGTTTATGTAAAAATTTTACAAACTTAATTAGTTAATATACTATGTTGGATATTTGTGTGGAATTTAAGACTAAACCTTATTCCAATAATTTGTATAGTGGATCTCCAACCCAATACTCATATAATATATATAAGTGTTATTGATCTTCATATAATGAACAATATTTAAGTAAACAAGGGTGTTTCAGACTCATGAGGATGTTGACTTCATTCATCAATTATTCATAAAGCGATGGATTTTTGTCGAAGTCTTGTAATCTAAAGATATTTACTGTGTAAACCGAATTATTCTTATTTTTAACACAAGCAAAAACATTAGGGACATTGGTTCTCTCTTTAATTGTGTATTTTTATAAAAAGTTGGACAATTTACAAAATTTCTTAGCATATTTAGTCCACTAAATGTACTTAAATTCTTTACATTGGTTAAATCTTTTAATGTAATAAAGAACAAATAAGTTTATCCAAGTTGATTACATAATTTCAAGCCTTGAGCATTAAACTCACGATATTCGATTTTCGTTTTTTAAATTGTGCATGTTGACAGGATTAAAAACAAATTATCCGAGATAATCATGTTTGGATACAATTCCAATTTCTGCAAAACAAATTATTCTTATTCTAAATTGTAAATATAAATCTCTGATTATAGTAAGAAATCGTTTTACACAAACGCTTTTGGTAACTATTTCATATTTGATTGTTGCAATTCATGTTTAGAGAAAGCATCTGTAAAATTTAGAAGCCATCCGAAATCATAAGTAGAATTATGATTTATAAAAGTATTCTGTTTTCTTTTTTATATTTACATAATTTAATAATATAAATATTTATATTCATACTTGCTTGAGAATCCCATACTCACCATCATACCTTTTTTTGATTTTGAATTTACTACTTATTAAAACCCTGTAATATAAATGAGTATACACAAATGTTATAATTATATCACTTTGAAATGACAATGTCCATATAACAATTAATTTAATTGAAATCATAAATTATTTTTCCACTTGAAATGAATTATAGAGATTAATTTTTCAATATCAGTAATATAATTTCCTCAAATTTGTTGTTCTGTAATCCATTTCCAATTCATGCGTACCAATTATATAGAGTCAATGCTCATAGCTAAATTTTATTGTTTTTTATAAAAATAGCAGAAAGTGCTTTGCTGAATGCTAAAATGAAGGTTTAGTTGAGATTCAAATAATAAATGAATTTTAATATCAAGTATTCAGAATTATGTATTGGCCGAATTTGATCTTTTGAAATGATGTTATTGGAGAGTTGAATTAACTTGATTTGGACAGTCAGAGGCTCGAAATTATAGATAAAGTGCATAATTATCGAAAGTGACTTTTTTCAAGGTTTTTCTAGTTTTTTCTTCTGCAGGCGAAGAGAGTAGATGGTTAAGTTAATCGCCAGTAAGACTACAGATTTGATTTAGTCTCATTTTTTTAGACATAATTAATAAAATAAAAAAAAGAATGAATCTAAATCAGCTTTAATTCTAAATAAATCTTAACTTATCTTAAATCTATAAAATATAAATTATGAAGACCTAGAAGAAATCAAAAGCATTATGAACAAAATTGAAAATTTTTAAATTAATTCATCACTAATTTATCTCTAAACAAATGACAAAATATGTTTTTGTTATTAAATCATTAAATTTTTTATAATAAAGTCACTTGATTTCTACCAACGCTGGAAAGTAATGAAACAATAGAAGAAAATGTCATTTGCTAAGTATTAAATGGATCCAGTATGCACATAAATTTAATTATTTCATCTTCACTCAAATTGAGATTTGTCAAATTCATTAATTATCTAAATTATACCTTTAAGATAATATTTATTTTACATCTGTCAAATATCCTTTCTTCTCTGTATCCACTTATCTAAATAACTTTAGAAACTTTTATAAGTATTTCTCATGAGTAAACAATTAAAAGTCTAAAATTGAAGTGACAAATTAACAATATTCTAATTTGTTCCCTTGTAATTTGATCTAATTCAACTTTTACAATAGCACTTAACTATCCTCTTGATTGTACATGTAATTCACAATCTCCTAGCATTCATCAAAGCTAAGATAGTTTTACATCTTTTGATTCCACATCTCTTTGATATCTGTCATATTTTTCAAAGGATTCTTCTATCTCAAAAACATACGCAATAATTCTGCGATTGTTTGTTTTACTTAAATCTGCACAAATCTAAATTCTTCATCGCATTCATTTCTCAGTATCTTGCCAAACACACATACATCATTGTCTTCCTAACTTAATCTTTTCACGCTCTAAATTATCGTACTAGCCTATTCAATAATTATATTCTAATTTATCTTTTAGTAAAATATACCTTTAATCCATATTTTTAATTCAAAAATGTGTACATATGTTATTCCATTGTTTCCCTTGCTTGCTTGGTTTCCTAACATTTCTAGTCATACTTAGCCTTTGAATCATAAATTTCCTAAATCTATTCCTTTAACTATTTTAAAGGTATTAATTTTGCAGTCGACAAAAGCGATCCCTCATTCTATAAACTACTTTATAGAGATTTCTCCTTTATTGCTGATGTATCTATTCTTTTGTTGGTAGGTTTCAAGGCTTACTGTTACTATTATTACAAATTTTGTTGTGGTTATTTTGAATCATAACTAGCTTTGCCATGTCTAATAATAAGATCCAAATATTTTTGGTTCTCTTCTTAACACATTTATATTGTTTGTTGTTACTCTTATAAATCTGATTCTAATTATTTTATCAAATATTCTTGTTTCTCCAATTTTTCAATATATTAACTCACTGGATTAATTGCATCTTGACTCAATATGATGTTAGTTAATTCTTTAAAAATATTTGCATGATCATCATGAACCATTTGAAAGAAAGCACCCACCTTTTGATCCAAACTTTAAGCATATTCAATTATCATATTAAAGTTTAATTCCTAAAGAGCATATTTTGCTCTTAACACGTGAGTTTTTGCTTTAAACACTGGTAAGTCTTTAGATAATCGTAATGAGAGATCCTTCATCACGTTTTTAACATGTTCATCAAACAGATTTCTCATCCTGTCATCCTTTGTAATCTCTATTAATTTCTCGAATTAGATTGCATATTATTCTAATTCTTTTTATTTGAAAACAACTGGATTGATTTCCCGATTGTTGAGAAATCTCAATTATGGCAAATTCTCCTATATTATTTAGGCTTCTTCAGGTTTTATTGTAATGTGCAATTTCGTTAGTTTTGATAATTGTTATAATTGCTTAATGACAATTTCAAAATCTAAAGGGTTTTATGATACATCCAATTCTTCAATGTAGAGAATGGCTAAGTTATTGCTCAACTGAGTCAGGTTATTACCTTGGAGATTAATCTTAAATTATGAATTATCTAATACATATTTTAATCTTTGGAATCTAGCGAAATTCTCTACTAAATGATTGATGCTATCAAGTTACCTTATTATGATTGATATTTCATACCTAAACTCTAAATTTATGTTAGTAGTATTCGGATTGAGACCTTGTAAAATTTATTCAACGTTCATAAATATTAAAAATAAAACAATCAAATTAAAACTCTCTAAAAAAAGATAGGTATTTTTAGGTTACTTAATCTCTAACCAAAGAAAAACAAATAACTTATTTCGATCTCAAAAATTATAAGACTATTTTTTGGATGCAAAAAACAAGCTTAGGTTTGAATTTAAAAAGCTATTAGTTGTGACACTAAATCTTCTTAGATACATTATGATAATGTACAAGTAAGTACAATTAATATTAAAGACTATTTGATGATCACAATATATTTTTAATGCTCGAAAAATTATTATATTTCATATTTCAAAAACAATAATTAATTTATTTAAAATAATTTAACTAATAGCAATTCAATTCAAAAAGAGCACTACGAATTGTCTAATTTATTTTATTTTGAATAATTTTCATTTTTTGATCAGACTTTCACTTTTATTTATTTATTTAGCCAGATATGTTGATTAAAGAAATTTCAGTTAAAGAAATTAGTTAAATTGTAAGAAATATTTTAAATAATTGTTATTACGAATAATTTCTTGATAGTTGTATCATACTTTCTTGAAAGTTATGCTAAATGAATGTCCTTTATTTATATTCTACCATATTACATTTAGGTATTCAAATCAGGGTTTCAAAGTTAATTGAATTTTATCTTAAAATCTCTGCTTATGGTTTTTGTTTGTCATAAATGATATATAAATAAATTAAATTGACCTGAAATAATGTAGTTCAGTTATTATTGACTTAGTATTCGCAATATAAGTTGAATCTAAAAATAATTGAGATAATATTAATTATTTTATGAATCCATTTTAATAGTTTATTAACCCAGGACAGCAATAGTATTACACTTAAATGCAACAATTATAGTCGATCCAATACCTACAAGTATTTATATTATATTAGGCTAGTATTTGCACCTGCTTAGCACTATTCAAAATAATTGTACAAATCAATAAAATGTTCAGATCCCTTCACTGAATCCTCTTTAATAATTTTCTCTTCTTTCTTAATCATCTCAAAGAACAATACCCTCAGCCCAATAGCCTGATATTCGTACTAAGAAAAGTTAATCTGAAAGAGTCTTACCAAAATAGAAGAAAGAAAATGAAATTCTTAAATAATTTTCACAAGATCAAATTTTACAAGAACTCAAGCAATTTCTAGAGTATTTGAGCAAAAATGAAGTTAAGGAAATGGATGAGAGTGAAAAAAATCGATACGCAGTATTGAATATCAATATTATGTTAGATATTGACAAAAATAGATGATTCTTTAATAGACACACTTATCAATCGATATTAAAAATAAAAAAAAACTAAAGAAGAATAGATTAAGTTTATCATAAGAAAGTGCTTTAAATATCTCAAATAAAAGATGAATTTAAATGAGTTGACGATGAGTGCATATGAAATAGAAAAGGTCTTCTATAAGGAGTACTTCATGACTGACGAGAATATTGAAGACTTAATCCCCTTTCGATAAGAATCCTCAAACAAAACAATGAATAATTCCTTCCTAAAGAAAATTTTCTCCTCTGAAAAGTTTTATTAAGGATACCTTGAATATTTAGGTATTCATTATCAATTATCATTAGAAAACTTTGATGAAATATGGGATTAAGAAAATACTGAAAAGATTTAGAATATGACCAAATAAGTAATGAAATTTATTGCATCTGGATAAATCGACGTAAATAGTATTTATAGTCCTTAGAAAATATCCTCTTACAAAAGAGTACCATGGATTTCGTCTATGAAATAAAGATGTTATGAATTAGCTGTTTCGTTTAAAGCATACCATGAGCAAGAGGAAACAAACAAAAAAGTTAAATTAGAATGATAATATTTTATTTAATTTGCATACACAAAACCCCCTTTTTATAATATTTAATAAACTGTTATTTCAAGTAATTCTCAAAAGTATTATTTTTGAGCAAATTCGAAGTATGCAGCCTTTTCTGAATACAGGACTAAGACCTTGTTATAATAGATGCTAGCATTTAAAACCATTGTTTTATTTCCATAAGACGATTGACTTTCGGTAATAAAATAAGATTCGATAAAGTAGATTTCGAATAGCAACAAAAAGTCATTGATTGATTTGCAAAATAATTATAATTTTTGAGATTATTCCTTATATTAATATTATGAATATTTTAATTAAATAATCTCAAATTGATCATTAATTATCTAATGAAGAATCAAAAAAAGGCAATCATAATATCAAGTGAAGAGAGTGATGAACCAAAATTAATATAATAACATCAAGGAAAAAAGAGATTAATCAGAAACGATTTTGAAAAGATAAATGAAGACTTGAGAAAAAATGAAATTAAATAAAGACATAGAAAAGTTATTTTTGATGATGATGGGGAAACAAGTGAAAAAAATGAAAATGTAAAGGAAAACTTTGTTGAATAAAAAAAAAAATACAAATTAATTAAAAAACAAGAAATCATAGTTTAAGCGGCTTAATAAGAAGCTACTTCCTGTCCTGTTTGTTATACGGATTTAGAAATAATTTAAGCAGCTATTTTATAGTGTGGACATCTATTTTGCTAAAAATGTATATAAATATAGTGCGAAAAATACTAAAATAATTGTCCTTTGTGTAGAAAATAATATCAAAATGTATTTTATTAAACTTATATAAATTATAGTATACGATTTGTATTAGAGGAGATGATGGAGAATATTTGAGGGGTTAATTAATTAAATTAAAAAAGAAAATAAAAAAGCAATAATATCTGGATGGAAATGACGATGAAGAAAATGAGGAAGAATACAGTCAAGCATAAAGTTCATTACATCAATCAAGCTTTGTTTAGGATAGTCAATGTAAATTCTATTATTACTATTTAAGATGATGCTGGAGATAGTTTTATTGTAGCAGATGATGAATGTTGCGAAGAATGTCAAGGGAATGAGGATATGGAATCCATGCTATTTTGTAAGAAATGCGGATGTGTAGTTCGACACAGTTATTGCTAGGCATCTAATACTACAAATAAAATATTATGCTACACATGTAGAACATATTAATAACGATGAATTATGCATTTCTTAATTTTTATATTAATAATATTTTTTAATTACTTAATAATATTATGAAGTTTTAAATCTTTTTAATTATTTCATAACAATTCCTTTATTTTGCATTCTCAGCTTGTATTGATCAAGCTCGAACCCCTTTAATAATTGGGAAAATACCCTCTTGTCCATTTTATGATGATAAGCCAGTCTGTTGTAGACAGGATAATGTAGATTAGATGATCTCTAATTATCGGTCTATTGATGCAACTTTTGGTTTAGATGGAGGAGGATGTGATATGTAATACATTATTCAAATATATATTTTAGATGTGGAGCTAATTTAAAACGATTTTGGTGCATTTACACTTGTGATCCAAATCAAACCAATTTCATAGAGTACACAGGTCGAGCAAATGTTACAGACCCTGCAAATAAAAATAGATTAATCGAAGTCCAGCTCGTATCCCTAACAACAAAACCTCAAATAGCATGTGTAAATTTGTAGACCTATGTCGTTTAGGAAGTGTATTCATCATGTTCTCGTACATCATTTGTCGGTCAAGTTTCTGCTATGCAATCTCCTGGAGGATTCTTTAATTTCTTAGGGGAATAGGCTATGTATTTATTTTCATTAAGGACTTAGAACACAAGGACAACAATTTATTTAATTTGAGTTTTCAGATCATAATTCCATGATAATGGATGATACTTGGATGTGTAATCACAAGTCCAACATTACCACAGTCGATGATCAAGGAGTAATTCACTACTGGGATTAGTACGGATATGAAATTAAATAGTAATGTGGATGCAACACTTGTGAAGACAGTTGTGACATTAATTCAATTTTATACGAACCCACTGGAGTATTATATGGGTTTGAGACATCTTATGTACTATTTACTTGGCTATTTGCAATATTATTTGCACTTGGTATTACAATAATCAGAAAATATCAAAAAAATAAAGAAACTATTGAGAACTTAGATATCGGTTTAATTACAAGTTGAGTTTTTATGCATATAAATTATTTTCCTTTCAATTGTTATCCTTATATTTAGTGAAAATACACAGGTTCAACTACTTTATTCAATACCTTTCTTAGTCTATAGTTTTATTATAATAATCATATGGAATTTTAATAAAATCCTAAATTCCACAAGTTAAATTCTAGAGGATTCTTATTATATAACTTTGGATTCATAAACTTACTATATATATTATATAATAGTTTATTATATTCTTATAAATTAAATTTCATTTCTTTTTATTTTTTAAGTTCCCTTTTGATGATTAGCTGCTTAATTTAATAGGATCCTCTGAGTTTCTGTTTGATTTCGCTTCATATTTTTATACTTCTTTGATTGCTTCCGTATTTTTAGTTAAAAATAAAGCACTTCTCTCGTCAATTGACTTTTGTAAGTTTTATTAAAACTATTGTAACGAACCTTGTCTTTCTGCATTATATTTTTATACTAATTCTTAAGCCTTCTTAATCATTTGTGTGTCTTCGCTAATTTAAATTCTTTTCCTATAATTGGCCTTAACTTAAGGTAAATATGGTTATAAAATTGAGACTTTATTAATGGTTTATAAAGCATTCTACTACACTTTTCTTTATAATTAATAAAATTCTTGCATTTTTTTTTTCTCATCTTATTTCCTTGTTTCCTCTTCAATTTATTTTTCTTTTATGAATATCTCAAAGTTTTTAAGATCATTTTCCATTTGTTTTTTCAATTCTTCCCTCCTCTTTTTTTCTTTTTCTTTTTTCTCCTTTTCAATTTCTTCCTTTGTTTTTTTATTCTTTTTTTTCTTTTCTACAACAACCTATTCTTACTATTCTTATTGACTTTCATCTTCTTTGATGCTTTCATTTTTATTTGATTATTTTTCTTCATCATCTTTAGTTTCTTTTTTTTTTCCTTCTTGAGATGTAACTTCCTCATTCAAGTTATTTTAATCTTAATCATCTTTAAATTCTGAGTTTTAATGATCTTATTACGATTCATTATCCTATTATTCTTGTGTCTTTGGTTCTTATTTTTATTCACTTTGATTGCTTTTCTCAATAGACTAATTATCATTAATCTCATTTTCATCTTTATCTGATTCCTTAAGAGGAGTTTAGTGTTCAACATTTTCATCTTATTATTATTGAACTTGTTCCTCGACTTTATTTTATTCTTAAACTTTATTTTCCTATGCACCTTAATCCAATTTTTCGATTTCATCATCATCATCATCAAAATACCCATTATTTTTTTTATTATTCTTTTTAGCTTATTCCTATTGATCACCATCACTAAAGTATTCAAATTCTTCATCTATCTCTTCATTTTTCTAATTTTCTTCTTGCTCACCTTACTCACCTTTCTTATCCTTATCGATTTCTTAGTTGTTTGTCTCTTCCTTTTGCTTATCCTCATTTTTTCCATTATTCAATAGCCCGTCATCTTCTTAGATATCATCAAAATTTATCTCTGACTCATTGTCCATTATATTTAAAATTATATATTTTAAAAGTTTTCAAAGTCAACTTATAGTATTTAGTTATACTTATATAATATTTGTCTGTAATACTAGATTGATATTTGATGAATCACTTATTAAAGACACATGATCTAACAGATTTCGAGAATTAATTCTATTTATCTTATAATCATTGTAAATTTCATATGAACACTGCATTTGTTTTAGATTTATGATGGATTTATAAAAACATGAAATTTGATTGGATTGGCAAAGTTAAATTAGTGATAAATTCATTTTAATAAATCATCTAATAATCCAATAGCTGTAAGAACTTATTATTGTGCATTTTTATATTGTTTAAAATCAAGCTCCGAAATAGCTGCCCTTATTTTAATTTTGAAATCCTTCTCTAAATTCTCATATTTTTCAATTTGCTAGGTTTTTTTCCATTCAAACTTTCCAATTTTAGGAGGTTCAATCCCTTATATTGCTGGTTAATTGTATATGTTCTCAGGAGGGACATCAAATAAATAGCTATCAACAAATATGCCAATATTTATCTTCTAATTGTTAATGTATATCCCACTCTTCTCCATTTTATTATATTATTCTATTGCTTTACATTATGAATATTTCTCTAGAATAGTATTTTATTTTACTCTTTTCATGAAAATCATCTCTATGAGGCTTGAAAAAGGCTAGAAGAGAAAACAAATGCACAATAAATATAAAGGATGTACACAAATCATCTTTCCCTTGTCTCTCCTAATCATCTATATCATTAAAAAGTCTCAATGCTGAATCCTCAATATTCCGAATATCTACTTCAAAGGATTAAAATCGTTATTCATTTTATTTCCTCAATTTATCGATCTCTTATCTAATCACAGTTATTTGTTTGTTTAGAACCTATTTTTTTGATAAAAGCAAAGAATACTGTATAATTGGGCACCTTGAAATCACTATTGGTGTAGGTTAGAACCTTTTTAATTGCAAAATATTTAATGTAGTATGCCATAGGAGGATTGATTAATTTTATTTAGTCTCCAAGAAGCAACATTGTGTTTAAGTAATCAAAATTGATCATATATTTATATCTAATTAATCAGTTTTTTATGAGTTTTTCGAATCAAATTGGATGATAGATTCCTCATTTACATTATTGATCATATGATCCTCATATAAATTTTGGACTTCCTTAACATTAAATAAGGATTTTATTGGTTTATGCTCTGTCAATTATAAGCCTGATGTATTCCCTCTAAAAGCTATTCATAAATTCTATACCGATGAGTGGTGGGACAAGTTTTTCCGTTGGCAGAATTACACTACAAATCTAATTGCCTGCCACTGCTCTTTTGACTTGATAATGGTAAGGGCTCTTTGGCATGAAAACTTTGACCTTCTTCAACATCTGCATCTTCTTAATCCCAATCTATTGGTTACTTGTTGTTTTGAGACTTCTAATTGTTCGTTAGTGGATTGAGATTTGTCTATTACAAGTAGTTCCTTGACAGAATATTTGTTTAAATATTTGTTAAATTGGAAGTATTCTCTTTCATTTTCTCGTCTAGTTTCTCTGGGGATGGTTTTTCTACTTTTTTTCTTTTCAATAATATATATTCATATGTTGTTATTCCCTTGAACCTAAAATATATATGCATGGCTAATATAAATGTTATGGGTATGAGTAACAAAAATGTAAAGCCAATTTCAATATAGCCAAGTATTGATTTAATCATAATCGAGAGTATTAATACAGTAATTAGATACAATTCTAATAAAACTATTAAGATGAAAAAATATCTGTAATTTTGTGCTCCGATACAATTGTTTAACCATATACAATGATGATCAAATTAGTCAGTGCATCGGTTGCAAGATTTGCAATGTTTTGAGGGCGCTTTTACAAAAGCTAAACAAATTTTGCAATAGCAATTTAACTTTGTTTGATATTTTGTTCTATGTATATTCTTCTATGTATTACTTTTATGCCTTTAATCGGTATTAATGATATATTTCTGGATCGGTTGGATCAATTTTTGTTGCGATAAACCAAAATAATGCGATGAAAAATGTGAAAAGCGATACCAACATCCAGATGCGATTCTGATAATATTTTCAAAAATTTATTGCTTACATATTCTAATGTTTAAAATAGGATCACTGAATAATGTCCTAAATAGATGACTACAGCAGAGATTTAGTAATAATTTATTCCTTTTTTACACTGAAATCCATGTCTAATAACTATATTTTAATTAGTTTAATTCATAATTAATAATTAATATCATTATCTAATAAAATCATCATAGGTTGGCTCAGTTCTGCTTTGTTTAATAAATTTATTTATTTTGAAAATGTCACTGGCCAATATTGAGAACTAGCCTTTTGTTGAGGCAAGAGTTGACAATATTTATACGCCTTTGCAATCAATTCACTGCAAAAATACCCTTTGTTGATCAACCCGTCACTTTGTTATTGTAACATCTTCATAATGTTCAATTAAAATTCCTAACCATAAACTTTCTTTATAAAATAAATATAATACATCAATAAATTCTTAAATTCTTTGATCTATATACCCTCTCTCAATGTTCAATAGCTTTCTATAACAGATTTTTTTAAAATGAGTATTTTTTTGAAGAAAGAATTTCCAAAATTCAAAGTCGACTCCCTAATTTCAATTTATCTTTTTACAATATTATTTTTAACATCCACTACTAGGATTTCTTTATGTTCCTATTTTCGAATTATCAATCCAACATGATCAAAATTAGAACTTGTGATTGCTCTCTGTATCTTAGCCAAATAATGATCAGTTCTTATATAAATATCTAGAATACTCAAAGAGCAATATATCGCCTGTTTCTGCCCAATCAAGAAATTCATTTTCAGTCACAAAATTTGCACCAAAATACATATCTTTGATAATCAATTTTCTATAATTGTTTCTGAACTTTTCATCTATCATCTTTAAACATTAAAACCACAATTTCCCTTCGATTTCATCATTAAATTTCAGGAAGATTACTTTATTCAGTTTGTGAAATTCAATTTTAATTAGTCTTAATGAATTTTTATTACACTTATTTTAATATTATTAATACATTACTTAAATCAAATTAAATGCTAAATATTTTAAATTAAACACCAAGCTCCATTATTTATCCTCCAAAATTACTAATTTTTCTATCGTTAATTAGAGTGTAGATTTCTTATAACTTCCTGTATTTATTTTAACATGGATCACTCCCTATTTGATTATTGTGTTTCCTAAGGAAGAATTTTTGTATTTTTCTAAAGGCGTATGACATACTTATGTTTAATTTACAAAGCTTTATTGAAAGATGAACTGAGATTCTTTTATTTGATTTTCAATCTAATTTGGGGATTATTAAACGAAATCCTGTAATTTAACTTAATTATTTAATGATTGAATTTCTGAAAAGGATTGGCTTCTCTGCATATAAATTAATTAAATTATCGTTAAAAAAAATAATGGATATTTAGCAATTTGAAAAAGAACTCGTAACCAAATTACAATTCAAAGCCTCGTCAAGAGTAGGTGTAGAGACAGTCTTACTTAAAATATTCAAATTCTTTGATCTGACCAATTAAGGATTTCTAAAAAAATAAGATTTTCTTAAAGCTATTGCTAAATCTGGAGTAACCATAACAGAATAAGAAGTATCATATATATGTTATCTTAGTTTGCCGAAAAATTATGGAGCCACTATTCTGATGGCGTGTAACTCAATTACAAGGATTTCATCAATAGAGTCGTTATAAAAGACAGTTATTAAGAAGATTTCTCAGAATCAAGGATCATAGCCTCCCCATTAGAATCCCTAAGAGCTAAGATCCAACTGAAGGGAGCTTTGGGCTTGTTAAACTTAGCCATAAGCTTGCCAAATTAGTTTAACTGTCAACAATTATAGGACTATTTAAGAAGATAAGATATAGACATCGAAGGGTTACATTAATTATTTAATGGAGAATTCATGAGTCAAGCTAATCTGATTGGTTTAATAAAAGGACAGCTATTAAATTAGTTTCGATAAGCATTGATCACAAATGTATTTTATTCATTTGAAGCACGTGAACTAACTCCACAGTTTTTGATAAATAGATATTCAGCTGACAAGCATCCTGACATCAAGTTTTTGAGAAGAGACTAAAATGAAATCAAAGAAGAATTTGTTACAGGACTAAGTCTTTATCTATAAATCAGAGCAATAAAAGTATTGAACCTATAGGATTGGCTTGACTTTTACTCTTATTTTGGATTCAACATTCAAAACGATGAGATCTTCAGAAATATAGTAGTTCAAGTGTGGAATCTAGATAATTTGAACTAACAATAGGCTTCTCCTTCTTAAAGTGTAAAACAAAAGTCTTATTAATAATAATTGTAATAATCTCCTGGATCTCAGAAGCAAGTCATTTAATAACTTAACTTTTCTCCAGAAAACAAGTCAACTAAATCCTATTAATAATATTAATAATCTCAAATACAAAGAACTCCAATATAATAACATTAATAAGAACCTGAACAACAAAGACCTTCAGTACCCAGGTCTGTAAAATCTCATCAATCAGAAAAATCGCATCAATCTTAATAGTCATAGTTGTCTGCTACTTCAAAATAGGTTGAGTTAATAGTACAAAGGATTAGAAATAGATTAGTATCAAGAGGAGCTCGAGGATTTATTTCCTTGTATAGAGTGGCAAAGATTTTGGACGCTGATTAAGATGGAATGCTCAATTTATCAGAATTCAGAAGAGCTATCAGAGATCATAAAATAGAAGTTACAGATCCAGAGATAGATTTAGTATTCTAATATTTTGACAGAGATGTTTCAGGATTAATTGATATATGGGGGTTCATGTTTGTGTTGAGAGGTGAGATGAGTGAATAGAGAATCTAATTAGTGGAATCATTATTTGAAAAATACAGGCAAGGAGACTACGTAACTATTTCGAATCTAAGGAATAATTTCACTGTTAGAAATCATCCAGATTTAAAAAGCGGAAAAAAGAGTGATGATGAAATCATTTAGGATTTCTTTGAACCTTTACAATAATTGCATAATATCAATGGAGGTTTTGGAAATGAAAATATTAGTAAGGATGAACTCATAGAATATTTTAGCAATTTCAGTGCTTCTGTCCCTGATGATAAATATTTTGAATAAATTCTTGTTACTGTATTCAGAATATAAGCTGAATAACAAAAAACACATCATGCTGGCAATAAATAAGTCTTTGAACCAGATCATAAGCGAAGTTACCTACAAGATCATCATCGATATGTTGTTCAGGGTGGAAGTGTATCTGCCAATGCTCCTTTTGGCACATTTACCCAATAAGAACAAGTTTAATAGTAAAGACCTGCTTCAGGATTTGAATAACCAGCTTCTTTCAACATCTTCAAGCCACTTTAAGATAATCCTTCAAAATCTAATGTCTAATTAGCTAATTCTTAATTGTCGCAATAATCACAATAAAATTAATAATAATAATTTCATTATTAAATTGATTAGACTCCTAAGTAGTAGAAATAAAAAATTGATAGTTTTTAGATTTTGAAAAACAAGATTTTGTAAAGAGGAATAAGAGGATTGATTAATATTTAACAAAGATTTAGAGTGTTTGATAAGTAAGGAGTGGGATCCTTAGCCTTGAATGATTGGTTAAACAGCTTTAAGTCTTGGAGATTGGACTTGAATGACTAGGTAATTTAGGACGTGTTCCATTAACAGTAAGTCAATGGGATGATTATTTATGACAATTTTGTTAAATAACTCTAAGGTACTATGAGTCTTAGGAAATTCAACATTCTATAATAGGTATTTGAATCTTTACCTAAATAAAACGTTGAGATTGTGAAAAGTATGATATGAAAATATAATTAGGTTCTTTTAATTCCAAGGAGCATCCAGATGTTAAATTAAATAGAAGAAGGGAAGATGATGTTCTTTGTGAATTTATTGATACATTCGAATAGCATCATTAAATATATGTAAGATATATATTAATTTTGTAGACTGGAACAGACTATTTGAAAAATCCAAATGTCACATTTGAAGAATTTATCAATTATTATAATAACTTGAGTGTTTTAATAGAAGATGATACTTAATTTGAATAATTCTTAGGAGCAGTCTGGAATCTTAGAAAAAGATTATGAAACATTAACATATATATATTTTATTATAAAATACTACTACAATATAAAGAATAATAAAATTTGAATTTTAAATAATTCAGATAACCAACTAATGAGATTAAATGATTTAACTGAATCAAGGAAGATGTTAAAACAGTTGAAAGAAAAGGATGTTCGACCGCCTAGATCATATAGCGACTTTTCAAAATCTCCAAGATAATTGCAATTGGATACAATATAATTATATTCATGGGGTATGATAGTCGAATAATAGTCTAGGTTTAAATAATTGTGGGCAATTATTGAAAACAAATAAAAATATAATCCCTCATTATTAAGGAGTACAATTATGTTCTGCAGGCGAAAATCACACTATTATAGTGAATAATAAAAATGAAGTAATAGGATTTGGTGATAATCAATTTGGATAGTTGGGATATGAATCTAACACCTAACCTAAATTAACTCCAATATTTAAAGATTAAAGAATAACAAGCGTAGTTTGTGGGGCAGAACACACATTTATGTTGACGGCTAAAGGAGAAGTGTATTCTTGGGGATTAAATTTGAAAGGCCAATTAGGATTGGGTTGTTTTGACAACGCTTTGTAGCCTACTCTCGTTTATGGTCTTTTGCCTTTTGGTACAAGCAACAGCAAAGCAAGAGAACAACAGGTAGGACACAAAAGGATGAAGAGTGCAAATGAAGGAGATTCATCTACTTCCCCAGGCTTGAAGGAAAGATCATCTTCTATTGATAACATAATGGAGCACATTGTCATGATGAAGGAAAAGATTAAATAGAAAAGTTCATGCGAAGTATAGTGCTAAATCCTTTTATAAAATGATGAAGCAGTATAGTAAATTACATGTGGAGCATTGCACACATTAGTTTTAACAAATAAAAACAGAGTCTTTTCCTGCGGGTTTGGAGAATCCTATGCTTTAGGACATCCGGAAAATCAAACCCTTAATGAATTCAAATAAATATCAAACTTACAACACTTCAAAGTCGATAAAGTTTGTAGTGGATTAGCCCATTCAGGATGCATAGTTGAAGGAGGAAGATCCTTTATTTGGGGAGTCTGCAAATCAAATAAAGATCAAATAAAGTTACCATAATAAACTAAAATTGTAGATGAATTAAATAGTTAATAATGTGTTCTAGATATGAAAATGGGAGAGATGTTCACCTTATTTCTCACTAGTAAGGGGGAAGTGTACTCTTTGGGAGAGAATATCCAAGGATAATTGGGAATAGAATAGAATTGCACTGATATTCCATTGAAAGTGTTAGGTTTGCCCTTAATCTCACAAATTTCAAGCGGGAGAAATCATTGTGTTGCACTATCAGCTGATTACAAATAAATCTATGGATGGGGATCCAATATTTATGGTTAATTAACTGGACAACCTAGCGTAAATTGTAAAGGAATTATATCTCCGAAATTGTTATTTACAGTACCTGAAACTTAAAAGATTGTTTGTGGTAACTTTCATACTTTGTTATTATCATCATCTTTCTTAGAAATCATTTTAGATGATAATGAAAATTCTCATAAGGACTAGGAGAAATTAAACGAGGAAGTTGAGAAATGTAAAAATGAGCAAGAAATATTGAAATAATAGAATATTTAATTGTAATTAAAATATGATAGAATGAAGAATGAAATTTTGTAGAAAAAGAAAGTCAAAGATCAAAAGGTGTAAACAAATGAATCATATATCTAAAGGCAAATTAAAAAATAATAATCAAAATTTGATATTTCTGCTTTAGAGATCTCACCAGAACGACCAATTAAACATAGAATATTTTAATCAAGTTTAGATATCGATTTTAATGACATAATGCTTGAAAAACAGATAAGTGAAGGTGGATATGGAGTGATTTATAGAGCTAAATGGAGAGAAACTACAGTTGCTGTAAAAATGTTTAAAATTGATGGAATGAATGAAAATCACATCAGAGATTTCCTATCAGAATGTCATGCAATGGAGGCACTAAGACATCCAAATATAGTAATGTTTTTAGGTGCTTGTACAAAACCTCCTAATTTAGCTATTGTTCTTGAATATTGTTAGCGAGGTTCTTTATGGTAGGTGATCTAAAATCATGACATTCATTTAACATGGGAGGATCGAAGGAGGATGGCTTTGGATGCAGCTAAAGGGGTATTGTATTTACACTCTTTTAATCCTCCCATTTTGCATAGGGATTTAAAAAGTCTCAATTTATTGTTGGATGAAGCTTTTAGAACAAAGTTAGCAGACTTTGGATGGACTAGAACTCTATCTAATTATATGACCAGCAAAATAGGGACTTATTAATGGATGGCACCTGAGGTAATCGCAGGATAAATTTACACAGAAAAAGCTGATGTTTTTAGCTTCGGTATAATATTGTGGGAAATAGCAGCAAGAGAGCCGCCTTATAGAAGTAATAAGTCATTAATATTTTAGATATTACTGGTTTGTAGGTCTCCTTAGATGTGTTAAATAATGACTTTAGACCCACCATACCAAAAAAAACTCCTGAAGTTTTTGCAAGACTTACTAAGAGGTGTTGGGATAGGGATCCAGAAAAGCGTCCATCTTTTAAAGAAATAATTAAGGAACTGGAGATTATGAAATTTCCTCCTGGAATATGATAATTAATATGAAAAGTTTTAATATTATTTTTTCATTATTAATTGTGATTATAAATAATGTTTGCATTATCAAGAGGTATCTTTTTATTAGTATAATAAGCCCTTAAATTTCAGTAACCAATATTTGCTTTCTCTCAATTTTAATTGCTAAAAGGAAAGTATGCTGTCCCACCTAAACCAAGAAAATAGAGAAATGCAGTACCAATTACATTTAATTTAAGGATTCGACAATTCATCAACAATAATTAAAAGAGTGGTAAGAAAATTATGATGTACCAAAAAGACCAAGCATAACATCAGAAAAGATCCAATTTTATGGAAATAAGTTCCCACATTTGAAAACTAAGTGGGCTGAATTATTACAACATATTAAGACTTTGCCTGCAGATGAGGTTGCAAAGAATGAAGAAATAATTAAAAGCTCTGCAGAACAGAAGACTCAAATCTTTTAAAAACGCATGGAAGAATATCAGAACAAATACTTAGTTAGATTAAGTAATGTGACAGCATCATCTGTTTTTTTTTCAACCATTCCATTTAAGGATCTCAAATCGGCCTGGGCTAAGTATAATGAGTTATCAGAAGAAGAAAAATAAAAATACCAAAAATTAGCCAATGAAGAAAATTAAAAAAAAAATGCAAAATTAGAAAAAATTGCTAAATAATTTGGAATGTCACTTGAAGAATTTAAAAAGGAAGTACGTTAGATAATTAATGAAACCAGAACAAAAAAGGAGGAATCTTCTTCATCATCTTCAGACGATGAAAAGAAATAATCAAATAAGAAAGAATAAAAAAATTGATATTGAGATAATAAATTACGAAAATAGATTATAATTTCAATTTATGTTTTAAATAAATTAAGTCTAACTACAGTTTATTGTTCTTTATAAAGAGGTCAATCTCAAACTCTGAAAAAACCTGTTTTTAATGCTGTTGAATTATTTTCTTATTAAGTAATCTCAATAACTCAAATTATTATACAAACAAGATTAGATATTTATACATTCAATTAATGACTTTTAAAGGTTTTTTCTAGTTTAAATATATAAAACTCAAATCTATTTCACTGTCAAGATAAAGAAAAATAAATTACAATATTGTTGAATTTTATAAAAGAAAGACTATATAAAATCATAATTTATAAACATTAAGTTGTCTAGTACTATATAGATCATTTTAAATCTTATTCTACCCCACTCATCACATGTAGAGGATATACATGTGGCATCTAATATGGGTCATTTGAAACCCTCATTCTACTAGACCCTCCAAAATTCATCACTTTTGTTGATGCATATTCTTCGTAGGACTCCATATGAGTGACCTTAATAGATGTTAAACAATTAGCAAGCACAGATAGGAACAGCGCACAAATAATGATTATCACAACAATAGATTCTTTTTATATTGATTAGGCATACTTTATGCACATGCCATCTAGCATTTTATTATAATGATCCTATATTTCATATATTATTTACTTTGATAAATGTACAATTTGTTGATTTAAGCATACTATTCATGCTTGCTAAAATCATTTATTCCTTTTCATTAAATGCCTTAAACTAATTTATGTATAGGTTTAAATCAGCACTAAGTTATTAATTTAATGTTATAAATTAAGACTCTAACTATTAGGCTTCTATCCATGCTTGGGCTTAAGATTAAAAATGTTATTTTAATTTCTAAAATTCATTATATTAATCTGGACAACTAGGTGAATATTTAGTTATCAAATATGATGGATGCCAGCATAATTATGATTAATTTTAAGAACCTTACTTTTTTGGACTTCCTCCATCTGAACAAGTCTAAAAGGCTAATTCAGCACAATTGTTTATTCCTTTAAAATCATTAAACGATTTCACTATTTTTTTAAATTCCTCTTATTGTTAATCATCTAGATCAATAATTGTTCCGTCTAAAAAGGAAGTCAAACTTTGGCTATTTTTAGATAAATTTTCAATAAATTATTCATAATTGGAATTGATTCTCAAGATCTATTCGTCGACTCCCTTGTCACTATTTATGTATGTTCGAATATCTTTCAACTTTTAAGCAAAATTTAATTGCTCATAAATATTTCCATCTTCAAACAAACAACTTTTTAGTGTCTATTTTGTATCATCAAAATTAATAATGTCTTAAGTTTAATAGACTTCTACTTTATTCACAAACCCATCAAAATATATGCAGATATCATTCGACAATTCAGAATGTGAATGTAGAAAAATATTAATAATCAAAAGGGCAATTAGTAATAAATTGCAAACAAACCACAAAAAATCTACAATAGCTTTTATTTTTAATTGATGATTTACCCAATAACCTCCCCAAATTAAAATTTGAATAAAACAAAGAATTATTAATGTAATTCCAATACCCTTTACAGAATTTGTGTATTTATTCATGTTGTCCTTCAAATTTTGATTAAATCTCAAATATTATTTTGAATATTCAAATAAGTAATCATTGATTAATGTTAATTTTTATTGAGCCCTCATATATGTTGATGTTAATCTTTGATCTCTCAGAGCAAAAGAGGAGTTTTCTATTGATCCAAAATGCAAAAATATGTTGTCATAAAAACTATTAACTTAATTCACTTAATCTGTTAATTAAATTGATTCCTATTTTTATTTGATAAGTTAATAATATTCTTAAAACGTTAAATAATCTTCATCTTATTTATTGGAAAGGATGTAATCAAACTATAATAATTATTTAAGATTTACTAATTTAGATCTTGAAAAATAAGATTCTGTTTCTTCTATTACATTTGTTCCATTTGAAGATATCATTATTGGTAAAGGAGATTTTTGGAGATTTCTCTTTAATCTAAATTAGATAAGAAAATACTAATCATTAAATTCAATCATCTCAGATAATTTTTTTGTCATTTTTACGGAGTTTCTATCTGAAAATAAAGCCTTTAAATTTATTTAAAACTCTTGAACACGCTTTGATAAAATTTCCAAATCAGCTTGAATATGTTAATATCCAACGAAGTTGTCATCGTTTTTGTTTAATAAATCATCAAATGATTAACTTAAATAGCAATTTGAATAAGAGAGTCCTTCAGTTATATCATTTATAAAAATCTAAATTTCAATTTTATATATTACAATTGCAATTATTGAACAAACAATTACGGTAAAATTTAGGATAACTATAGAGATGATTCCATATTTATGATACCTTTTTGTATTTTCAAGAAATTCCTCCTCGGTATGATTTTTAATCCAAATTACAACAGAACTAAAATTAACAAATATTCTCACTTTGATTTGAAAACAATAAGTATATACATTAGAGAGAGGAAAAAGGTTCCAATTGCAATGATAAGCCATGGAATTGTGTAGCTTGACAATTAAGAAAAGTAAAAATCATTTGAGAGTTCATAACTGTTGTTAACAAGAAGTTCAATGTCTTCTTGTAATTCAAGATGTTATTTAGAATATATTGAACTCCAAACTTATTCTCTTTCCAAATCAGATATGTCAACTAATTTAAGCTATACTTTTACAAAATTCGATATCTCTACATTCTTCAGTTCGAGTATTCGTCAAATCAATGTAAGCTGATTAGTTAACATTTAGAGTAAAGCTAGTTTGTATTAAAATGATAACTATTAATAAAAAGACAAATGGGTGTAGTTATAAAGTCATTATACCAATTAAATTATTCTAAAAAAATCTGCTTAGACACAACATATATATATAAAAAAGTCTTTGAATTTGTATGCTTAGAATTGTAGTTTTGCTGATGTCAAGAATTCCTCATCAATCAACATGAATCTATAATTAAATTCATAATTCACTTGCCTAAGTATATTTCAATAAAAAAATAACTTAAAAATGAAATAGATTTTTATACAATTAATTCTAAATCAATTATCAAGGGGTTCGAAAAATCTTCTATTTCCTGTTTTAGTGGCAACCATTAATTTATCATATTCGTCCATGTGTTCCTCTGTAGGTTAATATATCCATTTAGCCTCAATGTCAACCTCTTATCTACTATCTTCAGTCAACAAGTGAATCATATATTACTTATAATAGACCATTAACCATTCATCATCTTTTTATCCACTAATCTAAGGCTTCCCATAAGTTCCTGTACCCAAATGATGAAGTCTTTTTAAATTCATAATTCCTCTCTAATCAGGTTCAGCATCCATTGCTTCATTGCCCAACCGTAAATTCAAGTTCTTGATTTCTTCTTATTCTTTTTAGTATTTGATCATAAATCCTTTTACTAATTCCTTACAAACTTTCCAACCATGGTTGCTAGAATACATTGTTCCGACTATACCATACCTTTAAGGTAATTGTTTTCCATACTCTTCCAAATCATAATGTACAATGTCTTTAATTTAATTGATCTCAATTATTATTATATAAGAGTACTTCCAAAAAAGAAATTAGCTTGTAAATGTCTAATTATTCATTAGGATCAAATAAAATGTCTCTTTATTACACTAGCTCACCCTACAATCCCCAAACAGTTCCTTTATCAGGCCTATCAACAACTTTTTCATAATAAGGATCATCTCCATCAAACAAAACAGTTTCTTTAATTAAATTAATGTCTGGTTTTTTTGAGTCCTTAAGGATTGTGTCTTATTCTAATTTTATATCATTGAGACTTCCGATCACATCTGAATAATCATAATATTAATACCATCATCATCGTTTTTATCTTCATAAGCCATAGAAAATTATTAAGCAGCCTCTGGGGTCTTTTTTAATTTGTTTACTATCCTAACATTTCTTGCCATTGAGTAAATTGATCGAAAATTTACAAACTTATACATGATGTGTTAATAAAATATAAATATTATTTGCACATTATATATGGTTTATATTGATTAGAATTTTTGTAAAAGCTTTGAATACTTAAGGAATATTTTAAGTTTCAATAAGGATTCAAATTGAATTCATATTGATGCCTTGTCAAAAATTCAGCACTTTAGTTTAAATAAATCTAGTTATATGAAGAAAATAAATTTAAATTTAATTGCCTTAACTTTTGAATTAATTAATTTTCAATTATAATTATGATTAAGACCATGAATTAATTAAAGTCTTCATGAGTTAGAAATGTTGTAAGGATAAAAAACAGGTTAATAAAGGATATAAATTGTTTAATATATATTTAATTATTCATCAACATTATATCACAGTATAAGGAGTATTATATGAGTTATTATCATTTTATAGAAAATATTTCAATGGATTTAAGCTTAAATCACTAATGAATCAGCAGATATATATAAAAATAACTGGTAATATTATTTGCTTTAATTCATCAATTTGGAACCCCTTTTTGCTATTGTTGTTTTAGTGGTTGGTCGATATTTGATAATGAATTAAATGGGCTCTGGTTTTTGTTCAATTTTATTTGACTTCACCTTCTTAGCTGCAGCTTTTGTTTAATACAATAGGATATTTTTTTTTAATTATCTTCTGATTTATTCTACTTACTTTTTGAAAAATTAACCAATTTAACATTTCGTTTTTTTATTCTTAGTCATTTCTAAAATCCAATATCAGAAGTTATGCACATGTACCCATAGACAATGAAGAAACAATTTTTAAGAATGAAATCCCAGGAGGAATGATATTGACAATAAATTATATAAATTAAAGAGAATTATTTGATAAATAACTCTAACAATGAACATAATAGGCTCCTAATTTATACCACCAATTTATGGAAAAAAATTTGATATTGAATCAATATTACAAAAATGGATATGGATCTTCTTAGATAAATAGAACTCAAGCATTCATAAAATAAAAACAAAATTTGAAAATTAATCATTCCACAGCCATTTTAAATTAACATCACCATTGATGAAATTTTTTTTCGAATGGCTATATTATCGAGGAAATTAAATAACTCAAACTCTAATGATTTGAAATATTAATATCATAAATTAAATTTAGCTTAATATAAATATGTATTTCCTACTTAGAAGAAATATACATGTCATTTATATAACACTCGACAGATCGCCGATGGATTGATGTTGGAATCCCCTTAATCAAAAATTTGATGATCTGCAAATCTTTTGGGTTACTATTACTTAAAATATTTTTGAAGCCAAGCTTAACCAATTTTTTTAAAAATTGGCTTTGATAATATGTATATATCTAATATCAGAGTTAGGCTTAAATTACAACTCATAATTCCAATTTAGATCCATCCAAGAGTCACCAAATTCTGTGGACTTTTTTGATAAAATTCATGAATCAGATAAATCAGATTCATGAAGACAAAAGTTAAATGCTTAAATTATTTCTTGAAACCCTCCAGTTTTTCTAATTTATTTCGTTTTAGAAAAAGAAAAGAAAAATAAAATAGTTCATTTATAACACAAAGCTATATTTAAATGATTGGACACTCAAAACATCCTACTAATATTACACTAAAAATTATCTTTTAGATACAACTATAAGTATACTAAAATTCACTAAATCTTTAATTCTATTTATTGACTAAATAGAAAATTATTAATATTAATAAAATAATTTTGAGCGTCAAACTTATCATTCCTTCTAAATTTTAGTTGTTTTAGTATTGAAATGATAGCATCATGTTTATCACATATTCATATATAAGAGATTAGAATATTATTTTAAATTATTCGTTAAATTCATTTCCATGATTTTTTTTGCAAATTTTTGCTAATTTCTTCAAAAATTTTAATAAATAAAGTCTTGACGTTTCATCGTTAAAATTTGTAATATATGTTATGATTTATTTTATAATAATTTAAGAGAAAAGATGGCTGAAATAAGCTAAAAAAATGATGGAGAATATTTCTAAAAAAGCACACAAAAAATTTGAGCTCCTTCCATCATCCTCAAAGGAGGATTTTGAATTTTCCTAATTTACATTGAAAATACTTAAGGATTGGGGTTAAAATCCAATGAATTAGTAAAGGTTTGCTAATTAAATGATTTTAAATGTATCAAAAAATTTTATCAAATTTTATCCTTTGATAATATTAATGTATTTGTAATAGTATAGCATTTACATCATTTCTATTTAGTTTTCTATGATTTAAAATTTTCCACTTAAAGAAGAGATTAGTACTAATCCAACTATAATTTAAATTTGATATTCACTAAATTAAATGAGAGATACAGTAGTTTATTATTCTTCAGCTGATAAAAAATTAGGAGATGCTAGTTATATAGATAATTGCTAACATTCTTATTCTAACTCTTATTCATTTATGATGATGCTTAGATTCTGAAAAATAAGAAAGAAGACGGGATCAACAACTTTCTCTAAGTACTGAATTTTTATTAAGATTTCAAAATATTCTAAATCTTATGATGGTTTAGAATTTGTTTCAATTGTAATGTTTAACTTAATGTTTATGACTGAACCTGATAATGAATTTAAGTATTATTCTAATGTACTACCAGGAGATAGTTTTACTTTTTAATCATAAAATAAGATGAGAATTTAGCAATTCTCAATCGATTTAACAAATTTTAATTAAGGGACAGGATGAAAGATTTAAATACATTCATTTAATTAGCAAAGGCTATTTTTTGAAGGTTAGCAATCAGAATCGCATCCATCCCCATCAATAAAATTACCGTCATCGCATAATTCATTTTAATTGATATCTCCATCTCCACACTTACTATGGATTAAATTTTCTTAAATGTTATTATTATTAGCATTAGTATTAGTAATATTAATAGCATCTGTTAAATATTGAATGCAAATATTTTTTTCACAAGCGATACAGTTTTGGAAATCGCATTTGTCCTTTGTCTTTGGTTAGCATAATTCATCATATAATTCAAAATTATCTAAGCAAACGAGACATTAATTATTTTCGTCTAAAGTCTTACAATTTTTATCTATGATTAATTTACAATTCAAACATTTTCTGGTGTTTAGTTGATCACATTCTTCATCTGGAGTAGCCATTATTCCATCACCACAAGCACTAAAACAAGATCCGTTCGATTTATCAAAGTAATAACCTTTTTGACATGCTGTGCCATCATCTGTACAAACTCCAGCTATACATAATGGGCATATAGGATTACAAGAGTATTTACATTAAAAACAACCATCATATGGATCATCATTATCGTCTTCACATTCTTCATAGATAGATTTTACTCCATCTCCACATATGTCGTAACATTAATTAATTAAAACGTTGTAGTAAAGACCATATTCAGGATCACACTTAGATTTTAGAAGGCATTCATTAGTCTATTCAATCAGCATATAATCTTATTCACAATTTTGACACAATCCAAACAAGCATTCAATACACTAATCTTTACATTAGAATTGGCAGTTCGAACATATAATATGATTTTCAATTAAATTATGTTCGCACTACTCAAGATCATTAATGTGATTATCTCCACATTTACTCTCACATTTAGACCTATTTGCATTTAAATAATAGAAATCATCACAGATAATACAAATTTCATTGATTTAATAGCGGCAATATTATATATAAGCTGAGCTCATATAATTTTATTATAAAAGATATTCTTGCGGTGTAATTGAAGTTTTCTTACTGTATTAAATTTCACATATTCCATTTAATAATTTAAATCCTAATTGACAACCTAAGCATCTTCCTGACTAGCATACTTAACAATTAGAACAGCAATGAAATTAACAAAAATGACAACCATCAAAAGGGGTTATATTTCCATCATCGCAATCTTCTCCAGAAACAATTAATTCATCTCCACAAATATTTTGGCATTTATTTTCAATTAATCTAAATCCTATTTAACATTATAAACAGCCAGAAATTTGACAATTTAAACAACTAGGTTGACAAGATAATTAACAGTTATAACAACCGTCATAAAGTAAAGAATTCATATCTTCACATTTTTCATTTCCAACTTTTACATTATCATTGCAAATTTCTAAGCATTTATTATTTGTATTCAGGTAATAATGATCTATACATTCTAAGCATTTTCCATTCTGGCAAACCTTACAAACGGTAGTTTAACATTAATATTTACAACTTGTGCTGCATCCATCATTTGCAACTAAGTTAAAATCATCACATTCTTCTGTATTTCTTCCATATGGATCAACTGCAAGGAACCCATCCCCACAAATATTAACACAATAATAGCTATAGGGCTAGAATCCAATAACTTAACAATCTAAACAACTCTTTCCATCTGAACTACAAGTTTTGCAATCATTTCTGCATAGTCTCTTACACTAATAACAATTATCATTTTCTTCCAGATTATTTCCATCATCACATTCTTCCGATCCTATTACTATTGAATCTCCACAATTCTCTACACATTATAAAATGTCAATATTTATAATCCAACCATAAGTTAAACATTCATAGCATAAACCTCTTATGCATCTAGTACATGAGGCTTAACATTCTAAATTACATTGATAACAACCATCAGATTAGACATTATTGCCATCATCACATTCTTCAAGGCCACTTATGATACCATCTCCACAAATATCTAAGCAAGGAAAAACTGTTTAAAGATTGCAGGTCTAGCATTATTATGGACACTAAAATTTACAATTTGTACAACCATCATTAATTTTTTAGTTTCCATCTTCACATTCTTCATCACCTGATAATAATAAATCTCCACATACTGATATACATTAATTTTCAACATTCTAAAAACCTGTCTAACATGCGATTTCATCACAAAGTTAATTATGCCATTTAATTATCTGATTACCGCACTTTTTGTAACATTATGATAAGTTTACATCTTCTAATGATGGGCATACTTGACAAAAATTATTAATTTCGTAATATCCTAATAAACAAATACATGATAGTCCCTATAACCTTCTGTATTCATTTGGATTGCAACTCAAGCAAGAATTATCAGCTGATGAAAAACAAGTTTAACATTTTTTATGGCACAAATTACATATAAAACTAGCATCGTCAAAATAATATCCTTCTTAGCAATTGCAAATATCACCCTTTTTCTCAACTTTTTCTAGCTAAATACATTAAGTACACTGATCATTAGTTGATCCATAACATTTTTTACATAATTTACTGCAAACTTGACATTTACCCCCAGTATTATCATCATAATATCCATCATAACATATGCATTAATTTAGATACAAATAACGGTATTGCTATTCTTCACAATTGATACATAAATCTTTCTAATTTCTACATTATTTACATTTAAAACTACAGTCTAAAATTTTATATATATTTACCTTCGCATAATTATGTTTAGATACTAAAGAATTAATTCACCAAACACATCAATATACATTTGGTAATATATAGTTTATATGGGTAAAAGCACTAAGTGCATTCATATTCATTAAAACAAGCAACGCATTCTTGAGGGCAGCTCTCACATTTAAAATATTAATAATCGAGATATTATTAAGGACCACACTGAGATGGGTCTAATTTAATTATTTAATTATCAAAAGTAGCCATTTAAGTGCAAGTATTTTCATCTAAACATTATAAACAAAATGGACTACAATAATGGACAACTATTTAATAATCAGCTAAGGCACAATAACTATCTTTCACATTATTATTTTATCCAACACACTCAAAAGATATTGATAATGAAGGTAAATATTATGAAATTGTTATTGTTACTGTTTAATTTGAATTCACTTAAGATTATATATTATTAAAAGAGTATTTTAAATAACCTCCACTGCTCTAAAAATTACTTCCAAAAATTGCATCAAAATAAATTGTTAAAGAATGATGTGGCTTATCTATCGTATATACTTAAGAAAATTTTGCTGTTGCCCAAACATATTGCCCTCCAAATACTGCTTTTGAAGATATGTATGACCAATATATTAAATCTCCTTTTTAAAAATCTTTGCTAGTTGAGGACTCTAAAATAAAGGTTTCATGTAAATTTTAAGGAACTGTAAAATCAATAAATAGTCTCATTAAGTATTTTGAATCTAAAAATATACTTAGTGATATACATTTTGTGGTTTAATCATATTTCATGCAAACGTTATTTAAAAATAACGAATCTTTAGGGCAACTTAAGACGCATTTTCCATCTGAGACCTTTTTATAGCCATTTTAGCAAATAGAGCATTCATATTCTCTTTCACACTTTAAAACAAAATGCAGGACATTAAGCACTTGCAATAATAGAATAAATAATATACCATCCAGAATTAGAATTTCTACATTTAATAATATAATTACGTAAAATTTCCTTTGATTGAAAAATTAAAAATTTCCTTGTTTCTAAA